GCTTTGCCAAAGGATGAAACATTAGATGATGAAAACATCAAAGCAAATTATAAGGATGGTGTTTTGGTTCTTAATATTCCAAAATTAGGCAAAAAAGAAAGCGAAGCTACTCGTCGCATCACCGTTTCTTGAGCAAATATATCAACTATGTCTTTCTAGTTTATAGTTTTAAAATCATGTTACTTCTATATAGCCTTTGTATTTCAATAAACAATTTCTTTTTTTAAAAGCAATTGCTCGATTTTCAGTTGGAGATTCTCCAATAAAAAAGTTATCATCGATCTTAGAAACAAAGAATAAACTTGAAAGTCGATACTAGACCTGACCAAAAATTAAAATTAAAATTATAATCCAGGATTGTGGAAATAATACAGCTTCGCAAATTTGTCTATTTTCGTCAAGGTGTTTCGAAAAATTCTAGAATTTTCTCGATGATTTATAAGAGAAACCCTAAAAGCTGTAAGACAATCAAGCCTTACTTTTCGACGAATGGCAATCGTGTTGCGAAAAAAAATTACGTGACAGCCCAAAATTCTAGTGTTTTCTAGTATAGCAAAGAAAAAGCAGAATAAATAAAATACTCAGTATCATTGAGGGTAAACCAAAATATACTCGGTTTATGACTTTTCTACACTCCATTTAAAATAATATATAAGGAGGTGATGAAGTCCACTGAATTGAGGTTTTTTTTCTTTAATTTCTATAAGAAACAATTCATCTTACTTTGCTATATTATAATATCAATAATTCACAATCATAAAAGGTTTTAATATTATTAATTATGTCAGGATTATTCTATTCACCATTTTGGGATTTTGTCGACTCAATTGATGATAACTTGAGTCAATTCAATCGTTCATTACAATCTTCCGGTTTAAATCGTCACCCAAGTAATCAAAAACAAAACAGACAACTTCAATCGAGAAATGATAAAAAACAAATCACTAAATCAAAGTCAGGAAATAATTCATTAATTTCAAATTTTTTTGGATCTGAAGATGATGATTTATTCAATTCATTTAGTTTTATTCCTCCTGTTGATTTATTGAATCATGAAAAGGATTATGAGTTGCATGTTTCAATTCCAGGTGCTNGCTTTGCCAAAGGATGAAACATTAGATGATGAAAACATCAAAGCAAATTATAAGGATGGTGTTTTGGTTCTTAATATTCCAAAATTAGGCAAAAAGGAAAGTGAAAACATCCGTCGTATTACTATTAATTAAATCAATTTATGATGGTCTTTAATAACATTTTCTTTTTTTTTCACATACTTTATTTTGATTTATTTTATTTCCATACCCTTAATTTATTGTCTGAATATATATAGGTATATATGTCAGTCTTTTAGGTTTTTTATTTTGACTTTTGAATAAGTAATATTAAATAAACAATTATTTTTCTGATATTTTTTTCAATACATCTTTTGTCTAAAATTTAAACACTATTGTAAATAATAAGGTAGTGGTTACTAGTAAATCAAGCCATTTGGGGGGGGGGGTTTAAAATTAGAGTATCTATTGCTATTATGGCGTTCACAGACCCCTGTTTAGATGTCTGAATAATTTCTCGAAACCCCTATTTTTATATTTCATAAAAAGTAAAGTATTCAGCAAATTTGAAGACAAAAAAAAATAAATTCAAGCCAAATGATTCAAATAGCAAGACATAAAGGATTTATAAAAGAGAATACTATTTTTCTTTATTATTATTAATTTTGTGAAATTTAAATGTTTATTTTTCAAGATACAATTGATCTTGGTATTTGACAAAACTTTTTCTTTATACATAATTTGAAATCTCTTTGGAACTGACACTCCTTTCTAGTGGATATAATCTATTTTCAATAATAATGACATTTGCAAATCTTAAACATTGTCAATACATCACCAAGTAGAAACGATTTGGCATGAATTATCAATGTTAAACCTTCTGCATGAGTTATGCTTCTATCAGAATACCTTTTACAAGAAGCAAGTTAGAGCTGGCTAATAGAAAAATGTTTATTTAAGATATTAATTTTAATTTCTCGTTTTAATAAAAAATACTTTAAATAACAATGTTAGAAATCAAAAGTAGAAAATACATTCTTTTCTATTGTATATCAATTATGACAACTGATTTGAAAAAAATGAAGAAAAACACTTCAATGGCTAGAATTCGATCTCCCACTGCTCCGTTAGTCCAAATATCTATTAAAAGATAATGGCCTGCAATTCAAATAAATTGCATCAATGGTTGGTAATAAAAAACAAGAAAAATCTAAAGCAAAAAAGAATACCAAATCCTTTATAAGAAGGGCAGTCAGGGTAAACGTGTTTTGGATGTAATCTTTAATAAGGGTTTCACCATTTTCACCAAGTATCGTATTTTGTGTGAGGATTCGGACAAAAACTAACCTTATTTCCTCAACATCAAGACCCTTTGAAGTTTAGGAGGTCGACTTGGAGTCAATTCAGTTGGTTGACAGCGATATCATAGTAGCAGGGTATTGATAATGTGGTTATGTTAAAATGGCATCAGCATAATAAAAAATTCAAAATTTAGTACGATATGTTTTCTGTATTACTGGAGATCCATCTTAACTTCTGATAAATAAGATCAATCAATGGATCCTCTGAATAAAACAAAAGAAAAGAACCCATTCTGCACAAATTGAAAAGATTGACTCTAATTTTAGCATTTTATGATAAATAATATCGAATCAACTGTTGTTTGTTCTCTTTTTTAAAAAAATAAGAGATCGCAATTGGAAGAGATATATTATCTTTGAATTAAGAATATCTGTGGATAAAGTAATATATGACAAGCAGAAAAACTAAAAAAAAGCAGGAAAATAGGAATTCTCGATATTGTTGACCCATATTTGATTAAAGATTACTTTCAAAATTCTTTTAAGATGATAAATAAAAAGAAATATGAATAAGAGGTACAAGATGGAAAAATAAAAGTAAAATAAGAAATAAAACAAAAATAAATTGTTCAATCTCCTTTTAAACCATTTAGAAACCTTTATGTTTTTGAAACTATTATTTGGCACAAAGAAATCTATTGATTTGGGTCGTTTTCTGTTAAATGCAAAATTTCATTATAATCTTCACCTTTGGGACTTGTTTTGATGAGAATATGCACTGAAAATTGTTTTATCTACAAAAATGAATGAATTAAGAAATTTTTTTACTTTTTGATTATTGGAATTGATAAAAAAATTTCAAAATTATGAAGATTAAAATAAAATTTAGAAAAAACAAAATAATCCTAGCGAAATCAACACCAATAGGAACAAACAAAACTAAAACTACCAATCAAAGGTAGGAAGCATCATTGAAAAGTTGGTTTTTTGTGAAATTTGGCTGGAAGAAGATTCACTAAAGCTTCAATAAAATAATCCACTAAGAATTATTTTGATCACACCCTTAGACTAATATTACTGATATAATTATCTTTTCTTTGCAGGGACTAGCTATTTCAACAGTGTCTTTCCATTCACCCACCAAAATAACTTATTTTTCCGAGCTCTTATAAAGCTTGTTTCTCCTGTGTAATCAGGAATCATGAATCCTAAAGTGTACGTGTTTTGAGCTCAAAAACCGGGATCCTTTTTATTTTTCTCCATAGTTCTAATAAACTCTTTTTTCTTGCTTTCCCTATATTTAAAAACATCATTAATATGACTAGTTGGGTTTTCTTTTTGTTTGATTCAAATTGTTACAACACTGTTAGACAATAAGCATTTACGCTGGTGAGAGAAGTATCAGACAAGAAAAAAATTCTTGTTGTGATAATAAGCTTCCTTTCTGATATATCAGACACACTTAGTTTGAGTACATTTGAAATATTTAAAAAAAATTTTCTCCAGAACACCGAAATTAGGATTCTCTTTTTTCATTAAATTTAATTTATAAGAAGCTACTACAAACATTTAACTTAAATCATTCCAATCAAAACAAGATAGTTTTACAAATTTGGGAGAACTTTTGTGGGGATTTGTTTATGTCCTTCAAATTATTTTATTGTTTTTCATTCTGATGGTTTGTATTAAAATGATTTAAAAAGCTAATTTACGAACTTTGCTTTGGTGAGACGTTTGGACCCTCTTAAGTTACCTCCGATATTAAATTTCTTGTTGATTTCTTTTTGTTAGTTTTTTCACTAATTTTTCTCTACGACTTTTTTTGTTGCCTGGTTTCGAGCACATATAAAATCAATTCTTTACTAGACGTTTTTGTCACTGAGATGAAGTTCGCATCTAAATAATAAAATACTGCTCCTCTGATTTGATTTAACCGAAGTTTTTGAAAAATAAGGATGGGCATCATTGAATTCCTTATGTGGTTTTTTCCAGAGCGATTGTGGACCGTACTGCCGGAAATGCGGATGGAATTGGAGTTTTCTGTGAAATCAGGACAGGAGACTGTTTTTGTATGAGCAAAATCCGGGTTTTGTGCATCAAACACTGCAGCACATCCGTTCCGTGTCTGAATTGTGTCCAATATAGGGTGGCCCATATCTTCACCCATATGTTCACTTTTGTGCCAGTTTTAGGAAACTGTTTCTCACTGGTCGCATCCCAGTTTTCTAGACAAATTTTCAAAACAAAAATAATAAAAAACTTATTGTCTGGAGTCTTTTTGCAAAAACCACCAGATTTATGTTAAATATAATGGTCACATATTTTGCTTAAAATAGCTTAAACACTACCTTCTCCCATTAAAAAGAAATAAAAGTAATATAGGACCAGGCAATAGGTTATATTTATTAATAACAGCGCTGGTTGTGGATTATTCTAGGTGTGGAAAAATAGCATTGGGTAAATTATTCCTTCCATATTAGAGAGGTATTTGAATGACATAAAATGCATTGACATGCATTCATGGTTTTTCTAGTTATTCCGGATTTTAAAATGAATTTTCATATCAAGAGCTTTTTTTTTCTCGATAGCAAAAATGCAATCAATCTATGCTATTGGTTTTACTTTTGAGTGATGAATTCCTGATAGCTTCCTGATAGCAGTCACTTTTTCACTAATTAAAACATTTAAATTTTATTCTACAAAAGAAAGAATGTTTTGTTTTCTCCTTTATTTACTCTTTTTCATTGAAAATGGAGTGAAAAAACATGGCATGTAATACTGGTTAAATTTAAGATCAAAATCAAAAAAAAAGATTTCTTAAAAATGTCTTCCAGTTGAAGCAGATGATAGCCATGTATTTGCTGGGGTACATATGTCTGTATTCTTTGCTGTATTCTTGTTCATTATCATATAAATTGGGCTTCAAATCCTGTGTTATCTCAAACTATTCAAATTGTCAAAAAAATTACTGATTCTTTATTTGTTACAATACTTGAAGATTACTTGATCAAAGGAAGATAGAAAAAAGTAATAAATTAAAATGGCTAATAAAAAAGAAAAAGCTACCTCTTTTGATCTTGAATATAATAATTCGGATTTATATGATCAACAAAGATATCAAAATAATAGCAAGACAGTTGATGATGAAAAACCCGATTTATCCAAAGAAGGAATCATTAATTATTGTACTACAAGAATTCCTACACTATTTCAATTACCATAAGCTAGTTTAAGCGCTTTAAATCTAGTTCCTGGATTGAGGAAAATGACACCTTTAAATTGGAGCTTTTATCTATTGGGGGCATTAGCTTGGACTGTTGATGCAATGGACTTTTTTGTGGTGTCGGTTTCTACAACAGAAATTGCAGCTTTTTTAAACAAAAGTGTTACGGATATTACCTGGGGCATTACATTGGTTCTTATGTTGTGTTCAGTTGGTGCTATTATCTTTGGATTAGCGTCTGACTATTATGGAAGAAAATGGCCCTTTATTGTTTGTTGTTTTTGTTTTGTTGTTCTTGAACTTGGGTGTGGATTTGTTCAAACATTGGAACAATTTTTAGCTGTTAGAGCATTATTTGGTATTGCAATGGGTGGGATGTATGGAAATGCTGCTGCAACTGCTTTAGAAGATCAGCCGGTTGAAGCTCGATCTATTCTCTCTGGATGTTTTCTTCCATGTTACAATTTTGGATACCTCTTAGCAGTTGTGTTCAGCAGAGCATTTCTTGGGACATACAAGACAAATGAAGACTGGCGTTCGCTTTTATGGTTTACAGCAGGTCCACCACTTCTTTTAATTGCCTGGAGATTGATGTTGCCAGAAAGTAAGTTTTTCCTTGACCAAAAAGAGGCTAAAAGACTTCATAACGCTACACTAACTGAAGACGACAAAAAACATCAAATTACAGCCTGGACCCAGGCAAAGGATGCTTGTAGAACCCATTGGTTGATGTTTATCTACCTTATTTTTTTATTAGCTGGATTTAATTTTTCATCTCATGGATCTCAAGATTTATATTCTACAATGTTGGTGAAACAACGAAACTTTGATGCCGATGATAAGACAATGATTTTGTGTGTTATCAACATTGGGGCAATGGTTGGAGGATTGGTATTTGGGCAACTCACTGACTTATTAGGCAGAAGATTGTCTATTGTTGTTTGTTGTATTGGGGCAGGGGCGCTTATTTATCCAGCATTTTTGTTGCATTCTATTACTGAACTCACAGTAGGTGGATTCTGGTTGCAGTTTTTCATCATGGGCAATTGGGGTATTGTTCCAGTTCATTTGTTTGAGTTGTGTCCATCAAATTATAGGACATTTGCTTCAGGATTGGTGTATCAATTGGGGAATTTGGCTTCCTCAGCTTCGTCCACAATTGAATCTCAATTGGGATCGAGATTTCCAATCACCAATAGCGATGGGACACCTGGGTACGATTATGGGAAAGTTATGGGTATTTTCACCGGAGCAGTTATGGCATACATTATGGTTTGTGTTATTGTTGGACCAGAAAGATTTCATAAAGATTTGCAGCATAGTATACTGGCAACTCAGGCCAATAGAGGGGAAGCAACAGAAGAAATCGAATTTGAGAAGCCTAGTGAAAATTATCAAGAGTCTCAGCCAATTCAAAGGTAATAAAAATAATTATTATTATTTAAATTAGTATAAAGGACTTCGAGGCATTATTGGAATATGCTTGCTTTTTATTTTTTTATTTTTTTATTTTTTAATTTTTAGTCTTTTAGTTTTTTGGTTTTTTTAGTTTTTTAGTTTTTTAGTTTTTTTCAATTTTGATTATATTTATTTAGGAACTGATCTTTTTGATGTTATAAATATAAATTCTATGTTTTGCTATGGCGATAGGACAGGAACAGCACCATAGTAAAATAGTACAGCAACACTGTGGTACAGCAATTTATTTGGATGCAGTTTTAGTTTTGGATTTGGTTTTAGTTTTGAGAGTAACCTTAAAAGTTGTTAATGTTGGTTGAGCGCTGCAGGCGAGGAAATGAAAGCTCGAATTGGATCGCACAAGATAAGATATGAGGTGAAACAAACAGCCAGTAGTATAAGGAAGTGCATAAGGAAGTATAGAAAGTATAGAAAGTGGTAGAGCAAAGGGAGCAGTCGCCAATCATTACAGAGGAAGGGCCTGGGAGGGCAAATAATAACAAGATATGTAGAATATGGCCTTATGTGAGTGCTTTTTTGAATAGAAATAAACTAATAAACTGCCAAACTCCATGCATGCAGAGCTTATATCATGATTTGCCATAATTTGTCAAAAATTGTCAAAATATGACCAAAGTTAACGACAATTTTGTAATCAACAATGAAATAGCTGAGATGTTGTTTTTTTTCATCTATTCACACTGGCTTTCAACGGTTTTTGAAGTTGCCATTTGCACAGGCAAATAAATGGCCACTAGGAGAACCATCAGCAATGAATTGATTTTAATTGATGACTGGATAAATGAATAAATGCTCTGGTATCATAAGGGGTTGAAATTGGGCAGTTTCAGCTTGAGCTGGCAGCTGCAAACAGAGATTTAATGGAAATAGTCGAAAGCTAGATAAACTTACGGAATATGGTGTATCGAAAGAGACTCTCATTGGCCAGGGGCTGTTCTCGCTTGGAGCTGTTGGCTGGAGGTCTCTTGGAGCATCACAATCAACAGCAGACTACTATAGATATCAGGGTATTACGCTGGAGAAGGATGGGATACGGCTTCGGCTGAGTATGATGAGAACATGGACATGAATAAAACATGAACAGAACATAAACAGAACATAAACATGTAATGGACAGTGGCAGTGGATATCAGCTCGATAACAGCTAGATAAACAGCCTTCGACCACCTCACACAGTTCTCCAAGGGTGTCTCCATAGGTGCATTATCTTCAATTTAAGCTGGAAATGTTCTATTAATGCGTAACGGTTTTCAAGTAAACAGAAAGAAGTGGAACCTTAGCAAGTTAGTTTTCTGATTTTATTTGCACTGTTTAACTTTAACATAACATTGGATGATCTTAACAAAATTCGGTTAAGATTTGGGTTAGAAATAGGCCAGATATGCTTTAGACTCCAGAAAATTTGCGTAATATTCTAAACAATCACCCAAAGCTATCAGAGGATAGCAAATGTTATCGAATGGTGTCGAAAGTTGCTGCCATTTTGTTATCAATTTAACGAACGTTGCACTGTGTGCAAATAAAAACAAAACAAAAGCCATATTATCATTCAACTTATCTGTCAAACTTATCGACTATTTTTATTTTAATTTCGAGAGAAATGGTGCTTGAAAGTTACAAGCAAACTTGGGAAAATAAAAATTAAAGAATATTGTTGAAAATCAGCTCGTTTTTTCTCAAAGGTGAATGAATTCCAGACTTTCCACAATTCTCAGAATTCTCAGAATCTCGTAATAAAAACAATAAAATAAAAATGATAATAAAAATGATAGTAATAATAAAGTATTAAATAATAAATAATAAATGGTAAATGGTAAAGGAGTAAAATAGCAAAATGATAAAACGATAAAACCCAACGTGTCATAATGCCATTTACTTTGATTTTAAAATTCTGCTAATAATAAAATTATTATTTTTATTATTCTTAAACTAAATTTGGGATAACTAGTGGCAATTTTAATAACCAAAATCGCCACTTATTCCATTTTTTCCTTTTATTCCAGGTACTATAACAATTTCATCTGCTTTTCTCTTATACTATGGATCTGATGGTGTCAAATGTAGCAAACTGGGTCTGTAAACTCGAGAAAAAAGATGAAATCACCCATGTAACGAAACCCACAAAGTGCTGCTAACTTGTTGTTCTTTTGAATAAGAGTTGCCAAAAATAATCTAGTTTCAATAGACTCAAAAGACAAAACCGAAAATGCATTTGCTGCTCCAGTGTCTGAGATAGAAAATAATAGTGCCCATTAAAAGATCATTCAAACACCATTTCGAGGCCAGTTTAAAGATTTGTTAAACAGGTCTTAAAGATCCTGTATTTTGTTCTGTTGACTTCAAGCATTTGTTTAAATTTATTATGTTTCGTAATGTTTTATCATGCCCCAATGGTTTTTTTAGTAAAATTTGAATTGTTTTGATAAATAAAAACATAGAAAGTTATTTTTAAACTCCAAAATGTCTAACATTTGTTTTCGACCCAGGGGATTCAAAGGATTTACTACACCAGCTCATTTTCTCTGTTTTGAAATCACTGTGAAATCAATGTGAAATCAGTCTGAAATCAGTCTGAAATCAATGTGAAATCAGCTTAATCTCGATTTCAAATCAATTTGAAATCAAAAAAAAACGCAAAAGAAAATGAAGAATAGTCTGGAAATGTTTAGCAATATGAGACTTTGTGATAATTTTACAAAGGAAATCTCGCTCTCACTCACCCTTGTGTTATTTATTGCCTCAATCAGAACAATCAAAGGGGAAAGATTAAATCATTAGATCTTGATCTGGAACAGAACCAGAATCAGGATTAGTACAATAAGCCTGTTGTTTATGATTATTATTTTTGGTATAATTTGATATTTTTTACTCGAATTCCCCTAATTTTGTTTTCATTATTTTTGATCTACACATTTTATCCGAGATTCAGTTGACGTCTTTTGAATGTTTAGGGAATGTTTAAACAATATTCGAAATTCTTGAAGAGAATCAGCAAATAATAAACATGGGAAATGAATAAGATAGAATTTGATTCAGCAAATGAAAGCTGATTATAGAAATTTAGTAAAAAAAAAACATAAAATAAAATAATGTATAGCAAAATGATTAATACCCATAATAAAATCTAACAAACAGTTCAGATTCAAATGGTTTAAAGGCTATTCAATTTCTTAGTTGAATAATTGGCAAGTTTTGATTCAAGGCAACTATTTTCTTTGCCAGGTAAGAAAGAAATAAAATTTATCTCATGATTGTAAGAAGTAAAAACGAAAGAGCAAACATAAGGAAATAGTCAGTTTAATTATCAGTAGCTAAATAATAAATGATTATTTAAAGGAATCTTATTAATTAAAACCGATATTTGTTTTGCTTTTGATGGAGATGAAGTTGAAGTTTTTTTTGTTTTTTTTAAAATTATTTTAAAATTTTTACTAAAATTTTTACTCAGATTTTAAAACAAACCAAAATAAATTGTATGAGAATTTAGTGAGGTGAATGAGGGAAAAGTCCAAAGTCAGTTAAAAACATCCTCAAATAACACACAGAAAAGAATCGAGCTATTTTGGAATGATTTAAAACGTTTTACATGAGAAGATAAGAAAATGAGACAGTAATCGATTAATTGAATAATTTGTAACTATGTAAAAATAAGAAAAACCCACAGAAAATTAAAAACCAATAAATAAATAAATAAACAATAGAAAAATAAGAGAAAAATAAGAGAAAAGAGAAGAGAAAAAAAAGAAAAATAAAATGTGAATAAAAATACTAGCGAATAGTTTTCTATAAACATAAAAAAAAGGACTTTGAAGTGAAAATAAAAAGTAGAAAATATTAGAAAATATCAAAAAGGATTAAATAGATTAGATGATAAAAATATAATATAATATAAAAGTCAAAAAGTAAACTAAAGAGTAATACAAAAACGTTAAAGAAAAACAATGAAAAGTAAAAGCTGGGATTAAAAAAAGAAAGAAAATTAATAGTAAAAAGTTGATAAATGATATTGTAAGAAAAAAAAAAATAAGTAAATAGATTAAATAAATAAATAAATAAACCCGATTTAATAAATGTCAATAGAAAACACACAGAAAAAAAAAAGATAATTGAATTAAAAAACTTATTTCATGTTACATAAAATATAACTAGCAGCTAATTTATTATCATCAATTATCAATTTTCCATAAAAAGGATGATCGAAAGGTAGAACATCATTTAGGAACTGTTCCCCAAATAAAGGAACCAAGACGTATCTCAATTTGTAGGCAATTTTTGTAGCCAATTTGTAGGCAAATTCATAGCTTATATATGTTCCTTGAATCTTTGTTACGCCACCTTTGACTTTTATTAAATTTTGGTAATGTTCAGGCAAGGAGCAGTTTAGTTTTGAATTTGGATCTAGTTCCTCGTAGTTATCTTTGACTAGTTTGGGAATGTCGACTTTGTAGTTGAGGATTTTGAGGATGTTTGTGAACAAGATGTGGCCAGTTGTCATATGCCAGATTATATATTCGTCGCCTATTTTGTATTCGTAGGCATTTAAGGTGTTGTTGAGGAATTTTGAGCAGCAGTATTCTGAAGTTTTGCATTGAAGGGAATCAGTGTATTTTGAGGGTTGGTAGGGGAAATTAATCTTTGGGATGATGTTTTTTGTAGACAAGTTCTTGAGGTTCTTTATATTTTTCAAGTTTTTTAGATTTAGTAGTTTTGATTTGTCTCTTTTGTTTTTGATGAGAGAGTTATTGTTGTTGATTGAGAGAGAATTTAAATTTGAGTTTCTTTTTCTGGGTCTCTTTTGGGGTTTTTCGATCATATTTGAAGAGTTTAGTACAGATAGAGCAGAGGAAGAGTTGGCAGATAGGCTTTGTGCAAATTTCTTTGGTTTGATTGATCTTATTTTTTTGGGCATCAAAGAAGAGGAGGTAGATAAGGGAGAGGAAGCAGAGGAAGCTGGGTTGGAGGTTGAGGCGGAAGCTGAGAGAGTGGATAAGGAGGAGGAGGAGGAGGAGGAGGTGGTGGTGGTGGTGGAGGAAGAGGACTTTAGTTTGAGAATAGGGGAGTTTGTTGGTTCTGAGAGAGGAGGCGATGGCATTGAGAAGGAGGAAGAAGGATTTGTTAGGAAGGATAATTTGAACTTGTCATTGGAGTTGATTTGGTTAAAATGGTTTGGCTGGGAGGAGAGGTGGTAGTCTTTGTTTTCAGAGTTGGCAAAGGACTGGCTTATGGAAGGGAGCTTGTAGTTATTTATGTTGATGTTGCTAATGTTGCTGGATAGAAGCTTGGGCACTATTGGATGGTAAGAAGGGAATTTATTGTTGTTATTGTTGTTGGTGTTGTTGTTTAAGGAGGATTGGTTCATTTTTTGCAAGTCGTTTTTGATGTCCATTGGTAAATCGGTCAAGTCCTTTTTCAAGTCCTTATTTATGTTTTTGTTTAAGTCAGACTGAGGTTGTATGTCTTTGGTTATCGACAATATATGGTTGATGTTTGGTTGCAGATACATTGTAGGCGAGATGAGAGTATAAAGAGATTGTGAGACGTATTTATATGGGATCGATGGGAGGAAGTATTTATAGATAAGTGAGTATAAATGATTATAAATTAAATGTGGCAAAGTTTGGAAAGCGAAATGTGTTGTCAAGTTTCGAGTAGAAAACAGACCAGAGAAAGTGAGTAAAGACCAGTGGTAAGAATGGAGAGTCGATCGAAATAGTTGGAAACAAACTAAGGGGAAGTGGATTAGCTGGGCTGGAGCAAGAGTTAAGAAAAGAAGAACAAGAACAAGAAGAAGTAAAAAAAGCAGGCAGAGGAAGGATTTATATAGGGCCTTGGAGGCGAAGAAGTAAATAACAAGAACAGTGCTTTCCAGGCAATGGAGAATGGAAATAAAACCAAAAAGCAGAAGTAAAATTGGAAATAATTGGAAAGGTAGTTAAGTGATTATGAGACTATGAGCCTATGGAATTAAAGGTTTAAAGAAATAGAGCCATAACGAATATTAATTAGAGCCAGTGTTGTTGCGAAGGATTTATTGTTGCTGATAATACTGGGTGGAAAATGGGTAAGATTATGTGTGAATAATAAGTGAATAACGTAACATTTGGATTTAAAGTGTAAATTTAATCAGAATTTAATCAGAATTCAAGAAAAATGAATAATATTTGATAAAATTTGAGAAAACCTAATAAAAGTTGATCAAATTCAATAATTGGAATAGAATTTTTAGAAAACTTTAGCCAAAATCTTAAAACGAATTCAAACACCTTGGGCTGAAGCCTAAACACACTTCGGCCATGCCTCGACTGGAGCTTTGGCCTGTGCCTCAGACAGCTGAGCCCTCGAAGGCAACCCACCGCTGCTTTGCTGCTGCTGGTTCTGCTGGTTCTGCTGCGTGTGCTTCTTCTGCTGCTCCTTCCTTCCTCTGCTTCTCTGCGCTCCCGAACAGCCGTTCGCGAACAGCACGCCCAATGCGGCAGGCCTCTCTCGCTCCCTGAGGCCCTCCCGTCTGAGCCTGAATTGCCCCATCGGGACGCGTGCCTGCCGCCGCAAGGGCTTTCCGGGGCCCTTCTCGAACAGGCAGCATTTTCTCCCAATCGAGCGCCCTACCGCATCCGGCCTCTATTTCCTCTTTGGGCGGCAGATATACTCACTTTTCTTCTGCTTCTTTCTCTTCTCTGGCCTCTTCTCGTCGACGATATATATACCTCTGCTTTCCTCTTCCTCCTCTGCTGCTCTCCTCTGCCTCTCCTCTGCTTTGCCTTGTCTTTTGCCCACTCCCAATGCTGTCCTCGTCCTCCTCATTCAACTCCCCAGACTACAAGCTCTCCTCCCTCCAAAACCCTCCTTTGAACACACCTTCCAATGCTGATCCAGACCACTCAACCTCGCTAATATTGTCCAACATCTTTGGCTCAAATATAACCTCCTGGTCCTTCTCTGAAAACTTGTTGAACCAGGTCATAATCCTCAAACAGGAACAGGAGCGAACAAAGCAGGACTACTACAAATGCGAATCAATAAACAGATCCCTAAAACTACTAAACAATGCCATCACCAACAAAATCCCTTTGAATTTAATTCCTCTTTTATTCATCAACAACTCTCCACAAAACAACCCTAACCAACCCAATAATTCCAATCTTAAAACTGATATCAACAGCAATATCAAATCCTATCTATCCTCAATAGACGATGAGCTAACCTCTCCCTCCAACACTTTCAATATATCTCAAAATAACTATAAATTCGGTATGACCAACCCTAACTTCAACCAAAATCAAAATCAAATTCAAAACACAATTCCTTCAAATAAAACTCCCAATAATAATCCCAATAATAATCCCTCTATCACCACTTCTAATACCAATAACAATGTCAAAAATAACCCCAAACCTTTGTCGACAATCAACTTAAATAACTCAATAAATCATAAACGCCACAATTCTTTACCTCTAAAATCTTCAATATCAACCAACAATAACAACACAAACACCACTAACACTCTAACCCCAATCTCAACCTCAACTTCAACTTCAAAACCAGTATCAATGTCCTCTTTACAGCATATAATCCAATTTAACCAATGGCAGTCAGAAAACCCAGCTCTTTTAATCAACCAATCAAAAAAAGAGTTGTATATCAAAGACAAAGAAAAAGATAAAGATAAAGACAAAGACAAAGATAAAGATTCAATTAAAGATCAAAATAAACTAAAAAGATCAAACTCAACTCTAAAAAGAAGAAGATCAAATTCTGATATAACAAATCGTTCCTCAAACCCAAACAAATTTAAAAATACACAACCTTTCAATTTCAATACAATTAATTTAAATCATCCAATCAATAACAACAATACCAACAATACCAACAAAATCATCAATAATAACCAACCGAATCACACTCTAAAACAAAATAATATATCAAAGATTAAATCTCTTCACTCCAGAACTCAATCTGAAAATCTATACTCTTTAAAAGACTTTAACCACTACAGTCTTCCCAATATCACTTCTTTCAACACCACAAACCAAATATCTAATCATCAAATTTCTAACCATCAGAATTTCATTAATTCTCATTCATTTAAACCCATTTCCAAACCTACTTCATCCAATTCTTCCAACTCTTCAGTTACCCCTCCTCCGAACCAAATCAATAATATAAACAACAACATTAATAATATAAATAACAGTATAAATAATAATATAAAAAAGAAAAATAATTTTAATGGTTTATCTGATCTAGCCGAAGTAGCAATCTCAATGTCTTCAAACCAAAACCAAAACCAAAATAATAATCAAAATAATAATCAAAATAATAATCAAAATAATTCAAATCAAATATCAAATGATAATAACTCCAAAATTAATTCAAACATCAACATAAATCTAAATGACCAAAAAAAGAAAAACTCAAAAAGTCCTCATTTCGCTAATATTCTAAGGTCTCCAATGAAAGCCTTCTCTTAATTCTACTCAGTCATTATCTTCATCATCTTATCTTATCTTTTCTTTTGTTTATATTTTATATATTTATATTTATGCCTTCCGTTCTTTTAATTCATACCATCACTCATTTATTTTTTGTTATGTTTTTTGTTTTTTTTTCATCTGTTCTGTTTCATTTTGCAATAAACGGTTTTTCTTCCTCTTTTTGTTTAATCATCATATATTTAAAGAACCGAAAAGAATTAAATAATAACCTATGAAAGTATTAATAACAAAAAAAAAACAGAAGAAAAGAAAAGAAAAGAAAAACAAATAAATGTAAATTAGCTAGAAAAAATAGCTAAACACAAATAAAATACTATAGAATTATAAAAAAATTACCACCATTTTGATCACTTTTGGTCGTCTTCACTTTCGACTTCATTAATTACTAATTCTTCATCATAGATATTATTAAAAATCTTACTATAATCAATCTTCAATTCTTTACAAAGATCCTTTATAGTAAAATCATTTTCTATATTATTAATATCACTGCCAAACATTTTTTTAAATTGCAAATCGCATTCTTTATTAAACTTGATTAAAGAATGTTTTTTATTTTGTTGATAATCGTCTTCAAATTGTTTTTTATCATATTCGCTTAATTTTTCAAATTCATCAGCGTTTGATTCCTTTAATTGATAATACTTTTCATCAATTGAATTGATTAGCTGATATTTCAAATGACTTTTAAATGAGTTAAACTTGTCCAATTTATAAGATTTGAAATCAGTATTATTCAGTAAAATTTTTTCTTTATATAATTGATGGTATAAGAAAAGTGTTCTTTGACAAATTTTTAAATATTTATTGATCAAATGTAAATCCTTGTCAATGACGTTTGAAGATAATAGGTTTAGATTTTTGATTTGGGTATAGTTTGTTTTCCTTTTTTGGTACAATGATATATCCTTATCTAATTTCAGAGAATAGTTTTTGAAACTTCTTAGTATTTTGTTGCTATTATTATTGTTGTTATAATTTGAATTAATTGAATAGCTTCTATTTAGATTGACAAATTTTTTTGTATTTTCGTTTTTATTGTTATTATTATTATTATTATTATTATTATTATTATTATTATTATTATTATTGGTGGTGGTGGTGGTGGAAGAGTTTTTCAAGGGAGAATTGAAATGGATTTGTCTTTTCACAGATGATAAATTTTGTTTTGAGTACATTATTGGAGAAGAAAAGGACCTTCTATTATTTGAATTTAGATTTAGATTTAGATTTTTAATTGGAGGAGACGAGTTGTTGATTATGTTTGGAGAAGATTTGTCAATGATTCTATAAGTCTTTGAAGTTGATTTGGGAGGAGTTAAATCAGGGATTGGGGAATCGATTAATGACGAGATTCTTTTTTTAGGTAAGAAATTGATATGTCTTGGGTTAATTATTATATCGTTATTATCAGAGTCATGGATAATGTTATTGTTGTTGTTGTAATTAAGATTAGAAGAAGGGTTAATTGGTAATGAGAGCTTTGGAGAATTTTTGGTTAAATCATTTGATGAAACTAAAAAAGGGTTATTTTTGAATGACTTTTTAGTTGGGATAATTTTATTTTTGGTTTCGTTGTTTAATTGAGTGAGCTGATTTGGTTTTAAGGAATTGAACTTAAGACATTTCAAATTATTGGGCGAGGATGTGGAGGTGGAGGCGTCTGAGGGAAGAGAAGGAGAGGAAGCGACATCTAATAGGTTGTTTGTTGATATTGGGGATAAAGGAGGTAATGATTTTATGTTGGGAGATTTAATAGGAATTATTTTTGTCAAGTCCTTTTGATGATTTAGATCCAATTGATTTTGTTGTTGATTTTGTTGCCTTTGATTGTCTTTTTGTTTTTGTTTTTGTTTTAGTTTTAGTTTTGATATTTCAGCTTCTTTTTCGATAATCACAAGACTGTGGTCGTTTTCGTCACTAGAGTTATCAGAGTTGTCGTTGTCATCATCTATTATGATATAGTTGCTGTTATCCAACTTAGGGACATGTTTCTTCTTGCTTGCTGCCTTATGGAAGGGTTGATTATTTTCGTCGTCGCTGTTGTAGGTCAAGGATTGCGATGGCGAATTGATGATAAAGGATTTCTTGACCAAAGGGGACTTGAATTTCTTGTTGGAGTACATTGTGAGCTGGTTCTTTTTGAATAGAGTGCTTGGGTATTTGAGTATAGCAGAACAGAATCCTGAGAGATGGTGATTGAATCAATTGACGATATATAACATAGATTGGAGGCAATGACTGATGAAGCACAGGAAATTGGAGCAGCTGGATAGAAAAGAGTAGTGCTGCACAGTAGAGGCAATTTGAAGTGTTGTAGCAGAGGTGTTCTTTGTCTGGGGATGTGAAGGATTCTTCTTCTCCTTCTTCCTGTGCTGTTTTTGCTTCTTTTTTCTGCGTTTTTCTGATTCACTGTTTAGTTTTTGCCTGTTTGGAGAATAAGTGCTCGAAGAAGAATGACTGCCCAAAGAGGAACCTTCCTGAAGTAGAAGCTACCGCTTTTGGATCATAACGCAAGATTTCCTCTTCGGATCCCATTCCTCGATGATTTTACAAGTCAATTTCGCTTTCGTTTTCACAGTTTATTCAAACAAATCTTAATCAGATGTAAAATCAGGATGGTTTTATTTTATTTACTTAATGCTTCTAATTCTTGTTCATATAAAGCATTCAATCCTTTCGGGCTAGACACTCCTCAAAGTAATCCTCTAGTTTATTTTGCTTATCTCTCTTTTCTGGGTAATACTGATTTTGGAGAAAGCGTCGTAAACTTACGGATAATTACTCGGATATTTTGAAGCTCTCCAAGCTACAAATCTTTATAATTGGTGGCTCGTTTGAAGAACTAGTTCTTTTGCGTTTAGCACTTTTTCTGGTTTGCCTTGCCGGTTTATAGTCTTCAGAAGCTGTAATTATCTCAATAGAGCTTTTAATAATTCCTAGCTCCATCCAGATCCCTACTGGCTGATATGGCATACTGTTGTCATTGCAGAATAATACCAACTTCTTGTCGAATTCTTTAAACTCTCTTTTAATTTCAGTTTGACGGTTCTTAATTTGCAAAGCCAAAAAATAAAAAGTGTTATTGGACGAGCAAAACACAGGAATAATAATATCAATCCACAACCTCTTTGATTATAATATTGAAGATCATCATATGTCAAAACGGTGTATATGCGCGCAAATTGAATTACATAAACTTTCCCTTTTTTGAAAGGTAGATCTGCGTCTTCCAACTCAATACCGGCACCACCTAAAAATGAAGTGACATCAACTTCAAAATCAATTGTTCCAATTTGATTCGCAAAGTATCCTTTTAATATCTCTAAAACAATTATTTGAGCTGCTATTTCGCCTATATCCCCAGCATCGAGGATAGCCACAATTGAAAAAAATTTATCATAAAAATTTGGATAATAATTTGAAAATTGATGTGTATCCAACGCCAAAACAGGCTCAGACTGATAGACAGCAACAATATCTTCTCTTTTATTGCCGATATGTGTCAACATCGCCATGTGTTCTACAACAAATAATTCTGGTTTTGACGATAAGTTCCTCATTGGAATAGCAAAAAGTTGGCCAGCTACAGCTTTGATACTGGATATTTCTTTTCTCAGAATGCTATAGTAACATGGATCATGCTCAACTGCAACATGAACGAGTTTATCAACTGCAATATCAGTTATTTTGGGCAAATTATATCCTATTGTATGACAAAAGTGAAACCACACAGGTCTGCCATACCACCAAATTTCTAATATTTGAAGCAGAAAGTGTGGTGCCAAAGATCCGGTAGTAATTGGATAATTCAACCAAAGCGACTCGAAAAGCCCGAAACATACCTACAGGGTCTTCTGCATTATTATTATTAAAATGGTTTTGAATTAGAACATCAGTCTCGTCAAATAAGAAAAGAACATTGATTGCATTTTTGAGTTGATCAGGAATAATGTTTTTTGCAATATAATTTCCCAAAAAATTATTCAATTGGGGTAAAATCATATAGTCAGCATTATGAGTGGATATTTGGAGATTAAGCTCTGTATTTAAATCCAAATTTAACAAGTATTTGGTTGTAAACTTCAATTTCTCATTTCTGAATTGTGCATTTAACATTGATTTAACACAATCAGACACAAAAAATTTCAGCATTAGTTTTATCTTCCATCAAGCAAATCGAACTAACATCAGTTGGGATGTCTAATCTTGTAACAACAATTAAATGTATTAAAAACTGAAAAATATCCTCAACCTGCTTTCTGTTGCTAAATTCTATTTTGAAATCTATGATATGTTTGATACCAGCAGCAAAAGAAGCGTTGGGGTAGCCAGTGGAGTTGGCTTTTCTATAGCAAATATAAACACTGTTTTTATATTTTTTCATCACTTTAACCGAAAATCTGCTTTTGCCAGTCATGCCGGAATTAACCAAAGCAATGAATGGATAAACCAGATTCCGTTTGATATAAAATGTATTGCTATAATTATTTAATGTTTCTGCGAACAACTCTATTTCGTTTAGAATATTATTAAAAAGTTGAAATAGACTGAGATTACTCTTAAAGGCAGATTCGAATGATTTATATTGAAAAGGAATTGGTGAGTTATGTTGATCATCCTCGGGGTTTTTTTCTAGACACTTCGCTCTTGAAGGTGTTTAATTTTTAGAATAAATTTGTTTCATTAACATTTGAATAATTCCATTGATTGTTTAGATATTTTTCGTTCAAGCATTTCAAAAACTTTTCAAAATCAACTGGAGATGAAAAAGCAATAACATCTTTAGCAATTGTAATAGCTTTTTCAACCATTTCGGTAGTAATAAGTTGGCTATTATTTTCAATAGAAGCCATTGTTTTGCAATTTACTGTGGGAGCGATAGTTGAAATAACAATCTACAACAATGCAAATGTGATGATGTTTATAATAGATATATTTCATCCCACACCATATTGTAATTTTTTTAAAAGATGCCAATTGTAATCAATTGCAAGCAATCAAAAATCCAACATTACTCGCTTCTGGACAACAAAACCAATTTCTTTTATACGTAGATTATTAAAAAAAAAGATCCAAGCAATAATATGGTAACTGGCGGATTAACCTAGGTTAATAAAAATTATAGAAAATAAATTATTTAATGATTTTATGATTTTGGATATCAATCAAAAATAAATGATAAAGTTATTATAGTCAATGATGAACAGTTCAAAATCCATGGTTTTTCGGTGAGCCTAATTGAGAAGGAATATAAATATAAGCGTTTTCAATGTGTCAAATGCATGATTATACATGTCAAATGCTGTTTTTTTATTGGTAATTTATTGTTTTAGGGTATTTTCTATCCGAGAACTGAATTTGACATACGTTGACGGATCAAACATTTTATGATAGGTATTAAACGATAAGTAGTATTTGATCTCAGAGAAATCTTGATCTGCTGTTACAATTTTGAAAGATAGTTAATTGAGACCAATTGGGTTCAGTGTATTTGAAAAGGTGGTTTCCAATATCGTTTTTCCACAATTTGTTTTATAAATACACAAAAACCAACATCAATAACATCAATTTGCAGTTTAAAGTCTATGTTTTGATATAGTTATAGACAGACTGTTTATATTACATATGTACGTAAGTTATTTAATTTATTTTTTGTGATTATGGTTTTCAAGTATTATTCAGCAGCATAAACTACAAGTGGGTTGAAAAAGAAATAAATGAGTTTTCATGCCCAATTGAAAACTAATATATTGAGCCAAAAATTGAGAGAACCGATTTTTATATTTGTATACAAAATACAATTGTGCAAATAGTGTTTTATTTCGGATAAATAAAAGTTCAAAATAACGCTTGACTCACAAATTAAAACAACACATTTGTCTCCAATTACTGTCTCATTATTCTAGGATGATAGTTCATTTCTGCTTCGTTTATCTGCTGCCGAAATACTCTTTCAGTCAACAAAAACAACAAAAACAAACAGCCACAGAGCAGAAAAAGCTTTGGTTATTGTAACCACATTTCTGGAATTGTAACAATTGTACCACAAATGTATATGTAGGCACATTACGCGTGGAAATGCATAAATGCGCGATGATATTTCCACTGATACGGGTCTACACGCTTTTGAATATTTTTGGATTTGAATTTCGATTGAATTTGGTTTGTTTGAGATGTGCACTGAAGAAGCTGCTCTACAGAGCAGTGTAATGGCAGTGTAGTGTACATTTTTTCGAAGCGAAATGTTACAGCTGCTTTCGCTGCTTGGGAGCAGAGTTTCGTCAAATCACACAAGAGCTGTGCTGTTGAGCCCTTTTCAATTCTTACTGTGGGTATGAATGTCCTTGATGTGTTTTGGTGAGTGTTTTGGTGCTCGTCTGCTTCGTGTGTTTTTTGTTCCTTTGCAGAGGAATTGTGCTATGCAAAGTTCCATAACATGGTCAGAGCTGCTGCTCTGTTTATTCACTGTGTTTCTTTTTGTTTTCCTTCGATCTGTTATCTGCAATATCTGATTCAGGCACCAAACGTAAAGCACTCTCTGAAAACAGCCAATGGAAGACAGCATGGTCTGCTACCTACATTGCTATGTTTGATATCCATAATTCCGATATTCATTGAATCACCAAGTCTATCCAAAGCACGACAACTATGAAATTAGGAGCAGATCTCTCCTGCAGCCAAATAGAATAGATAGGAAATACATTGTTGGTATGCCTTTTTTCTTCCCTGAAAACACACTTTTGTTCTCAACAACAAAAAAAAGGTTTTCCTTCACCACATTTCAAACATATCCTTTTTCAAGGACACTGTACATATTATCATCCTATACACTGTCATACGCTTTTATACAATTACATACATATTTCACAAACAATAAGCCAATTCCAAAGTTTCCATACTCTCTGTACATATTATGTACTCTAAAAATAATGTAATAACAATTTTAAAATTCTCAACTGTTGATAATGAAAAGAAATTTATTACTTGGTTGTTTCATTATTCTGAACCGGATCCATTTATAAATTTCTTCTGCCTTTTTGTTGCAAAAATTATGTGTCTAAACAATATAAATAATTTCTGTTTTTTTTCAGAAACCTCTTCAACTTTTTAATTTAAATTCAATATTTATGTCCATGTCTATTTCTACAGGACCCATCTTAAAACCTGTTCTCCAATAATCAATTTATTATTATATTTTACTTTTACAACATTTTACGAGCTAAGGCCCAACGCACTATCAACCCAATATATTCAAATTCATCTTATTATATTACACCTCACTCTGATTTCTTGGATACAGTAAAATACAAGAAAAAAATGAAATATTTAGCTTCTATTGCACTTACACTTGGTCTCCTTTCTGCCTCAAATGCACTTGAATTAGCACAAAGAGATGACTCAACAGCCACTGATACCACCACTCTTGATGCTGCTAAAGAAACATCTTCTATTGACATAATAGCCAAAAATGCTGTCTCCACTATAGCTGATTCTGACGACTCTACAATGATACCACTTCCTACTCTTGATCCAGAATCTGTATCTTCTACATCTCGTGGTCATAGAACAAGAACCTATACTGAAACTGGTGATGATACTGAACTGACTGCTCTTAGCGATTCATATTCAGATTCAGACTCACAGGAAACTATCTTAAATTCAGATCTGGAAAGTACTTCTCAAGCATCCCAAACAGCAAAGTCTGTTTCTAGTTCAAACAACGCAATTCTACAGTTTGGAGACCAATACGCTTTTAATGCCGGTATTTCGTTGTCTATTGTTGGGGTTATCTTATCTCTTTTGTAAAATAACTATTTATTTTGTTTTATTTCGTTTTTCTATCAATCATTTGGATCTACTATCTAGCCTAATTTCCTTCTACTCTCCTGTGTTCTAATTTACCCTTTTCGGTTTTTTTGTTCTCTGCTTTTAGCTTTTTATATGCTCCTTTATTTAATTCTCTTTCTTGCTTTTTTTCTCATTTTCCTGTTCAACTATTTTCTTATCTTCCTACTGCCCTGTCTTTCTACTCCAACTATTTTAGCTGATGTACAATAAATGGTCCAACTAATCGTAATTTTGCTCTACTCCATCTCAATCTGGATAATTTGAAATTTCTTCCCAATAAAGCTAATTTTAAGCCTATTTGAGGTTTGCATGTTTTGTACCTTATTACTCTTCTAATCTTCGCGATTTTAGCCTGCATTGCATTGAAGAAAGCATGATGAATATTGTATTGTATTGTATAGGGAGCACTAATCCAGCAGCATATTGTATCTATTTATTTTCTATTATTTTTAATAAAAAAAATACAACCTATAATGTATAATAAATAAAATATATATATATAAGGTGTATGTATAAGGCTTATCGATACATTTAGGCATCTAGATTTAAATCCTTTAGGATATCTGAGATTTTATCTAAATCATTTTGATGCCTTTTCATATCATCATTTAAATCAACTTTACCATTAAACGTCAAGAAATCAAAATCGGCAACAACTCTGTATTTTTTCCCTAAGAAATATCTTATGTCATCTACTAATTCAATTGTATCAATTTCTTCTCTGTCTTTTATTCTCATCGCACTTTGATAAATGGTTTGTTTAAATTTTGTTAAATGATTCTCAATAAAATAATCTAAATTATTTGCGATAATCTTGGCTGCAAATTCTTCTAGTCTTTTAATCTTAGTTTGCCAGCTTAGTTTCAATATATTGATTAAATGATCCAAATGAATTGTTTGATCATTATTTGTAATTGAAATTGCAGCTAAGTTTTTCAATTTATCTAAAAAATAAAAATCAGCTATTAACAAGATATTTGATGCAAAATCAATTGGAATATTTGATTCATCGTAATATAAATGAGATAGAACTAACTCGGCGATTTGGTAATTAGATACATTAAACTTGATTATCTGAATATTATTGTGATTGTAGTTATCATTAGTGGTAGTAAGTGATTCTTTAAAACTCGAATTAAACATTGCTTGAAAAATTATGGATCTAATCAAGATTGATTTGTGAGCCGGAAAAAACGTTATCGAATTATTATAATAATTTGGGGCAGCCAAAATTATATCTGGAAATGAGTTTGAATTAGTAATCAAGTCATCTAATTGAGATTTCGATAATAGGATTTGATCAAGGTCAAGATTGTAATCGATATTATTTAAATAAATAAATTTTTTAATGTCATCATCATCATTATTACCCGAATCTGTATAATTATTCTTATCGTGTTGAATATTATTAAAATTAAAGGGTAAAGTTATTTTATGACCAATAATATTTTTCAGATAAAATTGTTTTAAATTCAATTTTGCATTGAAAATTATTGTTAAATTTGAAATATTTCTTCGAGATGATTTTAATTTGAAATCTATATTACTATTTAATTCATTGAAAATATAATAATTCAAATCATCATCTTTTAGTTTTAAAAGAGCAATTAAATCAATTAAGATTTCTTTAAAATTTTTAACTTTTCCCTTATTACTATTCTTATTTTCATTCTTTTTCAAATATAAGTTCAGTAAATAATTTATATTAACGGGATTAATTGGTTTTAAATAAAAATAATCCAAAAAAATTAAATTAAATATATCATAAGTGAAGTTTTGATTAAAATCTGATAAATTAATTGAGTCTTGATTTAACTTGTATAAATTTGAGATCTGCGATTCAAAAAATGAAGATCTTGAAGATAGTAGAAATTTGTGAACTTTTATGGATTTTTCATTATCATTAAATATTAGTGTTAAATCTGCCAAGTTGGTTTGTTTATTTGACTTTAAGGTCGAGATGTGAGAAGCAAAAGGCTGGACATTTTCAGAGGATTTCGATATATTGAAGTCGATTAGTAAGTCTCGAATTTGATCAGTCAATGCCCCATAAATGCACCTGGCTCCTTCAAAGGTATCTCTATCGCAAACAGCACCATTGTTTAGCAAAAATCTGACAACACCATAATGGCCACAAAGACTGGCTAAGGTCAAGGGAGAGTTATCCCATTGATCAGTCTTGTTGATGTCGATGATATGGAAGGACACAAGCTTTTCGACCTGGTCCAAGTCCCCAACTCGACAGGCATAGCACAACTGGGCGAATTCCTGCAGGACATCCATGGGAGTCAGCTACTGCTAGTAAAAAACGCTGAGTGGTTCAATCAACCAGTGCTGAGCAAAAGCACCCACCTCTTCCTTCATATTCCCTCCATCTTCTTTCACTATCTCCTTCAACTCTATTGTTCTCCACAGAACCGCCTCTTTGGCGACAAAACAAAATTCAGTTTAAAGGTCTCATGTGCTATGATGCTAGCACATGATATAATTAGCTAAGCAGTTACAAGGAAAATATCCTTAAACCTGGTCTCAAAACAGCATTGCCCCAAATACTAGTGCTAGGGCAATAAAAAGACCATTTCTTCGCTTTTAAAAAGAGCAATAAAAAGAATATAAAAGACTGGAAGATTTCAAACAGAACAGAAAAGAAAAGAGAAGAAGGACAAGAAAGGAACAAATATTACTAGTAATAAATTCTTCATAGTTATTCTAAATAAATAATATTATTATCGACCATATAATAATTGATATAAAAATCATAATCAGGGACTTGCCTTATTTGGAACAAACTAAGAAGGCCTTAATACACTCAGTACACACGTTCTTGTCACTAACACATGTTGCAATAGGACCTTCGTTATAACTTATTTTAGTTTACTATTGCGAGGTAATAATGTTTATTAACTAACTATAGAGAATCATTATTATTTTTTTCTTTTATATTTTGGAGCAATTACCTAATTTTCTGTGATTATCTGATGTGATCATGTGCTAATGAAATCTCACAATGTGTCAAGCTCGCATGCACCTGCATAGTACCAGCGCTCAATCCGGAAAAAATCACACGTGCCACTTCTTGGGTCTCAAAGAACTGGTGACGATTAAACCACAGTACTGGTTCCTGCGTCTTCACGCATGCTTACCATTAGCAACGCTATTAATCGCGCCGGAATTGGAGCTTCCTATGGTGTATAAAACACTGCTGTTTCATCCTCTGATCTGTATCTGCCTCTTTTTTTTCTTTTGCTCTCTGCCTTCTGGTTGTTGTTTTCTGGTTTTTGCTTTCTGGTTCTTGCTTCTGGCTCTAGGGTTGTAGGCTGCTTTGCTGCTGCTGCTTTTCTGCTTTTTTTCAATTCTGCAATTCTCTGATGCACTGGAGATGCTAACCACAATTTCCCACTACTATGAAGTCGCCAAACAAAAGCTATTATATCTCTCTGGTAAATCACAGCTTATTCTTAACAAATTGTTTCCTTCATTTATTGCTGTACATTATGGCTACATTTTGACGCTAACCTTTCTTGGTTCCATTCTTTTGTATGCTCCACCAATGTCTGATAAATCATCTGTTCATTCCATTTCTTACATCGATGCATTATTCTTCAGTGCTTGCGCTTGTACCCAAGCAGGTTTAAATACAATCGACTTGAATGAGCTTTCTTTGTTTCAACAAATCACCATTTACATCCTCTGCATGATCACCACTCCAATTTTTATTCACTCTTCAGTTTGCGTTATCAGACTATACTGGTTTGAAAAGTTCTTTGATAATATCAAATTTACCTCAAAATTGAACCATAAAATGAGAAGATCAAACACTTTAGCTCAAAGAATTAATTTATCAAATTCGACTAATAAAAATATTCCTCTTCATAATTTGAATCTAAGAAACCCAACTCTAACTAATGAGCTCACCCCGAATAAAAACATCCCCAATACTTCCGCAGCTAACATTACTTCAACAAATCTTAATAATGGTAATTCTAATGAAATAAATAACCAAGATAACCAAGATAATCACAATAACGATTTTTCAACAACTAATCAAAATAGAGATATCAAATTTGCCGAAAATTTACCTCACCCATCAAAGGCCAAGAAAGCAAGACAAAATTTCAACCCCGAAGAATTTTCAAGATCAATTCAAATGTTGAAAAATAATCTTGCTAACCAACCAATCAACGACGAAGATGATGGTCCTGCTTTAATTATCAATGGTCCCGCAGAGAGAGAAGAAAAATTGAAAAAGAAAAACCTCAATTTAAATTTACATAAATCAAGATCAAACACTTTGAATAAATTAAGATCTAGAGCAAATTCTTATCCTTTTAAACCTTGGAATAAATTTAAAAAATATAACAATAACAATAACAATAACAATAACATAAACAAAAACAATCATGATGATAGCAATGATAAATCTTTTGATATTTCGAAAAGCCCTATAATCAATACAGATATTCAAAACAATAACAATAAAAACACAGACCTTCAAATAAATACCCCTAATATATCAAAATTTCCGTATCCTTTGATCATTCGTGATGGATCAACTGATGAAGAAGACGATCAAGATCTTCCAAAAATTTTTAATCATTCCAATAATCAGAATCTCAACTCTGATTCTGATTCTGATTCTGATTCCGCTTCTTCTAATTCAAATCGTAATTCCAATTATACTTCTTTCAATTCAAATCACAATTCAAACTATACCTCTAATAACTCGAGCTCAAACTCAGAGTCTGATACCACAGAATCAGAATCAGATTCAGACTCAAATCTGTCAACTTCAAATAACTCTTCAATTCTCCAAAACAACTTGCCTCTTCAAAATACTATAGACTTAATTCATTTCGATACTAAATCGCAATCTCTGATGTCAAACTATACCACTGCTTCTTCAACTATAACTTCCGATAAATTATCCTTAAATGCAACCCCAACTAATATTTTAGATGACCAAAATATCGAATTAAAAAATTTGACAAATGTTTCAAGTCAAAAATCTGACATTGTATCTTTCCATACACCCAAACATAAAATCAAATTTCTAAAAAAATCAACAACTCTAGATTATCCTCCCAAAGGTAATGATAATAAGTATAAAAATAATAAATATGGTAATTTTAATAAAGATGATAATGTTCCAGTTATTGTTAGATCTGCTACCTTTGACAAGTTAATTAAGGATAAGCTTAATAAAATTAAAAAGAAGCGTCGTCGTCACCGTCGCAATAATGATGAATCATCAAAGCCTCCAAAAATTAGAACTTATTCAACAAAATCAATAACTAATTATATTAAACGTACTCAATCGGGTGATTCTTCCATATTTGATGGCGATAACAATAATAATTTAAAAAAAAATCTCAGCGCAAATTATCTCTCGTGGAATCCAACTATAGGAAGAAATTCTACCTTTGTCGATTTAACTGAACAGCAAAAGGAAGAATTGGGAGGTGTAGAATATAGAGCTATCAAACTATTGGTCAAAATTCTTATTACTTATTATGTCGGTTTCCATATAATGTGCTTAATTTGTATTTTACCTTATATTTCAACTGTTAAAGACAAAGTTACATATATTCATGATTGTGGTGTTTCTGTTCCATGGTGGGGTTTCTTTACTTCTGCTTCTGTTTTCAACAATTTAGGTATGACCTTAACTCCAGATAGTATGGTTTCATTTAGTCAATCAGCTTATTTCCTAATAATTTGTTCACTCTTTATTGTAATTGGCAATACTGGGTTTCCTATTCTTTTAAGATTTATTATTTGGGTATTGTTTAAATTTGCGCCAGACTTATCACTTTTTAAAGAATCTTTGGGTTTTCTTCTTGATAATCCTCGTCGTTGTTTCACTTTATTATTTCCCAGAGTTCCAACTTTATGGTTGCTTTTCGTTTTAGTTACTTTGAATTTAATTGATGTGATTTTATTTATTATCTTAGATCTTTCAAATGAAGCCGTTGAATCTATTCCCGTTGGTTATAGAATTATTGATGCATTTTTTCAAGCTTTTAGTACAAGAACTGCTGGGTTTTCAGTGGTAGATTTAGCAAAATTACACCCCTCGGTCCAGGTTAGTTACATGTTAATGATGTATATTTCTGTATTGCCTTTAGCTATTTCTATTAGACGTACAAATGTTTATGAAGAACAATCTTTAGGAGTTTATTATAGACCTGATGACCAAAGTGAGAATGAAGATCTTGATAAAAAACCAACTACGTTCATTGGAACACATTTAAGAAAGCAATTATCTTATGATTTATGGTTTATATTCATTGGTTTATTTATAATATGTATTGCCGAGGGAGGGAGATTAAGTAATTTAACCCAAACCAGTTTTACAATTTTCCAAGTTTTATTTGAAATTGTTTCAGCATATGGTACAGTTGGATTATCATTAGGTTATCCTGGGGAATCAACATCATTTTCATCACAATTCACTACGGTTTCTAAATTGGTTATTATTTGCATGGTTATCAGAGGGCGTCATAGAGGTTTACCATACGCAATTGATCGTGCTATAACATTACCATCTGAAAGATTACTTAAAAGAGATGAGGTTCAAGCTAACCATGTGCTTTCTAGAGGAAATACTCATTTGAATCTCAATAGTAGATTGCATACTAATAATACAGCTGCCTGATTGTGATTGTTTTAAATTGAATGCTATTTTTGATTTTCTTTCCTTTTTTTTTCAATTTTGAAATTTCGTGTTGTTTCCTGTTTTGTTTTTATTTTTTGGCATTTTTAACAAATTTTTATTTCATTTTCAAGTGACTTTCTAATCTTTTAATTTTTTGTCTTACCTATAATTGTGTTACTGCTTTTAGTGATTGGTGTCAATTCTTTTTAATATTTTTAAATTTTTTTAAATATTTTTTAACTTTTTTAATTTTTTTTGATTTTAAGTTATTTTGTATTATATTGTTTGCTTTTTTACTTCTAATAGTTTAGATCTTTTTATAAGTCTATAGAATTTTAATAAATAAATTTTTGAATTGAAAAAAGAAACAAAAAAAAAAGGAAAAAAACACAGCAAAAAATATTTATTATAAATAAAAAACACTCATTCAATAAAAACATAATAAAATCTTGGTATAGTAGAATTTGAATAAAATATACGATAAGAACAATAAAAAGAACTGTAGTTTGATAAGAATGTAATATAGAAAAATTGAAATTTGTAAAAATTTAGTCCTTAATAGATTATGTATTAATCTCTGTCTTTAATTTCGAATTTATCGTCAAAGGGGCTATGAGTTTGTGATTTATAAGATATATGAGATTTATGAGATGCAGCATCTTTGTAAGAAGAATCTGAATCATAGTCATTTAAATCTAGATTTACTATAATATCATTATTTTTTTTTGAGATATTTGAGGTTGAAGCATTTAGATAGTTATCGGATGGTCTTTTTATTTGCAAAGGCAGTATATTTTTTATTTTATTATTATTGTTGTTGTTGCTGTTGCTCTCTACTTTTTTTGTAGAATAGTTGTTTGTATGTATACTTCCTTCGGAGCTTAAAGATATATCTGAATCTGAAGTATAGCCTTCATTTGATTCTGTGATATTAGATAACATTGTTTTCCGGTTACTTCCCGGATTAATTGATTGGTATTGTTTGTTTTTAAGAGTATTTTTTTTAGTTTGAGAATCTAAATCCAGATCTGAATCCAAGTTTAAATTTGAATTTGAATTTGAATTTGAGTCAGAATCAGAATCAGAATCAGAATCGGAATCAGAAGATGTTATGTCCTTTTCTGGGATATATTCATTTTGCAATCTACTTGATTTATTTGGAACATTGTTATTGTTGTTGTTGTTATTACTTGAATTTGTAGTATTATTAAGAGTTGAGGAAGGTAATTTTTGATTAATTTTTATAGCTTTAACACCGCCTAATTTTGAAGCTGATATTGCAGCAGAGGCATCATTTGAGGTCAAAGTGTTTTCATTTATACTAACTAATTTGGGTCTTGCTCTTATTGCAGTCATGGTTTCAGAGGGATTAGCTACAATTGTTGCCTTTGAAAACCTGTCACCCGATACTGAGACATCGATATCTGAGAAATCTGAATAGGTTGATACAGTTTTGTTTTGTCTTACACCTGGAATGTATGCTATTGGAATTAAATTAGAAGCTCTGGAGAAGATGGTCGAAGTTGCACTTGCAATACTACCTCTAACACTATTATTAGTAGCAGCTCTTGGGTCCATAAATTCGCCATTATTTAGTATTGGAGCATTTTGGATGTTATTATTATTATTATTGCTTTTGTTATTGTTATTGTTATTGTTATTGTTGTTGAACTGAGAGTTTGGAGAATTTTGATTTAGCATGGAATTTTTTTCAAGTCGTTGTTGTTGTAATATCATCATCTCCTGTAATTTTTTCTTGTTTTTCTTGTGTCTCCACCAAAGTAAAAAAATGATTAAGATTAGTAGCACTACACCCCCGACCACACCGCCAGCTATTCCAGCTATATTTGGGGAGTCGTTGTCGTTGTCGTTGTCGTTGCTGCTATCAGAAGAAGAGGAAACGCATCTAACAGAAGCGCATGATTGACAGGATGCAACGACCATTTTACAGGTTTGTCCCTTTTCGCAATTGCAAGTTGGAGAGTCATCTTCACACTGTACGCAATCGGATCTTTTTTGAAAGAGATGGTTAGAAGTGGAGGGGGGAGATTGTATTATTATTATGTCATCGTATCGGTAAGCGTAATTCATCTTTGGATAGATTATTGATGTCTTTTAGCAGGAAATAAAGACGAATCAAAGTAAAAAGGGAGTTTGAGGGAGTTTTGGGAGAGTTTGAAAGTGGATATGGTATGAAACGATATAATGCGATGTGACAAGATTGAGAGAAAATGAAGATATTGAAGATACCTAAGTAGATGAGAAGACGAGAAAAAAAAGAAAGAAAGAAAGCCAAAAAGAATTGAAATTAGCGAGGGGATACTGGGGTATAAGAAAGAGGAAGTAAGCAGAGAGCCTAGTGAGGATAATAATACTGCGAGGTGATGAAGAATAGTATAAATAGAGCAGAAAAACGAAATATAATGGGATGCAGATGTATATAGGGATATAAATATATAAAGTTGGATGTTACAGGAGTGGTGAGGACAAAATGAGTGGATTCCTTTCAAAAACACATTTTGGACTGGAAATCAGGTTTCAGAACGATGGGTCGAAAAGGGATGTGGCCAGAAAAGGCAGGTGTGTGGCAGCAGGCCTTTTTGGGCACGGTGGTTCCACGGGCGTGGAGTCTGCAGGACATCCCTGAAGGAAGGGTCTAGACTGTTTATTTTTAGCTGGGCGGGAATTTGGATCGGTTTGAAGAGAGGCGAAGAGGAACGAGAAGAGGAACGAAGAGAACTACAACAGTAAAATGTGGTTGGGTGAATAATATTACAAAGATAAGAACTATAGAAAGTGAAGAGTTAAAAAAACAATGTCAGAGAGAAATGAATGTATAGAAAAATCAATTGAAAAAGCAGAATGGAGCCGTTTATAAGAGGGCTAAGAAACCACCGACGATAGCCAAAGAGATACCAGCGTTTTGATAGTGGTTGGCAAAAAGCACACCGGCACCATTGGAGCTGGAGGAGTCAGAAGAAGCAGAGACAGAAGCAGCACCGGCACTCACCACAGAGGTGGACAAAGTGGTGGAGGTCTCGTCATCATTGTCGTTTTGTTCCTCGGAGATCCTGCTTGCAACTCTACTGGTGGCTCTGCTAAACAAACTATCGCCTGCAGATGTGGCATCGCCAAAACCAGAAGTTATATGACTGGCAGCATTTGTGGCAACGGAGGCAATACCACTAGTAGCATCACCAAAGCCAGAGGTGATACCAGAGGCAGCTCTGGTACCTAAACTTTCTGCGACAGAGGTAGCATCATCGAAGACAGATGTGACATGGGTAGCAACATTGGTAGCAACAGAGGCAATTCCACTGGTGGCATCACCCCAAACAGATGCTATATCGTCACCGATGTCCTTTTTTTGTAAAACACCAGCATTGGCAGCTGAGATGAAGGCAATTGGAAGAACACTAGCAGAGAATTTCATTATGGTGGGTAGTTGTCTGTAAATAGAGAATAGTAATTGGAGCAAAAGCTGGATGAAGATAGATATGGACAATAATGCATCGCCAACATAGAAGGAAATAAGAGGATATTTATATGTGGGGATCAAAATATTTCAGACTCCAAATTGCAAATAATTTCTAAATAAATGGACATTGTTTACTCTTTGAAAAGAGCGTTTACATGCAGTGCTTGTGCGTGTGTACACAGTAGCTGGCTGTGGCACTCAGGGCTGTGGTGCGTTAGTGGGCTATCGTAAAAGAGCCACGTTTGTTGCGCCCAGGAGCAGAGGGACAGGCTCAGCAGAAACTGACGCTGTCTGCATTTAGCGCAAACCCAGTTTCTTTTTCACGGGGCCGTGCAGGTCACGCGGGCGGGAAAAGCATGAGTAGGAAAAAAAAACGGAGATCGCGCGGGATTGTGAGCCGGGCAGCAGCAGGGCTGCTTGTGCGCGTCCCGTGACAGAGCCAGCCTGAACCTGGAATCAGCCCAGAACAGAGCTCAAAGTTCGAGAACAAGTGTCTGAGAGCAAAAGCTCAAGAACAGGTGCCATTGATGCTGGCAGTGCTGGTGGTGGTTTGCATTCAATTACTCAAACAAAATGTGTCTCAGCTTCATTTCCATGAATTCTCGCTTCAATTCCACTCTGAATAGCCCTTATTCCTAGTCTAAAATTAAACTTTGGTCCTGGCTGGATACAGATCTGGTGCTAAGCTTTTCATGCAGCTTCATTTTTTATACTTTACTAATCATTTACTAATCATTTACTATAAACGGAATATATGTCTAATTATCTAGCTACTGTTTGCTATTTAATGATCACAAACCAGCTTTTGTTTATTGTTGGAATGTTTGCTTTTTTTTCTTTTTCTTATTTTTTTCCTCTTCTCTTAATGACCTGATGTTGGTAGTCCTACAGCAGCCTTAAATGAATCGTAAATCAACCATTGAAGCCCCGTCAATGTTCCAATCATCACAATACGAATCGGTAAGCCATTCCATAATCCAACAAATCCAATCTTCCCATATATCTTCTTGACAACATTGGCTGTTGACTCATTTGAGCTCTTTTCATTATTGATTTTAGACACCATCACATCTGCTGGATGCGACACAATAGCACAAAAGATACCTGCAATGTATCCTCCCAAAAACGATACCCCAGTTTGAGTTCCCAACGAATACTCACTCTTTTTCTTGGGCAAGTAGCTATATATCAGCTCAACCACTCTTTCAAACGTAGCAAATTTAACCATGGTATAAGGAATCTGTCTGAACCACAATGGATACAATCCTTTGTAAAATCCATATACTCCCTCACTCTTCATAATCTTATTGAATCCGTCAACTACATTATTAGCAAATGGTGGAATGCTGGTCTGTGTCTTTACTTTTATGGATTCAAATGGACACAAAAATATATCTGCAAGAAACTCTGCTGATGCCGATGCACTCAAATACAACGTTGTCTTGTACTTTTCTGATAGTTCTTTTCCAATCAAATTAGAATAGTTGTACTTGAAAAACTCATAAAACCCATATTTGCCTGCTCCTTGCAATGAATACCCTATGGCGGTTGCTCCAAATCCTGTGAATATTCCCTTGATTCCTTCACCCTTGAGGATCGTCTTTAGCCCCTCTAGATTGGACTTGTATAACGCAGAGCTAACTTGTCGACGACATTTAATCAAATCCAATGGTGTAACAGCTGAATGTGTTGGTCCACAAGCTAGGATTCCTCCAATTGTGCAAGCGCCAAAGTATTTAGGTGTAAACAATTCAATTTTATTATCATTACCCATTTTGCTTAACTGTTCAAGTTAATAACTGTATAATTAGTGAATATAACAAGTTGCTTTAGAAACTGTTCGTCTATATATATGTGTGCACTCATACCTGAGAGGTTGAGAGATTGAGAGATTTTAATGGATGCACTGGATCATAAAGGGGGTTATCATTTTAACAATTGCAACAACTCTTAACTATATATCCTCATAATAGCAACACAAGGTGAAAACGGTCACCAGAACTGGTTCAGAAATCGCAACTTTTCTTTTCCTTATCTTTACCTCTAAAACACCTCTTAAACGCTATGGATAATCTTAGCCATAGTGTTTTCCATCTTATGGCTATCGCGGATAATCTACAATCTCTTTCAATAAAGGACCTAGTAGAAGCAGTTTATTTATCTATATCTAATTAGACATGGAATAGTAGTATAAAAGATCAATTTACTTAGGATAACTTCTATAATCAAGAGGCATTAAATTCATAAAAAGTACGCATTAAGTCACAAATTAAAATAAAAAAATAAGTAAAATGAAAGGTAAAATAGAAAATAAAGTAAAAAACAAAGTCAAGTAAAGAATCGTAAATCGTTAAAAGGAGTAATTGGAGTAAATAAATTAAGAGTTTTTGGTCGGGGGTTTTTTTCATAAGCAATTGATCTTTATCTTATCCATATTCTAACAGGGATAAGTCTTGTAATCAATAAAAACATTAGCATTATCAGAGAAGCAACCAACCTCAACTTCAACCTTCAATTTGTTCGAATGATCACCATGATCGGTGTATTTGTACGTCAACTTATCAGGTGTATCTATGGTATCATCCAACTTCAATTGCATGTCTGAAAAACCAGTTGATTCAGGTAATGTTGTCAACAAATTCTTCTTGATGTGTTGGTTCAAATGTCTAACAAACTTCTTGTTCTTCTTGTTCATTGAAGGCTTTATCTTCTCGGGGTCATTGTGACATGAATTCAACACAAACTGGGGAATATAACTGACCTGTGCATGTATTTGATCATCTTCTTCAGACTGTAGATAGAGTTGAAAGGTCTCCAAGTCGTCAAACAACCTAATATCAGAGTTTCCACTGGTTTTACCTAATTTCTTTCCACCTTTCTTTCCACCTTTTTTACCCTTTTTACCAGAAGCTTGGTTATTACCAGCAAGAGTATTTTCGATGGATGATAAAATGTCTGACATCTTTGGCGACTAAATATTATATATTATGAAAGAGCTGAGAAGAGTGAGGAGGTGAACTGAAGAATTTAAAGTATCGACTTCAAATTGATAAATAAACTTGAATAGTGTTTGAGTAGTATTTGAAAAACAATTGAGTTTTGTCCAAATGTAACAAAAATAATTATTATAACTAGTGTGATAGTGAAAAGATAATTAGAAGATAATAATGGGGGATTCCAATCCAATATTTATATTGGACTATACTTGATATGGTATAGCTGGCGATAATCAAAAACGACTTGAGGTCTACTGGCATTAATTTTGTTGGCCAACAAAGAGTTGGGCTCTACCCACAAGAACAGCTTGAATTGAATAAAACATTGTAAACAAGAGCCAATTGACCAATCTCGCTACGGTATGTGAAGTCTGGATATATTGTGACTTGTTTGAGCGAGTTGTGATCATATCCAACTCAGATTGTGACATTTGTTTGGGATTTGCCTCTGATTAACCTATGATTTGTTTAAAATTTGTTTATGACTTGCCTATAATCTGTCTATAATCTGTTTATGAGGTTAAAATTATAATTGAATACACTTTACAGCCAGTGATAATAGAATATCTGTGATCAGTGTTGGAGTCGGGTTCCACAGAAAGTTGCACTGCGCACGGGGAGCACCAGCAGCAACCGCGCAGAAAAAGCCGCCAGCGCACACTGACGTCCCATTACGAGAGGGGGTTTGGTCAGTTGTTTACTAGAAGCATAACCCCACAAGAGAGCTGGAGTGATCGAGCAATGTAAGAGGATGGCACTGGAGGATGTTGGCAGCAACTGATAAGAGCTGCTTGCAATTAGGCGAACCACCGGAAGCTGGCCTATGGGAGCACAGGAAGCCTGCTGGAAACACTCTGGAAACACTTGCAAACACTTGCAACCACTCTGGAAGCTTTTTGGGAGCGCTCTGGAGTTGTTGTGTTATTCTTACCCCATACTCTGGATGATAAGCAGTTCACTGGTTCTTGCTCAATCGTGAGCTCTCTTTCTGAGCTGTTTCTGTTTCAGTTTCTGTTGATATCTCCATCCTCAACCTTATCTGCCAGACATTAGTCATGTTTATAACTTTGGTCATATTAGTCATACTGTCATAATACTTTAAACTCATAATTTCATCCTTTCCTAATTCCACCATTCCCAATCGCTTCACAAACTTGATTGCACCATTTCAATTGCATTCAACAATTCAACAACTTGCTCAACTTGGCCAACAATTCAACTCCCACCTTTTCTTCAACTTCTCCAGTTTGTATATAAGTATCAGTTTTCCTTTCGATCTCTTTCACTTTTCACTTCTCCTTTCTAGACTATCAACAAATAATTAAATTTATTTAATTATTACCCACGTTTATTCGACTTTCAACCCGCCAATCAATCGACTCTTCTCTTAAACTTTCATAAGTTTGTCCAAACAAAACTCCTTTACCTCTTTTCAATCTATCATAATATTACTGTTGCCAAAAATGAGTGCTCCTAACTTTGACCTTTCTATTCATGAAAATGTTACTTTGAATGACTTAGAAAGAAAAATGGAACAAATTAGCAAAATCTCAAAGGAAATTGACTTGTTAGCTTCATTCGATGTTACCAAAAAGAATACAAAAGAAAACTTTGGTACTCATTTCAATGATCAATCCTTTTCATTAGATGATAATCTTGATGATGAATTTTCTGCTGGTCCAGAATCTCAATTCGATGATGACAATATTGATCATGACAAATACTGGGACAACTACCACCAATTCTTTGAAAAGTTGAATTCGGCCAAAAACGATATCAAACAATTCAAGAAAATGGTCCCTGAATTCATTGGTGATGGTATGGACTTATCTGATGACGAGTTGAATACCGCCATTAACAATATTCAATCTTTAAACAATAAATTAGACAAAAACATCAACCAAATTAACACCGCTTATAAAACTTATTCAAATGTTGATAACAAATATATCGACGTTTAATATTCATTTCTCATGTATATTATTACACTTCTATCTTTTGTGGAAATCATAACTAATACTCTCTTATTTTATTTTATCTTATCTTATTTTATTTTATCTTATCTTATTTTATTTTATCTTATCTTATCTTTATTGACTTATACTGGTTATATTTCATCGATGGTTTTTTATTTCATTCCTATTATTTTTTTAGATTAAACTGCATTTATTGAAAAAAGAAAAAACTTTTATGAACCTTTTTTTATCTCTTACTCTATCACTTATGATTTATATAAGTCTCTAGTTATGATCAATTAAATTAACGAATAAATATCTTTTAACGAAACTATTCTCAAAAACAGTAAAATTTTTCTAACCCAGATTATCAGATCACGTATTTTCCCTTTTGAATTGTTGCATTGTAAGTATTACATAACACCTGATAAATAGTGCGGGCTAACACATATTTGATGCAGGAACATGCGCCCAGATCAAATTTGAGTTCAAGCCCAAATTGTTGGCTCAAATTCCAAATATCAATATTTAAATCTTCCTTTTTCATTACTTTTTTAATTCTAATTCTTTTTCCTGCTCATATCACATTATATTACTTTTCAATTACACCAATATTCTCCAACTCTTTAAATATTCTTCAACTCTTTATAATCTCTAAAAACAAGAGAAAAATGGATCTTCAAAACAAATTTCCAGTCGAAATTATTAAAGATATCGTCTACTATCTTCCTTATAACCAAATATGGCTATTCACTTTATCATCAACACCCATACTCTCAAGATTTGCTTATTCGTTTTTATATGAAAGATTAATTATCCTTGAAAACTCCTTACCTAGTGATAACTCCACTTATGAAGTAACTTTTAAAAAACAGAAACATCATGAGTGTTTTTGCATTTTAGATATCAACGATTTAGAAAAAAATATTAATTTATTTAGAGATAATTTAAATTTTACTAAATATTTATCATTTAGATTTGAAATTAAAGAAAATTCTACAGACGATTTTCAATTTTTAAAATTAATTCAAAATAACACACTTTTTTTTAATAATTTACAAAAAATTTCGTTTAAGTCTTTACGTAATTACAATAACACTAATTTTGAGAAAAAATTAAATCAGTTTTTTTTTATTAAAAATAAATTAAACTATCTTCAAATCAATGGTTTAAGTTTGAATTATGTTAACAATTTTAATGACTTGGAAATCTTTCAATATTTTAATCCCAATTTAACTTCCTTATATTTGCATCAAACCAATTTCAAAGGTTTTCCAAAAGAATATATAAAAAATCTCATTAGTTTAAAGAAATTGGTATTTAATAGAAATTTTTTATTGCTTCCTGGAGATAATGATGATCTGAATAGCAAGAAATTATCTATTAAATTATGGTCAAATTTAATTAATTTAAAATATTTAGAATTTTCAAGCTGTTATCTATCTCAACTACCTGATATCAACCATCTAACTAATTTGAAGTTTTTAAAATTAACAAAAAATCGTATTGATTCGTTTGCTAGTTTTAGTCAATTACACAACTTGAAATATTTAATTATTGATGGAGAATATTATAGTTCAAGATCAACATATAGTATCAGCTCATTGGATAATTTTACAAATTTGAAAGTCCTAAAATTAAGTCGATGGAATTTAAATGAGATTCCCAAATGTATTAATACATTTAAAGACCTTGAATCATTAAATTTATCATCGAATAGTATTACCAAAATTGAAAATATTGATGAATTGAAAAAATTAAAAGAATTAATATTAACTAATAATTCCATCAAAGTAATTGAGAATATTGATGATTTAGATGAATTGGAATGCTTAAATTTTTCATCAAATAATATAAATGATAGTAAATTAAACAAAACATTGAAAAACTTAAAGATATTAGATTTGAGTGCAAATTCTATAGTAACATTTGAGAATAAATATTTTTTTCAAAAGTTTGAAAATATTGAAAAATTAGAATTGGGATTTAATAAAGAAGTGAAATTCAAAGATTTGAAATACTTGAAAAATTTACGATGTTTAAATGTTGAATTTACCGAAAATGAATTTATTTTTAAAATTAATGATTTCAAAAAATTGACTAAATTAGAGGAACTCAATCTAAGAAATAGTGGGATTGAAGATGGATCATTTTTTAAAGTTTTACCTCAATCAGTCAAAAAACTTGATTTATCTCATAACTCCATTGGTCATTTTTCAATTAATGATGAAAATGATGGCGATGATGATGAAAATGATGGTGACGATGATGAAAATGATAATGGCAATACTTCAACTGCAGTTTTGAATAAAAATATGCTTTTAATTATGGATAGAGATGAGAATGAAAGCGATTTTGATAAAGAAGAAAATCAAGATGGAATGTATTTTAAACTCCAATATGCTCCCTATAATAATCTGCCTAGGGGAGATAAATCTAATAAAGATAAAGATATAAATGGGAGCGATAGTGACAGCGACAGTGAAGATGACAAAGAGAAGAACGATAATACTGCTGATTATAATAATTTGTATATTGAAAAATTGGATTTATCATTTAATGAAATTAAAAATGTCAAATTTCTCAATTCATTTACTTTTAAGAATTTAAAATGCTTAAATTTATCAGATAATGATATTGAGGAATTTAAAGTTGATGAATTAAATTTTGTAAAGAATTTGGAGGAATTGAACTTATCCTACAATTATTTGGACAAGATCGATCCTAATGTTAAAAAAATTGAAAAACTACAGACTTTGAAATGTTATAAAAATGAATTTATTGATATCGATAAACTTGAAAAATTAATTGAGGACTTTAAGAATATAGATACAAATGATAGTGAGAACACTAATACTAGTAATAATAAAATTAAGCATGAAAATGAAGAGATTGATTGTGGAAATAAAAAAAGAAAATTAACATGATTTGCAATCGTTGTAACTGGTGATGATTATATAGAATATTTAAAAATCTCCTAGATTACACTCTAAAGTAAATATATTTGTTTATTTGGCTTTTGAGATCTATTCTTTTGAGGTATCACTCAATTTGTAGATTTCTGTTGGAGATTTCAGCATGCAAGTAGTCGATTCTCTTTTGGTTATTCTTTAACACAATTTTGTTCTCAGAAATGCTCTCTTTATACAACCTGATGTCGTCCTTGATGACCTTGACATCGTCATCCTCATCGTCCAAAGGGCTCAAGTCATTGTCCAACTGGTTGTCTGAAGTGCTATTGAGTTTACTACTCAATTTCTTGATTTCCGCCTCCATCAAGCTGTTGGAGTTGTTTAGCTTGTTGATGGAATTCAATACCTCCTTCTTCAAACTGTAAAGTCTGTCGTTAGGAAGGCCAGGCAAGGCGATCTTGAAGTCTCTGAGTTCTATGAGTGACATTTTGGGTTGGTTGTCGTAGGATATTGATTGGAGATAGCGCTGCTTTTGATGGTATTTATATGCCCTGAGCTTGCTCTTCTCCACAAACCAGCCATCACACATTTCGCATTCCACCGTTGTGGGTTTCTCTCCAATTGGTGGACCTTCGACTTATGTGCGGCAGTTCGTAAATATCGTAACGGAAATCGATTATCTCCTGTGGATACACCGGGAAGTTGACGTTATGACCGGTTCGACTTTCGACATGCACGTTTCGCAGGGCCTTTCCGTGGCCCTTTTCTTCTTCTGCTGCCTGTGCTGCCTGTGCTGGAGTATCTTTTGCTGTTTCTTTGGGCTGTGGTCATTTTGACTCTCTGTTGCAGCTGTGTCTAACCTTTGGAACTGAGGCTGATCAGGTCTAATGTCCACTTTACTCACTTTTGAGTTGACATTCCCAACATCGTCAGATCGATAAGTAAAACAGTTGAAACTTAACAACGCTCTTTCTTTATATCTACATGTTCTTAGCTTTCAAATAAAATCAAACATCAATATCTTATGGCCTCCTCCCTGAATTATGATCGTGGTCTCTATGATGTAGATCATCTCAAGAACCCTTTCTTGGACGCAAACTTGCTGGATGACAACAGCAGCAATAGGAATTTAATCATCAAATCTTGGTCATCTTACAATAAATCATCTCGAGATATTCTTTTCTACGTTTTTGGCTGGTATTTTTTGGCTTTAACTATCTCTTTATACAAGAAATGGTTGTTTAGTAACCCTTCACTTAATCTATCTTATCCATTTATCATAGCTTCATTTAATTATTTTATTTTGTTTATCATAAGTTTACTAGTCTTACTATTTTCCTCGTCTTTAAGATCTTCAATTCGGAAAAATATCAATCAGATTCAATTAATTAATAATGATTTTGATGTCATTGATAATATTCCCAATTTGAATTCGAATTCCAACTCTAATTCCAATTCAAATCTCAATTCAAATCTCAATCCAAATTTCAATCCAAATTTTGACTTCAATCTCAATTCTAATAATAATAATAACAACTATCTACAATTTAAATTTAAAGATTACTTTATGGAACCAAAATTATATTTATTAACAATCTTACCATGTGCAATAGCTGCAGGAATCGATATGACTTCAGCTAATTATAGTCTAAAATTCTTACCTTTAAATTCTATTACTGTTATTAACTTATCTTCTTTTACAATTTTCTTATTGTTTTTTGGGATTCTTTTCCATTTAGAAATATTCTCATTTACAATAATCAACATAGTGATTATAATCACTATCGGTTTAATTTTTCTCTTAACTGGTAACCATAGCAATATCCCTTCTTCAATCTCAATTTTTTCGAGTCATAAACAAATAGGTTATGTCTTAATATTAACTTCATCTTTTTTCTCAGCTTTTAAATACAGTTTAATTCATTTACTTCTAACCAGAAATAAATTTACTTTTAATCCAGTTGCAATGATTTTTTACCTATCTCCTGCAGTCTCAACGATTTTATTCTTTTTAAGCATTCTTATAGAATCAAATATTAACGATTTCATAAATAACGATATTTGGACTCAAAGAGGAAAGTTTACTGTTTTTTTCTTGTTATCAATTCCCGGAATATTATCATTTTTCATATTAGTTTGTCAATTTAATCTTTTAAAGAAAACTCACCTTATAACCTTCTCAGTCTTTGGTATAATCAGGATTATATTAAAATATTTAGCTTCTGTTATAATATTCGAAGATTCTTTTAGTTTAAATAACTTTTTCGGTTTAATTGTACTTATTTGCTCAATAATTTGGTTCAATCATTTCCGGTATATTCAATCATTTCAAAATATCGAGAATTTTAGACAGTCTGACATAGAATTTCAAAATTATTTTCATAATCTGAGAGTTAATTAATTAGTTCAAAATTTAAAAATTTAAAAATTTAAATAATAATAATAATAATAACAATAATAAAAGGTATAAATAGTCAAATAAATAAAGAAAATTCTTATTAAATTCTTTTATTAAATTCTTTTATTAAATTTTATATTACTTGATTATATACTAAATGTTAACCCATGTACCTTCTAATTCATCATATCGTCTTCTATTTCTTCTTCTTGTCATAGTAGTTGCGTTGTCGTTATCAAAACGAATCGAATCTCGTTTCAATCTACGTAGATTTCTTTCTCTTTCAATTTCTCTCTTTTCAATTTCCCATTGTGATAATAATTCAACTTTGGGACCCCAATTTGCACCCAAATTCTCTGGATCGAATCTAATTCCATTTTTAGACCCATGAACTGCTAAATTAGGCAAATATTGTGGAATATATCCATCGATTGAGTCCTTTTTCAATTTTAGGATGATTTCGTATAAGGAATGAGTTATAGCGGGAATGAATTCATTACTTAAGCCTAAATCCATGGCTACTATTTTTGAGAACAATTCTGGAGTTAATTGGTCATTATTATCGTTTTTGCTGTTATTATAGTATATTAAATTGTTATTGATGTTGTTTGAAGATAAATCCCATTGGAATTTGTCCTGATAGAGAACATTGTTCAAATTTACGGATAAATTTATAATGAATTGGATATCGATATCATTTGGCAAATTAATTGAAGCTAATTGGTTGTATTCATCAATTTGAGATTTAATTGAAGAAGAAATTTGAGGTTGATAAGCATTTTGTGGTAATTCTAAATCTTGACAAAATAGCTCAGCAAAGAATTCTGGGGTGATTGAGTTGTCATTGATATTCCACATAAAGTAGTCGTTAATTTTGTTTGTTTGATATTCAAGATTGATTCTAATTGGGATAAGGATTTCCTGTAAATTTTGATTAAAAACTTGATTATCTAGATGATGATCGTAATTTCTATTAACTTTTGGGGCTAATTTACCGAATAATCTCATTTGGTTTAAACTATTAGTATGTAAATTTTGATTTTGATTTTGATTTTGATTTTGATATTGGTATTGGTATTGGTATTGATTATTGTTAATATTGATATTAATATTATTATTAATGTTATTGTTAATGATAATGTTATTGTTGTTGTTGTTGCTGTTATTATTATTATTATTATTATTATTATTATTATTATTATTATTATTATTATTATTATTATTATTATTATTGTTATTATTATTATTATTAGAGTCAATGAGATTGCCATTATAATTAGCAAAATTATTTGGGTTGATATTTGAGATGTTATTTGAAATATTGTTTGAAATTGATTGGGAATTATTATATTGATTTAGTTCAGATAATGGAGTCATGTTTCTTGAGGATCTTGTTACCATTGAGGAAGAATTTATGAAATTATCGTTTAAGATGTTATTGGTGTTGTTGTTATTGTTGAAATCTAGGAATTCATCATCATAGTACTCATCTTCAGCATAGTTGACTACAGTGGTTGTTCTTTTTCTTGTTGGTTGAGCAGTTATATAGAGAGCAGTGTTTTCCTTTTGAATTCTTGAAAAGAAGGATGTTGTGCAAGCCTGGGGTAAGAAAGGCTGTTCATATTTGATATCGGACATCTGAAACAGCAGTAATCAAAACAGTTATAACACCAAAAGAGACTGATCTGGGTATTAATTGAAGAAGTGATATTATATCGTCCAGCATAAACCGAGATCAGCATTTGGAGATAATACGATGGATGTATTTTCTTCAAAATTTCAGAGGAAAATACGCGATTACATAAGTGGTGGGATTGCGTGACGAAAAGAAACGCAGATTAGGATAGGACGGTTTGGGATTTTCAATGATTTGTTATCAATTGCTTATTATTTGGGAGAGTGAGTTTGCTACATATACAAGTGCTAATATTGGGTGATTCGCCATTAGATAATTATTATTGTATAATTATTGTTGTATATTACAGATTGGATATTGGATATTGGATATTGGATATTGAAGATGAAGATATACTATATTGGGATATTAAAGCCAGTTGGAGACAAAGAGGCTGTTGAGTTATCTAAAACCACAGATCTATCACAATTTTCATTTTTTGAACGAAATGGGGTGTCACAGTTTATGAGTTTCATGGCAGAGACAGCGTCAGCAAGAACTGAGCCTGGGCAAAGACAAAGTATTGAAGAAGGTAATTATGTGGGACATGTTTACTTGAGAAGCGAGGGACTAGCAGGGGTGTTGGTCACAGATAAGGAGTACCCAGTCCGAGCAGCATACACATTGTTGAACAAGATATTGGATGAGTATATCATGACATTTCCACCAATGAAATGGAAACACATTTCTGGCAAGCAAGATCCCAGCATAGGTCAATTGAACTTCAGCGATTTGGAGTCGTACATCAAGAGATATCAAGATCCCGGACAGGCAGATGCTATCATGAGGGTACAACAGGAGTTGGACGAAACCAAGATCATTTTGCACAAGACAATTGAAAGTGTTTTACAAAGGGGCGAGCGACTAGACTCGTTGGTTGACAAGTCAGAGGCCCTCAGCACCAGCTCCAGAACATTTTACAAGACCGCCAAAAAGACCAACTCGTGCTGTGTTGTGATGTAGAGGAGCCGATGGATGCTGTTGCACAACTTCACTTACTCTTTACTCGACTCTACACTAATCACTAATCACTAAGTAGTACACTTACACCAGCCCTGAAACCTGTTCTCGTTTGCTCTGGCTCTGTGGCAGCTTACGGCATGCTTACCAATCCGTAGTCCTTAAGAGAATCCGTCTCACGTGCCAGGCGTTTGACGGTCTCGTACCGCGCACAGGGAACGACAAGCGACGCACCAGGACTGCGGGACGTGTTTAGGGCCTGCGTTGATTATATCGAGAGAAGTTTCCTATTTGGGCGTGCTGGAGGAGTGGTATTTAACCTGCTGTTGTCGACTCTGGTTTGGTCGTTTGTTTTCTTTGTTCTTCTTCCTCTGTTGCTTCTGCTTCTGCTTCTGCCTCTGTTTTTGCTTCTGCCTCTGCCTCCGTCTCTGCTTCTGCTCCTGCTTCCCTGCCCTTCAGCACTCCTCCTCCACAATGGCTCTCTCTTTGGTAGGCTACTACCTCTTCAACTCCTACTTCACCACCCCCACTGACCCTCTTGCTGCCAGCTTGGGCTCCTCCACCAGAAACTACTTTGATCTCGACAGCACTCTGATAGAGGTCCTCTCTGGTACAAACCCTGTCTCCATCAACAGCAGCAGCGACACCATCCCCAACATAAACCTAACCAGCGAGACCATCAGAATCAACGGCCAGATCACCAACGAACTAATCAATCTTATCCAGTCCCAGTTCATCAACTACCAGGGAATCAAGGACTTGCTAATCTCTCCAAACTTCAAAAAGATTAACATCCTATACAACTCAAACTTGATCACCTCAAACAAAATTCACTCCATACTAAACGACGTAAACAGCATCCTAAATCTCAATGACAGTTACACCAGCAGGTTCAACTCCAACTTCAACATCAACAAAAACAACGCCAACAACACCACCACAAACATCAACAAAAACAACTTGAATTTCAAAAAATTATTCTACTGCTCTGCTACTCTAACCCTATTGATCTCCTTATTGATATCCATCTCAATCTACCACTACAATCATCTTAATAAACTATACTTTATGTCCTTTTTTTATCTCTCCCTAGATTTATATCTTTGCTTACACTTCATTTTTGGCTCTTTTATCTATTTAAACGTCTTTAACGATAACTCCTCGCAAAACACAAACCTCAATAACAGCATCATCAACAACAAAATCAACACCAGTCTCAGTTCAAATAGCTCTTCCTTTTTCTTCATTAAAAACTCCTTCAACTCAAATTTAAAATTCATATTGACAAAAATCCTCACTTTGAACTTTTATTACATTCTAATCTCAAATTTAATTCTCCTAACTATCTTCTACCAAATCTTGTTCTTGAAAAATTTGTCAAATCTAAACGCTCTCTCCTTGAATAACATCAACCTCTCAATTATCTTGGCCAACCATTATTTGAAAAAGGAATCAAATAAAAGAATTTGCAATGAATTCTTGAAATATTACTACAAAAAAAATATAAATATAAATATCAACAACATCAACAATAATTACAATAACAACTATACAAATTTCAATACCATTAACAGAAAAATTAACTCAAACATTTCTCTCAACTCCAATACAAACAATAACATAAACATAGAAACTAACAATTCCAATAATGATCCAGATATTAACCTATCTTTAAATGACCAACCTCCCTCCTCTAATAATGACAACAACTTTATCAACAATTTCCAAAAAAATCAAGACATTCTAACTAATCAAATCCTCAACACTAACAACGATGACTCCTCAATTATTGATACTTTTGACAAATTTAATAACATTACAATGTACAACTCAAACGATCTTTTTAATAAAAATAATAACAACAACAACAACAACAACATTGATAACACCTACAACCCCACTAAAAACCTCAACTTCAACCCAGAAAACTACATCAATAACGACAACTCCGTCAATATCTTGAATAATAACATTAAAAATTACTTAAATTTTTTCAATACAAAACAATACAAAGCTAAAAATTATTCAGATCTACAATATTTCTTAAGATACATTATTTTCATTCTATTATTTATCTTATTTTCCTCTTTGTATTTCTTGAATTTTTGGAAAAAATACGAGGATTCTGATTCCGATTCTACTTTGGATTCTGATTCAAATGATAGCCCGGATTTAGATCTAGATATCATCAAAAGTTTCAATCCAAATCTTAAAATAGATAAATGCATCTCTTCCTTAATCATCTCCTCTCCAACTCTACTATTATTCATTGAACCAACTCTATTAGTAGTCTCAATTCATGCTAATATTGTTAACGGCATTTACATCAAAAATTTTAATCTAAAAATCTTTGAAAATTTAACAAAAATTAAAGTAATGATCTTCAATAACTTGAGTATTTTAAACATCTATAGCAACTACAATAATAACAATATTAAAATCTTTGAATTATTCGGTATTTGGAAAGAAAGCTCAGAGACTTGGTGGAAAATTGTTATAGCTTCCGAATCATTAATCAATAAACCAATTAGTAACTCAATCTTAAAAAACAACAAAGAAGACTTTAGCAAAATTCGTAAAATTATTCAAAAATATAATAAAAATAATGGTGCAAATTGTATCTACTTTGAAGATGTCATCGGTAGAGGAATTTTTAGCACAATCGATGTCGATAATATTAGATTTGATGTGAAAATAGGTAATATTAATCTATTTGATAAAAATTTTGTTAAAAACTTAGAGAAAGACCCTGAATTTAATAAAATCATTAGTAACTACAATAACAATCCAAATAATGTTGATACCTTGGGGAAAAGTAATGGTACCAAAATTACTTTAGACTCATTGATCTACATTGTCATTAATAATGAATTATCTGGAATCTTTTCTTTAGTTAATTACAATGTTAAAAAGGATTTTGTTCATTTAATTAAATACTTGCAGGATAGTGATTATAGAACTGGCTTTATGTATGACTTGAAAAATGATACTAATGCTAGTAATAATAACAATAGTAACAAAAATGAAAGTCCTTTAACAACAACAATATCAGGCTCAACTTTGGCATCATCTTCAGAACTTGGATCAACTCCTACTTCTGGAGTTTCTTCGATTATTTCTTCAAACTCATCTTCCTCTTCTTCCGTTAATTATCCCTCTCTTGAATCCAAAAAATTCAACAACGAAGAAGATATTTATTATAAAATATTAAAGGCCTTAAATATTAACGAAAACTTGATCTGGAAACAATTGTTGCCCCATGAAAAATTTGAAAAAATTAAACTATTAAAACAAAGATTAGTTAGTGATACTATTGGATATGATATTTTTCTAGGTGATTTAAGGAATAAAAAATTTGACAATAATATTTGTATAATTAATGAAAATATTAATAATGAAATTGATTCAATGTTATTCTCATCATTAGGTGACATCAATATTTCCTTGATTTCAAACAGCAATCAAATTTTTAATAAAAATTGCAATATTATAATAATTGATAAGCATTTAAAAAATTTGATTTTTATAATGGAATTCTCAAAAACGATTATTGGCAGATTTAAAATTGATTTAGTAATCATTACAATGTTTACTATAGTGATGAATATCTTGATTGGTGGATTAGGAGAATACATATTTGGATTTAACCTATTTAATCCAAGAATATCAATGATTCTGGTTATTATTGTCAGTTCCATAATTCTATATACCAATCTTTCTATCCAATATTACAAGACGCTTAAAACTTGAATAATTTAAGTATAATTGCTTTCCAATTTTATTTAACATGTACACATTTTATGCCGGGTTTTTTATTTTTTGTATTTTTTAATAATTTTTTTTGTTAAAACTTTCGTTATATTTTCACTAAAACTTTCATTTTTCTATATTTTTACTTCTTTCATCGTTTTTGTTTATTATTTCTTTTATTGTTTAGTTTTTTTAAATTCTCATTTTAGTATCATTTAATTTAATTGTTACATTCAAAGCCTCTTTCATTTTTAAATTCACAATGAGTTTCGTAAGTAAACTTTTCTCTCTGATTGTAAATATTTGTTTTGAGACCCGATAAATTGAAAACAAACTGAAAGTTAAAATTTAATTATATATCAACTTAGGGGTTTTCCTTTGTTCGTAAAATAGTGATCAATTTCAGCTTCCAAAATATAAAAGACTATCATAGATATTAGTTTTTCAACATAGTACTTTTGATTGGAAGATTTGAGTAACCTAAGAGTACAGATAATAAAGCCTGTAATATTTTTTAATAATATTCAATAAAGCTTTGAAAAAAACATAGACCTATATTTTAATAATAAATCTAGCTCATTTTATCTTAAGAATGCTGTTTTCAGATATTTTACGATTTTTCTTTTACCATTTTAAAAGTGACCAAATAGGATAATGAAAAATTTTCTAAAGATTAATTTTTAGAAGGTTTGTTTTTAAATTATCCTTGTATTAATTTAAAGAATAATTAAGCAAAATTTGGTTTTAGTTAATTTGAAAAGTTTAAACTCTCCAAATAAAAGTTCTTAGCTGTAAATTATAACAGATTAAATTTCTTATTTAAATTATTATAAATAATTTAAATTACTTTTTTTTTCATATTGTGTTGTAATTTTTGTTTGAAGTGTTTTATTTTTCTATTGAAACATATCGTTAATTATTATTTTTCATTTGGTAATTTTAATCAAAAAAATGAAATTTTTAGTCTTTCTTTTAGTTTTAACATTTTTTACCTCAGTCTCACAATCTTCTCCAATTCCTAGAAATAGGATTTTTAAAACTATTTTGGAAATAATCAAGAGCAACGCTGCTGATAAAAAAGATTCTGATAAAAATAATGATAATTCAACAAAGAGTTTTAAATCAATAACCCAAACAACTAATACATATAAAATTCAAACTACTAAAATTCAAAACCAACCTTTAATAACTACTTCAGTAGCAACAAAAACTCCAGAACCACCATATGTAACCAATACATTAAATATCAATACTCCACTAACCACTATTTCATATAAAACAATAATTCATACTACACACAATAATCATGACATTGATATAGATGTTAATCCCAATATTGATCCAAATCTTATAAACACAATTATGTTAGATCAAAATACCAACGATCCAAATGCTGTTGATCCAAATGCTGTTGACCCCAATGCTGTTGACCCCAATGCTGTTGATCCAAATGCTGTTGATCCAAATGCTGTTGACCCCAATGCTGTTGACCCCAATGCTGTTGACCCCAATGCTGTTGACCCCAATGCTGTTGACCCCAATGCTGTTGATCCAAATGCTGTCGACCCCAATGCTGTTGACCCCAATGCTGTCGATTCAAATGCTGTCAACACCGATGTTTTTGAGTCCAGTTCTTCTGATCTTATTAGTGTAGAAATTTATGTGGTCTGTTCTACCATCTCAACATCATACTTATATGGTATTAATAGTGATTCTATTTCTAGTGAAAGCTCAAGAAATGCTGTCTTTGATACCGCTAAAAAGAAAAATATACGACTTGAGTTTTTTGTTGCTGTATTTGGAACCATCTTGTTATTGTGATAGTTTGAACTTATATTAATAAGCGAGCAAATTAGGTTTATTTCATCTCCTTTTTAAAACATATCAATTTATAAGTAAATCCATGAAATAAATAAAATAAAATTTAGGAAATTAAAAATGTTTGTTATTATAATCATGATAAACAATAAAATTTTTTATATTTTCTTAATTTTTTTAGTTTTCTGAAGCAATACTCAATGATTTTTACATCGCCAAATGTAATTTCACAACCTTTGTAGAAGCTGATTGAAATGTTTTTAGACGAAAGCAATATCATTCTTTTTTGCTCAGAATAACACACTTTGTGTTTTAGCAAATTGAAATAAAGATTCATTTTGTTGTCTCAATTAAAGTATATCTATTCACTAGAATCACACCAACTGGTAGCTTTCGGACTTATCATCATTCATAACGATTATATTACCATCAAAGCAGCACAAGCCATCAAAAGAGTATACTCCTCCAAAAGATAAAACAATCTGTCAGGATAGCGAGTTGCATCCTATAAATAATTAAATCAAATAAATATTGCTCCTCAGAGCTGTGGTTCCATCGTTCTGTTCTGTTTCTTTCCATTGCCTTGAATTCATGAGCTGTGGAAGTATTTGGATGAAATAGTTTTTCCGAGCTTTCCAACAAAGTTCCGAATTCAGTTCCAAATCCGACTTCATATTAAAATCCGGTTTCAGATCCAAGTCCAAATCCAATTCAAAATTCTGGAACATAGAGAAAATTTCGAATAAGGATTGAATGAGGATCAAACAGATTTTTTATTCTATTGTTTCTGATAGATTTCGAAAGAGAGATGCAAAAATGCTATTGTATTGATTTAATTGTATATAATTTTATCTATAAAGCTATATGAAGCTAAATGAAGTTGGATGAACTTAAATAAAGTTAAGTGATGCTGGATGAGTCTAGTCAGTAGTCTACAAAGGGTGTATTACATTGGATGTCAATATTTTGCTTTGAGGATTAAATCTTGGACTTGAGAATAGAAGCTTAAATTGGTGTAATTGTTAATTTTGTTTTGTGCTAAGTTAAAAATATGCAAGTATTGTAAATTGTTTAATTTTTCGATTGTTTTGATCTTGTTACCAGATAAATTGACAAATTTTAATCTTGAATTGAAAGCAATATCCTTTAGCCATTCCATTGACTCGATTTGATTATTGTTCAATTTTAAATTTTCAATTCTTGGTAAGAAAGAGTTAAAAATGGATTCTTCATTATTTATAAACTCAATTTTTTGAAGCTGATTATGTGTTAAACTCAAACTAATCACATTTTGAAGAGAATTATTTTCAATTTTTATATTTGAAATTAAATTGTTATTGATTTCAAAAAATTTTAATTTATTAAAGTAGCCATTTTTTATTGTGAAGCAACCTTTGATTTCATTGTCAGTCAAATATAAACTTGTTAATTCTTTTAAATTTAAAATCCCATCAGATAGTTCTGTAAGTTTGTTTGACGATACAACTAAACCTTTCAAATTAATTAATTTATCGATGTTTTTCAAAGTGGATAATTTATTGTTTGCCAAATTCAATTGTGTTAAAGATAGTAGCTGTGAATCATCTGATATATGAAATTTATTAATTTCATTGTCACATAACAGTAAGAATTGAAGAGATTTGAAATTATTAAAAATCAAAGCTTTAGTAATTGAATTAAAACTTAATTCTAAGCTAACCAAATTGACTAGTCTTGATAATGGAGAAATATCCACAATTTCATTATTAGCCAAAAATAATGTTTTAAGATTAGTCAAGTTATTAAGTGATTGGACATCTGAAATGAGATTGTTATGAGCTTTAAATTCCTGGAGTTTTCTCAAATTTGATAAATCTTGAATATCAGAGATGTAATTATAAGACACATCTAAATATTTTAAATTTGACAAAAATAGTATTTTTGGAATAGAACAAAGATTGTTATATTTTAAATCTAAAACTTTCAATTTTGGAAAAAAAATATTTGGATCGATTTCATAAATATAATTATGAGCTAATGATAAATATTCTAAATTTATTAAAGAGGAAAAATTGTCAATGCGAAAAATTTGACAATCGAATAGAATTAAGCGTTTTAAATTAGTAAATGTATTTAAACAATGAGAAATCTTTTGAGAATTGAAAAGTTTAAAAGAAGATAGTGTCAGAGAAAATTCAATATTGTTTTGTTTTAAAAAAAATATAGTATCCGTGGAAATATTTCTGGTGGGAAATAATACCTTAAGTTTTTTAAGGTGACAGCAACGATTTAAAAGCTTGAGAAAAGAAAGATCATATTCAAAATTCGGAAAGTCATTAAAATCAATTGTAAGATTAATTAAGGACTCAGTATTTGATACTAATAGAGATTTAACTAAATTATTAATCACCCAAAGTGTAGTACAATAGGTCTGGATTTCTTTTGAATCCAAATCTAGTTTGGAAGTTTCTTCAAAAAATATAAAAGAGGCTGACTTTAAATTTTGTTTTGCCATAAAAATATAGAATACTGGTGCAATATTAATATTCATATCCATAAGAATCAAATCCAAATTTATAATTAAACTATGAGTATACTGAATGAACCGATCACCAAACATATAAAAATCTTTAACGTCAATTGTTAAAAATGCGTCGGAAAAAAACAAACCACCTAAAGAGATTTTTTTGAACAAATGTTTCCATGCCTGATATTGGAATGATTTTGTATCTGATAGAGTGAATAACCAGATTTGGCTCTTAGGCAAATAGGAAAAAACCAAGTCAATTAAGTCAAAAGGCAAGTTAGCATAGCTTATTGTGTTTGGAAACAACCCCTCTATGGAATTGCTCATTTTTGAAGAGTGGTGGAACTAAGACTCATCAATTTTATGGAGCACTAGAAGCTAAAAACAGCAAATTCTTAGAAACCATTGAGAAGAAAAAATTCAAAGGGAGAGCGAATGCTTTTATACACTATCTTTCTTCTCTTATTTAGCAAGGAATTACACCGAGCTGTTGGACAAGAAGCGTTGGAGCGCTGCTGCAGCCTAGAAAACTCTAATTTAAAAAATCATCAAACTCTGCAGATTTGAAAAATCAGCATCTATTGTGGTTTTAACGAACGGGTTGTTGTTCGCCAAGTGATGTCTATGTCTCAGAGTTACAGCAAGAATGGCGTACATTATGCAAGCCATAATAAGTTGATATTTTTTGGAAAGTGTGTCTCTGTTTTTACATGCTTGTTGATGTATAGTACACACTCTCTGTCTCGCCCCATTTCAAATACGAAAAGGCGTTGACTTGAAAAAACATCCATCACTTTCAGTGATGGATGTCCTGGTTTAAAAATATTTACTGAAAAGGAGGTAGATGCACTCAATTGTGAATAAAAATTATTCTTGGGTTTCTAGTCAGATATATTTGACCATTCTACAGACTTCTCTGACCCACAGATATTTGATATATTGAAGTTGTTTCCAAAAGATTTTACTCTGTTTGAGGGCCTTGCCAGAATTTGGAAATTACACGATTCAATCAATTTTAGTTTGGTTTTTTTTCAAACCTTGTTTTTATAATTATTTCTGTCTTGGATCAATTTCAGCTTCAGAAAATATTTGAAGTTTTCAAAACTGAGCTTTCAATTCGGTTTTTTGATTTGATTGTTTTAAACTAAAATTAAGATATATATTGAAGAAAATAAGATAAGATAGGTATACAATTTAATAATTGTAATTAAACAGGTTTAAATATTAGTTGTGATTGACTTGCCAGTTTTAATTTCGTTTGTCTAACTTGTTTACATTTTAATAGTGACATTAAAAAAAATTTTTGTATTTCTTACTACCAAAATTTCAAAGCCCAATTATTTTCAACCAATTATTTATTACCCAAATCATTCGCAATGTAAAAGCAAATGAATTTTTTTTATGAACTTTAATTCACTTTAAAGCTCTTATATATTTTTTGTTTTTTTTGGAAAAAAATGAAAAAAATAAAAAAAAATGTTATGATTTTTAATTAACTTTATTTCTTTTAAATTTTTCATAACGCTAACCAAATGAAAAAAAAAGATAATTCAGAACTGAAAAAAGATAAACTAACCCTTTAGAATTTATTAAAAAATCCTAACTTCTCGGTTTTCTTTTCAAAAAATCAAAATGAAATCCAAAATATGACTTATGATTCGAGTTAGTATCAAATCTATTTAGATCCCTAAACAAAATAATTACCCAGTAAATTGTTAAAATTATGATGAATAGAATTACCATAAGACTATAAAATCCAATATAAAAACTAACTGTTTTTGAAACTATTTTATATGCAAAATCAGAAGAAAGGAATGTTGTCTTGGAATTGGGAGTGAAATCAATGACACCAGCATAAATATATATCTGCCTAGGACGATTGTAATAACTGGCTATAAGAAATTTAAATGCAGGAAGAGAAAATAATTCAAATAACTCAGAATTATATATTCTTGCCATTTGCCAAATTGGATAAATTATTAAGCAAATAAATATTATCATGCAAATTTTTGAGATTAAACGCATTTTTTCCTTAGAGACTTTACTAAATAAAGTTATTCTATTTTTCCTTCCAGATAAAAATTCGCTATTATTATAATTCTTTTCAGCATAAGTAGCAAGAACTGAATTAAAGGATATTAAGGTAAATCCACCAATTATAACATAAATTAAAATTATAAAACTGGCAATAATTTTTTCAATTAGAGAATAAAAGGATCTTTCAGTAATATTTATAATATAGCCAATAATAAAATAGAAATTAAACAACAAAAAAAAAATAAACTGATATTCAAATGATTTCTGTTTTCTTTGAGTTAAAATAGCACGAATTTCCATTTTTTTGGTCATAATAACCTCTTCATCATCATCATCACTATTATTATTATCTTGATTTTCATTTTCATTTTCATTTTCATTTCCATTTGCTTGAATATTATTTAAGTTTGCATTCATATCGTAATTATTTTCTAAATTTAACTGTTCCACCCTTAAGACTTCAGTGAAATAATAATTATAATGATGATAGGTTTTAACATAAAAAAAACTTAGCAAAGCAAATCTTATAATCGAAAAAATAATATTTAAAAGTGAGAGCAATTCAATTGAACTTAAAAAATCACTTGCATTATTTTCATTGAAATAATCATTGATGAAATAGCAAAATATTAAATGACTATATTGAATAAAAACGAAAACTGTTTGTAAAAATGCAACCAGTAAAATTAAAGATTTGACTAAAATTAAATTTAGCGAAAATGATTGATTTTTAATTTTTTCATTTGATTGTTGAAATTTAAAGATTGAAAATGCTAATAAACCACAAAAGAAGATTATAAAAAGTTCACCATAAAATATAGAAGCAAAATTTGATTTAACAAATTTATTTGGGAATTTTTTAAATGTTGATTCATTATTAAAGAATGCCTCAAGAAATCTTTGAGGAACAAACAGGGACACTTTATCACTAAAATTATAAGTTTTAGTATATAATATAATTTGAAAGATCGTAACTAATAGAGTAAATAATAGCAAAATTGATAAAAACGAAATTTCAAGTTTGGAATTTAAAATGTTTGAAGCCTTTGAATTTTTTGAATTATTTTTATTATTTTTATTATTTTTATTTTTATTATTATTATTATTATTATTGTCATTATTATTATTATTTTCTTGAGAAGGAGGTAGTTGATTATATTTAATTTTTTTAGGAGTAAATAAAGTTTTGAGAAATTTCCATTCATCTTTTAGAGATTGATTTTTTAAACCTTTATAAAAATTTGTTGAAACTTTTATACCAACTATTAAATTTAAAATTAGTAAAAGAAAATGGAAAAAAAAAAAGACTTTTAAAACGAAAAACTTAATTGGGTACTGATGAATGACTCTAGTATTAAAGATTATTAGACATCGATAAAAAGTGAAAAAAAAGAAGAGCAAATGAATATACCAAGTAAAGAAAAAAAGGTAAATATTTTCAGTTGTGGCAGCAAAATCATTTAAACATAGGTAAAATGGGACAAGAATTATTAGAAATATTATAATGTTAGAAAGATCAGTAAGTTGGTAAAAATCTAGAAATAAAAATAGGAAAACAGGAGTCATAAAACCACTTAAAATCAAGCAGGATCTATGAAGATTGAAAATATTTAACAATTTCTTTTTCTCCAATGAGTAACCAATTTTGGAGGTTGCTCTTTTGCTAATAAGTTTATGAGCAAATAAAATGAACACAACAAATTGGGATATAAGAGTAATTGCAGAGATTGCAATTAAAAGGTAACTAAAGACTTTGAAGGTAATTGAAAGACTGTTGAAATAGACATATTTGATCTCATTATCAACAACAACTTTTAAGGAATAAATATTGTTAAAGGATTTTGCAGTATTTGAGTACAAGATTGTAGTGAAAATCAAAATCAATGTAAGAAAAGCTAAAAGAAAAAGAAAAAGAATATCATTTTTCTTTTTTAAAGCATAAATAGTCAAAACCAATTGATAGATCTTTGAGTACAATAGAGTTACAGTGGCTAAGAAGACATCAAAAGATATGGAAACAGTATCAGCAGAAACATTATCAGAGGAATAGAATGATTGGAATAAGTAACTTGTTAGAATATCGTATTCGTTGGCTCCATCATATGAGTTAGATAAAATGATGATTTTTATTAGAATGAACAATTGAAAAGGAAGAGATATGATGATATTTGCAATGGATATAAAAGCTATTACTCTCAAGATCTTCTTGTCCTTCTTGGACTCAGAAAACAAAGAATTCTTTTTGGTGACAGCAGCAAGATTAGTATAAGTGTCTTGGTTTCTTCTTGGAATACCAAACAATTCATCTTGGGAGTCATTCAAATGCTTTTTGAATATTTCAGGATCATTCAGATCAAAGTTTTCAGCATCGTAGTAGAAAGTGCTCTTTGTGTGGGTTTTTTGCACGTTGGGAGGTCTGTTGATATCGTTAAAGTCGTCAAAAGGGTCATCTGAAAGGGAAGCATTTCGAGACAAGGGATCGTCGAAGGGGTTATTGTTGGCAGTAGAATAGTTGGACGCATTGGCAGTAGAATAGTTAGGCACATTGGCAATAAAAGTAGCAGAAGATGTGGCAGAAGAGCTGTTGTTCAAGGACGACTGCGATCTGCTTCGCTTCTTCAGCGAAGAGCCCTCGAGATTCTGCAATTCGTAGTCAGAGATCATGGTAAGCAGTAGTAGCAGCAGTAGAACAAAAAACAGCAGAGGAAGAAACAGCAGACCATGGCAACTCAGAGAAGACCCAGAAAACAATTCAGGTATGGCGAAGCACGCTCGAAGTTACCATTCATTTGTCTCAAGTCTAAAAGAAAGAGTATATAATAGAACATATCAGGCTGTTGCACTCAACCTTCTCTCACCATCACATTGCTGGTTCTGTTGCTCTTTTCATGTTTGCCCACTTCCTGTGCTTCCTCCTAGCCCTCTGTCTCGTCTGGCTGGCCAGTCTGGCTGGAGCAACCTCCTTCGAGCTCTCGTTGATACCATCCAATCTCACAGACTCTCCCACAATACCTGTGGTTCATCTTGCTTTGAAGGACCATAACAAAAACCTCACTGCTAAGGTATCCACAAGAGACTCAGACTCCTTTTTCATTCTTGAGCTTGACGATTATAGTGAATTTGCCTACTGTGTTGCAAACAACTGTGGTGAGGAGCTACAGTACTTGGAGGACACTTTTGGGACGATCAACAACACCATTTTACATCAAAATATAAGTGTTTCATATCTCGATTTCCCAGAAAACAATGCCAGTGATTATTTCTGGTTTTACAGATCAAATTTTACTCTTGACAACAACAGTGATTTCAATATCTACAACTATTCCTTTGCACTAGTCAACTTGACTAATGCAAAGGAGTTGGAAAATACCAGTTTTGTTGGTTATTACAATCAATTATCCTTCAATCCAAACAATCAAAACGCTTCAATTAATCTCGAAAAAATTACTTATTCCACCCTATTCGATCATTTGATGAGAGAAGACCATACTCAAAGCGAATTTTTATCCATAGAATTTGATTCTAGTCGTGAAAAGGGCAACCTAACTTTGGATAATAGACAAGACTTCTATGATAAACAATATATGGCCACTCAAATGATCAATCTCCAGGACTATTACGATGAAAGCATCATTGAATACAGGGGCAATTTCATTGAACTAACTTCGTTTAACATCAGCCATGGAATTGTTGATTATGATCAACAATTGCACACATATAATATCCCAATTTTTCAAAAATCTTCCCTGTCTAATAAAATATTGGTAGCAAACGTTGATATAGATAATTATGCTTTATCCTTACCTACGATATATTTCAGCAATATCTTAAGTTTCTATCAGGCTACTTATAATGAGTCCAGAAAATCCTATGTATTTGATTGTAATTTATTTAATGGGCAAAGGGATTATTTATCATTTTCAGTTGATGGGTTTTATTTAAATGAAACAGATGAAAAACTTTTTAGAAGAACAATTGAATTGCCTTTATCAAATTTTGTAACTATTGAAACAAATGTCACAACTTATGCTAATACTTCCTATGATGATTATGAAATCTTCCAAACTAAAACTTGCTATTTTGATAATACTAAATTTACTGAAAGTCAAACAAGCTATGCTTCTTTAGGTCAAGTTGTACTAACCTCTTTAAAAACTGCCTACGATTTTGAGAGGTCTTTGTTTGCTTTTACTCAATTATATAACGATGATCATTGGAGCGTCATAAATTATATTGATACACCATGAATTGTTTTTTTTTTATTTTAACTTTTGTATGATTTTTCTTACTTTATTTTTTTTTTTTTAAAACCAAAAATTGTTCAATTTTTTCGTGTTTTTTAGTCCAATCTTAATTTGGGTTACTTTTGTAAAGCTTCCGTATATTGTTTTTTTATTATTTAACATCACTTATTCAAATAAAGAAAAAGATACTTTAGATATTTATACCTATTATAATATTTATTAACTTAATATACAAATGAACCAATTAGATTTACGTAAACATACGAAATTCCCCGAAGTACCACGAGAACTCACGGACGCTCACGGAAAATTCGAAAGATCAATAACTCAACTTTTATTGAATAAATTTGGTCCAAATTTATTAAAATCATTTCTTGTAATCATCAAATAATCATTGTCAATCCCATTATTGAATATTTCATCACTCAATTCATCGTCAATATTGATTATATTATTAAAATTTTGATTTAAATTGGAATTTATATTCAAATTAGAATTGGAATTGGAATTTGATAACGAAATCTGATTTAAATTAATACCAGAGTTTGCATTCAAATTATATCCATAACCATAATTAGTATAATTAGGATTGTTTAAATTCAAATTCAAATTCAAATTCGAATAAAAAATTGGTTGAGGAATCGAAACATTTGAATTATTAATTAAACTGGTGTTATTAGATACCATCAACTTCATAAAAATTTGTCCTCCTAATAATGTTAAATCATTAGAGTTTTGATTTAAAGTCTTCCATTCAGAAAAGTAATCTAAATTTTTCAAAAATTTAATCGACGTTGGCGTTTGAAATAAATTGTACTTAGAACTTAATAAATCATCGGAATTATGTGTTATCAAACTCAACGGTGGTTGATTATCATTTTCACTTGTCGGTTTAACTAAGAATTTTTCATTTAAATAATTGAATAAATTATCTTTAAACCCCTTAATTTGAAAAACTTTGCCATTTATAATAATATTGTTCCATAAATCTTGTTTAATTGAAGGTTTGTGTGGCAAATTATTGATTACATTATAAATCGAATTGGCTACAATTAATATTAATTCTTTTGAGCCTTTGAATCTTTCAGGGCCAATTTTAAATGAATCTCCATTAGAATCAATAAAGGTATTTTCCACCAAGTTTGAATTTTTCAAAGGCTGACTATTGTTATTATTGTTTTTATTACTACTTGATTTCAATTTTTTCTTCTTTTGTCTTTCATTTAGGATTTCCTTGGGGTTTTTAGTACTATTGATAATAGATAAAACATCAAGTTGATCGTCATCATCTTCTTCGTTATCTTTATTAAGACCATTAAGGTTTTTGAGGCTTTTAAGATTTCTGTTATGAATCTTATCATAGATCTCTTGATCATCAATTGATAAAATTTCATAAACTGAAGATTTTTTCAAGTCTTCAATTTGTGATGCAGATAAATTTGGTAATAATTTTTCTAATTTTGAGTTAATTAAGTTTGAACCAATATTAATTTCTAGTTTTGAAAATTTAATTATTTGGAAATCTATAATGGGGACAATATTTAGTTTTTCATAACCTATATCAACAATTAAAGCCGAAGATAAATTATTTCCATAAGCGAATAATAAACTTGAAGCGTTGGATAAAAAACAAAAAAAATTACAATTTTTCAAGTTATTAAAAACAAAATTTGTAATTCTTTGTAGATTATAGTTGTTATTAAAATCCTTTGTTGAAGAATTTATAATCAATAAAGGAATTGAGTAGTCATTAATAGCTAATCTATCTGCCGAGATAAATTTTTTCAAAGCCGAATAATAAATCAATCTAATAAATTGATTAAAGGCATTGATATTAACAATTTGGCCATGTTGAATAAAACTGATCTTGGAATAGTCATTTTCTAGGTTCTTGGGAGAAACACTTTTTATATTAATATGATAGGATTTCTTTAGTTTATGTTGATAGATTATTGAAGGAATCAAATACTTGGGAGGTCGAAAAGGATCTTCAAGCCCAAATTGAACGACAGTATTCAATGAGCCAAGCACTATGATAAAATAGTTATCTTCACGAAAGAGAGGCATGGCACAGCATATGAAAACTTAGATCAAAAAGTAGCAGAGGCAGCAAAACCAGCAAAAGAAGCAAAAGAAACAAAAGAAGCAGAAGCACCACACCAAACAACCCAAAGCAGAGGTTTGAAATATTTCGCTGTTTGGTGTTTCCCGGAAGTCAATAATCACGTTATATCTTTGATTACCGAGGAGCAGTAAAAAAGATCATCAGAGCCGATTATTGTTAGAAAATAGTACTGTTTTCATGATCTCCGGAAGTTATTGGATCAGGTGATGTAATTATTCCAAAAAATGACATTAATAAGCGTCGAAGCAGAGGAAGCAAATGATTTTTGAATGGTTAAAGGAAGAAAAGATAACATGGCTTCTGAGGATTTTGAGACTGTTTATGCTGTTCCATTGTACTGCGACAGGTGCTGTGTATCTGTGAAGAATGAATTGACTGTCTTGGCCGGGGTCTCAGAGGTTACAACTGATATTTCCAATCAACTAGTGTCGGTGGTGGGCTCCGAAGCTCCTTCCAGTATCATCAAGGCCATTCAAAAGCTAGGAAAAGACGCCATTATTCGAGGAACAGGAAAACCCAACTCTGCTGCTGTTTGTATTTTAGAATCGTTCATCAAGAACAATGACCAGATTGTAATTTCTCATGAGCATGAGCTTGACGATAAAGACTCGATCAAAGGACTAATCAGAATGGTAGCCACCTCTAGTGATTCTGTGTTATTGGATGTTTCTTTGAGCAGACTCCCTAGGGGAACGTACTACTCCAGCATCAGAGCCACTGGCAACATATCCAACGGTCCACTATCAACAGGTGCAATATACAAGAGGTTGCCATCGATCTCAATCAAAAACGACTTTGAAGAGTTCCAGGACTACTTCAAAATACATGGTGTGGGCATCATGGACTTGATTGGCAGAAGCATCTTGATCACAGACAAAGATACCAACGACTCCTCCAAGGTCGACCTTTCCAATAAGACTATCTACGGTGTCATTGCCAGAAGCGCAGGTGTTTGGGAAAACAATAAACAGGTCTGCAACTGCACTGGAAAGACTGTCTGGCAGGAAAGGAAGGATGCTATTCACAAAGGCCTCAAGATCTAGCCCAATCCTGCTTCCTGTGCTTCTCCCTGTGCTTCTCCCTGTTCTTCCAGTTTTTCTTTCACTGCTGTTATGCTTCTGAGAAAACGGTCGAACTGCGTTTCTTTTTTCGCCGCACTTTTGAGATGCGTTTAACGCTTTGGGTCTATGTGTGCACGTGCGTTCGGTAGGAAAAAAATTTCATTTCGTTTTTCATATCTTTTTTTTTCCACCAAGATTTTAATAAATACTAATTCGAGCCAGTACCACTGAACAATTGATTAGCTGGTTTTATAGTTAATTAACTTGTATATAATTGCCAATCTTCTGTTTAGTTAACGCCATGCTTAGAATTATTAGATCCTCAAACCTTAAGCCTACAAATCCCTCCTTTTTATCCTCTACTTCAAGACTATATCCATCTTTTAATACTACTAACAATGTGGTTCGAAATTTAGTTGGTTTTAGTTTTGAAAAGACTCCTGAAGTAAAAAACGAAATTAAAAAATCAATAGAAGATAAGTTTTTGAAAGATGTTAATGTTGATTTTAAAAATCCTGGCTCAACCACTGATACTCAAAAAAATTACTTGGACGACAACCAGGTTCCAAACGTTTTAAATATTACTTCTCAGAATTTAAAAGAACATTTAAAAGATGAAAAAATATTGAGTCGTACTTTGTCTCTATTGGAAGTTTGTTTAATAACAAAAGATTTTACAAGATCCTATCAGATTTTAAAAAGTTTGTGCGATGCTGATCTTTCACCTTATCAATTAATAAATTGTGTTAATAATTACTTTGATACCTGGATTAATTCTTTACATAAGGAAAATTTAAATGAAGCTACCGAGTTTATTGAGTCTTTTTTCGATAATTTCAAAGTTAATCCAAATGGTAAAACTTATGCTATTATGTTAAGATATTGTGTAGATCACGAATTACCTTTTGATAACTATTTAAAGCACCCAATAATAACTCCCAGATCAATTTTTGGAAATATTGACAGTATCGGTTTAGATAATACTAAAATAATTCTTAAACAACATCCTGAATTATTAGGTTCTATCCCAAAAATTTATAAAGAATTATTAAAAAATGAACTACAAGACTTAAATGATCAAATTGAACCAATCACTAATGAACAAAAAATTGATCAACAATTGAATAAAACCAAAGAATATTACGATTCCCTTGGTCAAAGTGATTACTTTAAGAAGAATGATATTTTGCCTCCGACTATTGAAAAGGGTGTTCAAAAGGAGTTAAATCCTGTTGATACCTTTGGTATGAAAAGTATTCGTCATGCTTTATTAGCTTTAACATCCCAAAATCCTCAACTAGAATCCAAATTGAGTTCTCTTCTTCAGAACTTGAACGAAAGAAACATCTTAATGGATAGACTCGATATAAATAAAGATTTAAATTTTTTCAGCATTTATCAAAGATTGGCCGATCATCCAAAAGAACAAGCTTTATTCGAAGAAGCTTTAGAAGTTTATAATGAAGAAAGACAAAAACAATTGGAAGCTAGATCTATTGAAGCTTCAATAGAGAGTTGGAAAAATGATCACGCTAACTTGCAAAAACTTGGTATTACTCCAATAAGAAAATCTTTAAACGCAAGATTATGGAAATGGTATAATGATGCCCTACCATTAGTTGAAAAGGAAGTCGAAGAATGTAAAAAAGTTCTTAAAGAAGCTGAAACTACACCACCAAGAACCGCCAGTGTTTTGAATAGACTAAAATACGCTCCATATATTCTATTAATTGATGCTAAAAAATTGTTAGTGATTGCAATTTTGGAATTAATTAAATTGAATTCATCTGGTGGAATTCAAGATGGTATGAGAATTGCAAGAGCTGTTATATCAATCGGTAGGGCAATTGAAAGTGAATTTCAATCTGAACAATTACTAAAATCCGAGAATAATTTTTTTAAAAATGTAGCAAAAAGTAAAAGTTCTGAAAGATTTCAAAAAATTGTTCGTTATTCTAAAAAATATTTCAGATCCACCTCGGAAACTACTTCATTTACTGAATGGAGTTATGATGTTAAAGCTAAAATTGGATCTATTTTAGTTACTGCCTTAATGAGTGTGGCTACAATTGAAGTTGAAGGAAAGGATCCTATATCAGGAAAAGTTGTCCATGGTGAATCACCAGCAATGTTTCATACTTTTATTTTCAGTGGAGGTAATAAAATTGGTGTTTTGAAATTCCATAGATCATTTATTGAAAAGATTTCGGATGAAGGTTTTAATAAAGCTGTTAATCCTCAATCATTGCCTATGTTAATTAAACCAATTAAATGGTATGATTGGAAAACCGGTGGTTACAATTATTCCAAGAATTATTTAATTAGATCTAAAGATTGTCCTGAACAATTAGCATATGTTGAAGCAGCTTCGGAAAATGGTGATTTAGAAGGTGTTTATGATGGACTAAACGTTCTTGGTGTTACTGCGTGGACCATTAATAAAAAGATATTGGATTTAGTTACAGAGGCATGGAATTCTGGAGAAGAGTTTTTAGATATTCCAAAACATGAAAAAGAGTTGATTTTACCTCCTAAACCAGATAGAGGTGAAGATCCAAGTGTAAAAACTGAATGGCAAACAATATCTAAGCAAAAATCGTATGAATATTATGCTAATAGAAGTCAAAGATGTGATACCAATTATAAGTTGGAAATTGCTAGAGCATTTGTTGGAGAAAAATTCTACTTCCCACATAATTTAGATTTTAGAGGTCGAGCCTATCCAATATCACCAAATTTCAACCATTTAGGTAATGATTTAAGTAGGGGATTATTATTATTTTGGAAGGGTAAAAAACTAGGAGAATCAGGTTTCAGATGGTTAAAGATTCATTTATCTAATCTTTTTGGGCATGATAAAGTTTCACTTGAAGATCGTGTTAAATTTACGGAAAATAATTACGAAAACATTCACAAATCAGCAGAAAATCCTCAGGCAGCAGATGCATGGTGGAAAAAAGCAGATAAGCCATGGCAAGCACTTGCAACCATTTTTGAGCTTTCACAAGCATTAAAATTAAAAGATCCAACAGAATTTATTTCTCATCAACCAGTTCATCAAGATGGTACATGTAATGGGTTACAGCATTATGCAGCATTAGGTGGTGATTTAGAGGGTGCCAGACAGGTTAATCTTTCACCATCAGTTAAACCTATGGATGTTTATTCATATGTTGCAGGATTAGTTCAAGCAAGAGTGGATGAAGATGTTAAGAATGGGAAATCACAAGCAGCACTTGTGCAACATTCTATCAAGAGAAAAGTTATTAAACAAACAGTTATGACAAATGTTTATGGTGTTACATATTTGGGTGCAACACAGCAAATTGCCAAGCAACTTACTGATGAATTTGGAAAGGATACAGCATATTTCTTATCTAAATATCTTGCAGTTCATGTTTTTGCATCAGTTCGAGAATTATTTCAAGGTGCGCATTTAATTCAAGATTGGTTAGGAGAATGTGCAAAGAGAATTGGGTCATCAGTTCGAATTGATTTAAAAGAGACAGAGATTGTTGATCCTAAGACATTAAAGTTGCTTTGCATGACATCAGTCATTTGGACATCGCCATTGGGATTACCAATAGTTCAACCATATAGGGAAGACGGTAAAGCAGTTATTAAAACTAATTTACAATCGATTTCTATTACGGATCCATTTGAATTAAATGTTGTTAATGCAAGAAAGCAGTATACAGCGTTCCCACCAAATTTCATTCATTCATTAGATGCATCTCATATGTTATTGTCAGCAGTTGAATGTGGTAGGAAAGAATTGACATTTGCAGCGGTTCATGATTCGTATTGGACCCATGCCGGCGATGTTGATAGAATGAATGAGATCATCCGGGACAAGTTTATTGGATTACACCAAGTTGATTTAGTTCAAAGATTGAAGAATGAGTTTGAAAAGAGATATCAAGGCTATTTGCTTCAGGTTTCTATTTGCGATGACTCTGAAGCGGCTATATTGGTGAAAGAATTCAAAAAGGAATATCTTGCTAAACACGGGGAGAGATTATCAATGATTGATGAGATTCGGTTAGAGAAACGCAGAAGGGCACTATTAAACTCTAGAGATATCAATGAGGTGAACGAGGGATTGAAAATGGAGACAACCATCAGTGTGTTGGAGGGACTTGATTACGAGCAAATGATATTGGATAATGAAGAACGTAAGAAAGTGAAAAGCACGGCTGTGAACAAACGTGTGAAATTCAACTACCAATTGAAGGCCAATGCTAAAGCAGTTATCAAAACCAAAGAGAGGATCTTCAATTGTCAAGACGAAACAGAGAAGGCAAGACTTCAGACTCAGTTGAAGGATTATTTAGAAAAAGTACAAAACCTCGAGGAGGAAATCTCAAAACCTTCGGAAGCATCAAACAATAAGGGAATGATGAAGATCTTGGTGCCATTGAGATTGCCCGACGTGCCACCCAAGGGAGAGTTTGACGTGAGAGAAGTGAAGGATAGTTTATATTTTTTCAGTTAGATGGCACAGAGCCTAGGCTCTTTCTGTACATATTTAAACCACTGCTGACGATTTCCAGCGTTTCGACCAACCACCAGCCGTCGGATGGAAACAAGACCGGAAGTCTCAGTGTTTGGCGCATCCGCTGACGGCCCGAAGTAGCTGCGCGCACAGCCGGCCGCGGCGGCTATGCAGCACGAGACAAGTCCGAGCCGGCGCGGCAGGTCCGAGGAAGACCAGTGGTGCGGGACGGCTTTCGAACGCGTCGCGTGCGTTGCGTGGGGCGGCGGCGGGCGCTGTGGACGCAAATATGCGGTAGAAAAGCCCGCTGGGGATCGGCTGATGGCCGCTGTCTGTTGGCGACAGCTGTCACCAGGTCCTTGAGACACAAACACACAAATAGGGAACAGAGCCATAAACAGAACAATAACTGTCACAGCTTGGCTGGATAAGTGTATATAGCGGGATAGGCAAAAATAATAGTCTATATTAAGGACTAGTGTGCGATAGCAACACTATCACGAGGGGCTAGTAAGAGCAACTAGAACAGTGGGAACAAGACAAGGAGTATACCAGTTGATAGCACTCTGCTGACTTGTTGCTGTGTTACTCATCACACAATCGATTCACTCAGTCGCAAAGGCTTATTAGCCTCTATTTTGTTCTTTCAGAGATAAGAAGCTGCTAAGATAGAAAAAAACGCAGATTATTAGAGTTCGCTAAGGGAATTTTTTAATAATCACCTTGGAATATGATGAAAATTTTTTTGGCTATCATTAAATTAAACTAAGTTAAGCTAAATTTAACTTTCAATAATTCCTTGCATGGTTCCATATTTTTCATCTTGAATAAAACCTATCAACCTTTCAGTTGTTTAAAATGTATATAAATACATCTCATTATGCTTTTTTTTTGTCTTCTATTAATCTCGATCTTATTTATATTACATTACATTATATTATATTATACTATATCATCATTGATAACAATTAACATATTTACATTTACATTTACATTTACTCATAACTTAATTATCAACATAATTACTCAATATTAATAACTAATAATTTATTTGATAAAAATGACTGAAACTATGAAAGGTTTATTATACTACGGTAAAGATGAATTAAAATTTTCTAATGAAATCCCAAGACCCAAGATCACTCATCCTGAAGAGGTTTTGATTAAAGTTCACTGGTGTGGTATCTGTGGAACTGATTTATTAGAATACGTCAAAGGACCTGTTTTCTTTGACAAGGTTGGACCACATGGACACCCAATCTCTGGTATCAGGTTACCCCAAACGATGGGCCACGAATTAAGTGGTGAAATTGTTGAAATTGGTTCGGACGTCGCCAAAATTAGATCTGACTTGAACATTGGTGACAATGTTGTTTGTGAACCAACTAATTACTGTAAAGATAAAAAAAGATGGCCTGAATCCGACTCAAGTTTAAGAGCTTTGAAAACCGGTACTTCTGAATGTGAAGCCTGCAGATTAGGATTAACAAACTTGTGTGAAGATAATGGATTATTTGGATTGGGTGTTCACAATGGTGGATTAGCCGAGTATATTGTTGTTGCAGCCCACCATATTGTTAAAGTTCCATCGTTTGTTCCATTGGACTGTGCTGCTTTAGTCCAACCATTGTCTGTTTCTTACCATGCCTTTAGAGTCAATGATTTCAAAGAGGGCTCAAGTGCTTTAATCATCGGTGCTGGTGCAATCGGATTGGGCTGTATTTTAGCAGCCAATGCCTTTGATGCATCCAAAGTTGTTTGTTCCGAACCTGCAAAGATTAGAAGAGAACAAGCTGAAAAGTTTGGCGTTACACCATTCAACCCAATGGACTACAGAAGCAATGAAGAAGCAATTAGAGAATTGAAAAAGCTATCACCAGGTGGATCTGGGTTTGACTATGCATTTGACTGTTCAGGATTGCCAATAACATTCAATACTGGATTGGCAGCATTGAAGCCAAGAGGAACATTGGTCAACTTGGCCATTTGGCCTCACAAACCAATTGATTTTTACCCAATGGCCATGACTAGCGGTGAAAAGAGAATTACTGGGTCAATGTGTTATACAATTGAAGATTTCGAAGGTATAATTGATTGTATGGCCAAGGGTAAGATGCCAATTGAACATTTGAGAGAGTTTATTACTAAAAAAGTGCCAATTGAAGATGGAGTTGAAGGTGGATTTATTGATTTGATTAAGAATAAAGATATTCATATTAAGATTTTAATATCACCAATGACTGAAAATGGCGAAATTACCGAAGAAGGGTATATCGAAGAACAACAATAAATCATTGAGAAAAAAAGCTTTTCTTTTCTTTTCTTTTTAAATATATAGTTCATTTCTTGATTATTTTTCATTTGTTTTCATTAATTTTCATTTTCATTTGTTTTTTTGTCTGTTAGTATAGCTTATTGTCTTATATTATTGCATTAAATTATTATCATCGCTATAAGTATGATTAATAGTTTATAATTTATAGATTTTAATAAATTTCCAATAAAAATAATAATAATAATAATAATAATAATAATAATAATAATAATAATAATAATAATAGTTACAATATATTTCCTAATATAAAGTTATTCCTCGGCAGTAGATTATGTTTTTAAGTGGATTATATAATCCTGTATATGGATGGATTATTCCGGAATATGGATCATGGATTGTGAATGTGGATATGGATATGGACCGTAAATATGGATATAGATATATGCACGGACATCCGGACAAATGCAGGCTGTGTTTATCCGTTAAAATAAAATTAGACGTTAAAGTTGTGTGTTATTGTCTGAAACTGTTGAAATTGATTTTCGTTAGGTAATAGATTGTACATAATAAAAAAAAAAACAATAGAAAATAGAAGCAAAACGAGATAATCAGATAGTCAGTTGAATTCAATGAAATTGATCAAGTTAATGTGATTACAATAGTTAGTTGGATAGTGGTGTGTATGGTGTATGGAATGAAATTAAGTAATCACAATGGACAAAGCAGAGAAATGAATATTGGTGAATTGAAATAGGAAAATACCTTAATTGAAAAAACAAGAATTTGAAAAAGAGAAAAAAAAAGTAAGTTGAAGAGGGAACCGTAAGAAGGACAATAAGAAAAAATAAGAAATGGGAAATGAGACATCAAAAATCAAGCTGTGAACAAAATAAGGGAAACAGAGTAAGAATACAATAAAGGGTAAATTAAAGTGCAGGGTTAAGAGTGAAACGGAACATTAACTGGTAATAGTGGGTGTATGTTGGGTAGGATTGATAGGATTAATAGAAACAATAGGCAGTTACATTCAAATAAAATCACAATCACCAATTAGTAGTAGATAGATAGATAGATAGATCAATAAATAAATAAACAAACAAACAAATAAATAAATAAATAAATAAACAAATAAATGATGAATGGTAAATAAATCTGAATAGCGAGGACAAATTGTTTGAGCAAGTTAAGTGGATAGAATAAAAAGAGCAATAGAGATCAATTGCCAATCAATGAAGATCCTAAATTGAAGAAAATTAACTTGGAATTGGTAATTTGGGATATGAAATTGGTAATTCGCATACTTATGGACCACAATTTGCAATTGTTTACGATGGCTAGGAAATATTGTGCAAAAACGTTAGAGAAAGAAAGAGCAATTGGTAATAATAACACTGATAGCAATATTATAATTAGTACCAAATGAAATACAGTGCAAATTGATCGTAATTTCAATTAATACCATGAGATCTGGTAATGTGGTTGATTGAGTATTTGAAATTCATTAATGTCTTGAAGTGAAACATCTTTTTGTTAGATTGAGGTTTTCCAGAGCCATTGCAGATGGTTAAAGGGCAATTTGTAGGCAGTAGGCAGATAATTGAAGGCAATGAACAGATGGTTGATGGCAATTGCTGCAGCATTTGTATCAGCGACAAATGGCTCCGGAGCAGCTGCTGGAGGCTTTCCAGAGGCAAAGGTTTCATTGCCACATTAGCTGTTGCAAGCACAGCTCACAGCTGCCCTGCTGGTTGTGCCTGCTTGTTCTACTTTGTCTGCTCTATGTGGTTCTCTAAAGAGCTCTTCAAAGCACTCTCCAAAACACTTTTCCGGAAGACTCTTCTCATGCTCTTTCTTCCACTCTTTGGGAGTCTTTAAGAGCTTCGTGAGCTTGTTCTGGTTTCGAATGCTTTGTTCTGTTGTTCTGAGCTAAGACGTTGCGCTGCACCAGCGCTTTGGGTTTGAAACGGTGTTGAGCGCCCCCGAAGCAGCGGGCTAAGCCACCGTTATGCGCAACAAGCAAAGCGCAAACCCCTCCGTCAGTGGGCTCTTGCAGGCGGGCTACTGCATGCGGCTGCGGCCATACGGACGGTGCGTAGACAGAACGCACAGGAGGGTTTTCGTAAGAGAGCATTTGACTGGATTTTGACTGGATTTTGGAGAGGATTTTCACTTTTCCAACCTTTTTCACACCTTTTTTTCGCCTTTTTCTACGGTTTCTTTGAATGGATTCGAATAGCAGTGGATCAAATTGAGAAACATTGAAACACTAAGAAACATTGGGCTTTTGTTCAACAATGATATGGAATCGTAATCAGATAATCAACAGAATCTACTCAGCAAAGCTTACTCGTTTGGGCTGGTGCTTCTCTGCCTTACTCATATATATTATGCCCTCTTCTCGTTTCTTGTTTTATTTCATTTATTTCATTTTCATTTTTTTGTTCTATTTCACTTCTCTCATTTCACTTCTATTTTTTGTCTACCAATTACAATTACAATTCCAATTGCCATCTCTCCTATATTCTGGCCATTCGATTGAAGGCGTTTCCCACTCTTCTCTAAACATAAACAAACATAAAAATAAACATAAACATAAACAAACAATCAATCAATCAATTAATCAATCAGAGAAAAAATGGCCTCTCCATCAAAAGCTGACAAAAAGTACTCCATCAATTTTGACAATTATTCGTTCGACGACGTCAGCAGTATATCTCTCTTTTTAACCGCTGATTCAACTACAGAACACAATTTGCACTCGCGATCAAATTCCACTGCTTCCACTGCTTCCACTGTTTCCAAAGATAAAAATCAATTCTACCAATCCGGTAGCAACCTCCATAACTTGTGTTTTGATCAATCTTCCCAAAGAAGCTGCCTTCAATTGAGCTTGAACACTGTCCAGCTCTTCAATGATCAACTATTCCTCAATGATGGAAACGAGTCTAGTCTAGAAGACGAGGACGAGGACGAGGACGAAGTTCAAATTCAAATTGACGCCAACTACAACACCGATTCCTATACTATCATCGAAACTGATAATGAAGATGGTGATGATGACGATGACGATGATGATAATGATGATTCGGATACTGATTCTGATGCAGACTCTGAGTCAGACTCTGATGACCAATCCACTATCAACTCTCATTCCTTACATGAATCAAACTCCATAGCATCCGAAACAACTGTCACCTCTGCTTCATCTGCTTCTTCTATCGCTTCAAAAGGCTCTTACACTGACGACGAATTCGATGAGATTATGAGCGTTCTCACTCAAAGACAAAATATCTTTGAAATTATATCTCAATTTCGTGAAAAAAGTATGATTAGCATCAACAAAATTACCAGTAAAAACACTGATAGCATTGATAACACTGATAACACCAATAACACTGATAGCGCTGATAGCGCTGATAGCGCTGATAAAGCTGATAAAGCTGATGATAAATCTCTCTCTACAAATATTGATTTAATCTTTACAAAAGAATATATGCAGAATTTACATAAACAACAATACTTCAACTACATTGTGCAAAATCCTCAAGCTAACCATCTCCCAAAGAGAAGACTCTCTATAAAAAAGATTTTTTCAAAAATCATCATCCTATTGAAATTCAAAAAGCAAAGGAAATCAATAAATAATCTAATAATCACTGTCTAATCAAACCTCACATTCCTTCCTTCTCTCTCTTTCTCTTTTTCTCTTTCTCTTTTTTTTCCTTTACCCTTTGTATTATAACAGTTTATTTCTTTCGTATCCTTCTTTATATACGATCTTATTCCTTAATCTTTTTGGTTTAATTCTTTTACGCTCTCTTACGCTCTTTAACGATTTTCCTTTTTATGCTCTCTTCTTTCGATATTCCTCTTTTCAATTCTCTCCTTAAATACTACCGCTAATCAGTAATTTCCATACACTCTTTCTTCTTCTTTTACCTCTCACGAATCTTCTTATATAATATATAATATATATCTTATTATAACATATTCAAAAATACCCTCTAATATAATGTTCACACCTCCCTTTTTCCTTCTTATCCCTTAATTCTAATCCTAATTCTAAATCCCCACTCCTCACTTATCATATCAACTTTCTCACAATACCTTATCCCTATACTACCACAATGATCTCCTTTTATTTATTGGATTTTTTCTTTGCTCTTCAAATCACCCTAATCACTCTCTTGATACTAAAGTTCCTTCTATCGATAAAAACACACTTTCTAGCACTAGAATACTAACCCATTTCTCGCTATCTTACACACTTTTGTTTTGTATTTTCCTACCATCAAGTTCCTACTGCTGCTGGTACTATTTAAATCTCCATCTCCCTCTTAAAAACATATGTCACTGCAATGGGCAAACTAATCATCAACACCACATACTGTATTAAGAAAAACATACTCACACAATCCAACTGAATCCTCTCATCTCCATCTACCGGGCTAAACGACGCTGTAAAATAAACTTGACTGCTCAACGATGGCAAACAAAAAATAATAAATACAACAAAATAATTCATATCATCGTCTATCCATCCAATCTTTCTCATCTTATTACTCCAAAATATACCAATTATTGGCATTATACATAATTTCAACAAAGCCAAAAAAATTAAACAGATCAAATATCGTTTTTTAATCTTCTGAATCTCAAATCTTCCAATTATAGCTCCCAACAATATTACTCCAAAGGGAACTGTCACTTGTCCAATATATGAACAAATATCAATCACAAAATTTAATGGTGGTAATTCATCTGGCGCGTCTTTAATCACATCCACAGACACTTGTTCTGTATGAACAAACAATGCCTTTAACCATGGAACTAATGCTATTGTTAAAGACACCAATAAAGAAAATGAACTAGGTCTTAAAAAATTTTGAAATAAAAATACCAACCACCCAAGTTTGTATTTCTTAACAATCTTATTACTTGATCCTGCTGATCTGATATTCTCATTAGAAATTCCCACATCTGTGGTCATAATTAATTTTAAATTATTTTCAGGTCCCATTTCAGGTTTTAGTCTATACTTTGTTGGTCTATTATACTCTTCAATAACGTCTTCAAGTGTTTGGGATGGTAATTCTCTCATCTCCAACATGTTTGATTTTAAATTTCTTGATAAATTTATATTTATACTTGCATTTATATCTTTATTTAAATTTTCATTATCATTATCATTATCATTATCATTTTCATTTTCATTTTCATTTTCATTTTCATTTTCATTTCCATTTCCATTTCCATTTTTATTTACATTTTGATTCAAATTTCTTTTTCTCAAATAATTTATATTTTTATTAATAAATTTTTTGACTGATTTAATTTTCAGGGTTTTTAGTTCATTTGATGATGAATGAGTTTCATCATTTTCATTTTTATCTTCATTTTCATTTTTATCTTCATTTTCATTTTCATCGGTAAGTGTATTTGACTGGCTTTTTGATGCAGCTATTAAAGAAATTTTATTAAAAATATTAAAACTCGAGTTTTCTATATCTGTATCCTTCAATTTCTTGTCTTTTCCCTCCTTATCTTTGCTTTTTTCTTTATCATCGCTTTTTTCTTTATCATCGCTGTTTTTCTCTCTGAAATCGAATTCAATCAATCGAAATCCACCAAAATTAAAAAACACAAATATTAAAGTCGCCAAAAAGATGCAAACATGGGCTATACCTTTATTTGCTTCTTCTTCAGTAAAGATCAATCCAGCACCTAAAGTCTGGAGATAAGCAATTGGCAAATCAGCTATATTGGGGAAAATAGCAGCAGCAAATAAACCTCCATACCATTGTTTAGGAACAGGAGTCAAGATTAATGTCAAAATCCCCATGAATAACCCAGTCAAGTAGATAAATAGCGCCGATAAACAAATAACACCAATTGATTTTAAATCTGATATTGAGATATATGTGACAATTTTATCAAAGATTAAACAAGGCAAATATAAGATTAAAATTATATCAGTTAAGTTTCTTGATGTTTCAACAGTTAGAATGTTTTTTTTTGATAATAAAAAACCAATTCCCATTATAACTATGATTTTAATAATCGGTTTAACTGCACACCAAATGAGATCCCCAACTGCTATGGATTCAGGCATTTTTCATTTAAAACGATTAATAAAAATAGTCTTTTTGATGGTTATCACTTCTTTTATCTGGATGAGGTGGTTATTTTGATGATGAGCTTCTGATTGTGGTCTAGAACAGAAGAGTATTTCATTTTAATGAAAAAAGCAGCACAAAAGAAATTATCACCACTATAGTAGTATGCTATTGTACTTGAAATAAATTGGGGATAAAATAGAAAGTCATCAAGATATCAATTAATTATAAAATCTATTAATATTCTATTAATTGGAGAAGTGAAGATTTTGAAAAAAAAGAAAGAAAAAAAAAAGAAAAAAGAAAAAAAAAAAAAGAAAAGAGAGAACAAGAGAATAAAGAGCTATTATATTATTGTTTGAAGTATTTTAAAGAAAATAAATGATTACTTGAAGAAGAATAGGTGATAATTACTTTTTATTCCAAAATAAACTGAATCTTGTATTATTTAAAGTATTTGTTCTTTTTATATTTTTAATATTTTTGCTTTTATTGTTTTTATTATTCAATTCTTTTAACTGTTCTTCTCTTCTTAGTTTTTGGGCGTTGCCTACTAAATTTTCTACGACTTCTTCAAATGTTTGTTTATCCTTTTTCAAACGATCCAATTCATTTAACCAAACCGATAGGATTTTTTCTGATTTTTCAATATTTTCATTTAAGACTGATATCGAATGAGATAGTTTTTGAGGATTATTTATAATGTTTTTGTAATAAACCTTTGGTTGAATTAGCTTTGAAATGTTTTGTAAATCCAATGAAGTTGAATTGATTATGTTGGTTTGATCATTTTTGGTAATATTTAGCTGATCTAAACTTTTGATGTTTAATTTTTTAATTAAAGATTCATCTAAGCCAAATTGGTTCGAATTATCAGAATTGATAAAAGAGTTTAAAGAGGTATTGGTCCTTATACTAGCTAATGAAGATATTGAAGAAGATTTTATATGGGTTATTGGAGAAGATATAGAGGAAAGAGGAGAGGGGGTATTTGAATTGATTAAATTTTTATTTGTGCTCTGTATGTTATTGCTAAGATTATTATTATTATTGGAGAGAGAAGATTGCGATTGTTTTGTTGAGGGCAATATTTCATCAAGATCGATTGGAACACCCAAGGTTATTAAAACATTTTTCCTTATTGAAGACTTTGTCCAATTGATTGGAGATAACTTGGGAGATAGGATTAACTGGTCAAATAAATTTTTTGATCTTTCAGATAAGATTAGATTTTCCTCATAAATATTAGAGTTACAATTAGAATTATTTTTATCATTGTTTTTGTTAATTGAATTTGGAATTGATATTATGTTATCAAATAATGAAGATATTTTGGTATTAAATTCCTTGGAATTAGTATTGTTGAATAGATTTGTCTCAATGCTGATGTAATTATTTTTTGGCACAGTTTTGAGTTTGTGATCCTGAATTTTGTATTCATTATCATTGTCATTATCATTGTCATTATCATTGTCATTATCTTTTTCATTATCATTATCATTCTCAATCAAATTATTGTTTATATCTCTATCATTTTGGGTGAATGTTTCACTTTTTTCATTGACATGGATATGATTAGATACGTGGGCTGAACCGACCTGTTGAAAATCATCAAAGGATGCGTCAGAAAAGGATCCAAAATCATCTTCAGACTCATCGTCGCCAGAACCATTATCGTTGGAATGAGCTCTTTCGTTGTCCTCATCGTCAGAGTTCTCAATATAGTCCTCTAGATACCCAGTGTCGTAGTCCTCCTGAAGACTCTCCCTGGAGGCTCTCCTGGAGGACGTGGGAACCAGCAACTGACTCACCGGCACAGTTTCGTGGCCAGCGCTTGCTTCTGCTGCCTCTGTGACCATTTGCCGGTACTTCTCTGCTATTTCTGCTGCTGCTACTGCTGCTTTCTCTGCTTTGTTTCTTCCTCTGTTCCTGATCCACCGTTAGAAATAGTTCACATGACTACCGCAGTGCTGGTCTCAGCCGCGTTCCTTTTGATCTGCCCAGGCCTATGGACAGATTCGGATTTCTCTTTTTCCCCGTTTTAGCGGGAGCAGTCTGCCGGTTTGATGCAAGCGCAGAACATCGTCCACGCTGTGATTCGCTGGGGGCTCGCAACACCGGCGGTATATCAAGGCTCTGATTAGTCTGCTGCAGAAAAATGTCCTAAACCGGGTGTAAACCCCACATCCGAGCCACGGACTGAGATGCTTACACGTGCGACCACCCTCTACGCGCGGAAGATTGTCTAGAATTGCATGGGAGGAAATGAAAAATTTTAAAAAAATTGATCAAATTTTGGATAAAAGCTGATGAAAAATTTGAGAAGTTGAATCAATTGGAACAATTTCCAATTATTCCCGTTTTATCCAATAATAACTTCCCTTTAAAAGTATGAACTTAGAATTTGTTATCTTAAATCTCTATATATTAGTTGAATAAATCTCTTTTTCGTTTTTTTCTAAATTTTTTTTCTTTCTCTCCTTCTTTCTTCTTTTTTATCTTGAATTATACAGTTAAAGGGAATTATATCTTTCAATTTAACCTGTTAATCAAATCAAACCTATATATTAATTAATTAATTTAAATTAATATAGAATTCAATTGTAGATTATTTTAGTAGAAAAAACTAAAACAAATCAATTGACAACCAGCAAAAAAGAAAAAAAAAATTAATCAGATAATTCTTTTAATTTTCTAAATTAGTTTTTCAAATAACTAGCATAATATAATTATACATATTCAAAATGGGTGAAAAAAAAGAATCCAACTTTTTAATTGATTTCCTTATGGGAGGTGTTTCAGCTGCCGTTGCTAAAACCGCCGCTGCTCCTATTGAAAGAGTTAAATTATTAATTCAAAATCAAGATGAAATGATCAAACAAGGTCGTTTATCTCACAAATACGGTGGTATTATTGACTGTTTCAAGAGAACTGCTGGTGAAGAAGGTATTGTCTCTTTCTGGAGAGGTAACACTGCTAACGTTATCAGATATTTCCCAACTCAAGCTTTGAATTTTGCTTTCAAAGATAAAATCAAATCTTTATTTGCTTTCAAAAGAGAAGAAGGTTACTGGACTTGGTTTGCTGGTAACTTAGCTTCTGGTGGTGCTGCCGGTGCTTTGTCCTTATTATTTGTTTACTCTTTGGATTATGCTAGAACCAGATTGGCCAATGATGCTAAATCTGTTAAAAAAGCTGGTGGTGAAAGACAATTTAACGGTTTGATTGATGTTTACAAGAAGACTATTCAATCTGATGGTCTTGCTGGTTTATACAGAGGTTTCGGTCCATCTGTTGTCGGTATTATTGTTTACAGAGGTTTATACTTTGGTTTATACGATTCCTTAAAACCAGTTGTTTTAACCGGTAACTTGGATGGTAACTTCTTAGCCTCATTCTTGCTCGGTTGGTGTGTTACCACTGGTGCTTCTACTGCCTCTTATCCATTAGATACCGTCAGAAGAAGAATGATGATGACATCTGGTCAAGCTGTCAAATATGATGGTACCTTTGACTGTTTTAAGAAGATTGTTGCCGCTGAAGGTGTTCCATCCTTATTCAAGGGTTGTGGTGCTAACATTTTAAGAGGTGTTGCCGGTGCTGCTGTCATCTCCATGTACGATCAATTACAATTGTTATTATTCGGAAAGAAATTCAAATAAACTAATTAATCTATAAATGGCTTAATCGAAAAGAATAATATAAATAGAAAATATTCAAATGAAATTTTAAAAAAAATCGAAAAATCAAAATCTAAAAAAATCATAAACTGGATTCTCCATACTAATAATATTTCAAACAACCTCTTTCTTTCATGATGAAAAATATTCTTCTAATTTATTTTGATATAATTTTATTTGTAAATAGATTGTTTTAAGGTTATCAATACTTTTGAATCTTAAATAATGAAAATAACAAAAACACTTATTGGTTGCTTTGTTTTTAAAATTTTATTTCTCTATTTTTTTTATTTATTTATTTCTTCTATTTATATAATTTATTTAGTTTAAATTATTAATTAATATTCATATCTTCTAACTCACAACTGACACAATATATTTTACTAAATAATAGAAACTTTGATTTGATTTGATAGCTTTGATAAGCGTTTATGAAATGTCCGAAGTGTTTCAAACTGTATTCGCAAGATTATTCTCTTTTCTTGTTCTCACTCAACCATCTCCAGCCCAAAAAAGCAAAAGATCGTTTTGCTGCTGAAAACTATACTTAGGGCTAATTAAAGCCCTATATATATTCACATGCAGTCTATATACAGAACACGTTTAGACAGCGCTCGTAACTTCCGGTTTTCTACTCTCCGTCCGCTTTTTTTGAGGCTTTCATGGGCGGTGTCTTGAAGGCCCTGAGGTGCTCTGGGCCGTAGTGGGAGCGTGCTCGGGCCTAGAAGAGTCCTTAGAGAGCCCTTACGGGCCTTATTTTCTCGTTCTTACCGCACGATTTTCCACGCACCGCACCTTTTCCCATTTTCATCGTCCTTACTTGCATGATACTATCCATTATATTTCGTTTTGCAAAAAAATTCAGAGCTACTTGAAATAATTCAGTATCGACTCAAGATCAGACAGATATATTATACTATAATAATATTATTCCAATATATTATAACACCAAAATAGAGCCCAATATGTCAGCTGCCAACAAAGTTTTGAATATTACTCCAACTTCTCTTGAATTACAAGTCGCTCAAGCTCTTGTTGACTTGGAAGCTCACTCTCCAGACTTAAAAGCTGACTTAAGACCTTTACAATTCCATGCTGTCAAAGAAGTAAGTAATTATCATCTCATTTATTTTCAATCGTTTAGAACAATCAAAAATGAACAACAGGCAAGAAAAATGAAGCCCATCTTAAAAGAAGATATAAAAATACAAAATACAAAATGTAAAAGTTTTAAAGGACTAAAACTTATATGAAGTTATTGAGTACTTTTACCTTTTTTTATTTTGAAAAATTTCACAACATCAATTCGACTCAAATCAAATGAAAGTGATTATAAATAATTTTTTAATTGGTTATTGGAGAAGAGTTATCAATATAAACATTATTTTTTATATGAATCATTAACATATGGTAAATAAAATTGATCAAAAGGGTAAATCAAGTTAAAAATTTTATTTTTTATTAAAAATTTAATTAAAATTTGTTATTTATTAAATCATATCAATTTTCACAATTAAAAGAGATATCAAACAAAAGTAGTATAGACTATGGGCGTTTTTTCGTTTATATCTAATTGATCATTTTCTTTGGTTCTTTTTACTATAATTAATATTTATTCTCTCACCAAATTTCAATTTTTAAATGCTTTAATATTTGGTTATTTATATTATCTAATAAAATTATAAACTTATTTACTAACTATTCTTTTTTGGATTTAATTAATAGGTTGATATTACCGGTGGTAAAAAAGCTATTATTATTATGGTTCCAGTTCCATCTTTGAGTTTATTCCATAAGGTTCAAACTAGATTAACTAGAGAATTGGAAAAGAAGTTTTCTGATCACCATGTTATCTTTTTAGCTCAACGTCGTATTTTACCAAAACCAGGTCGTCGTGCCAGACAAACTCAAAAGAGACCAAGATCAAGAACTTTGACAGTTGTTCACGATAAAATTTTGGAAGATTTAGTTTATCCTACAGAAATTGTTGGTAAGAGAGTTAAATATTTAGTTGGTGGTAGCAAAATTCAAAAGATTTTATTAGATTCCAAGGAATCCTCATCTGTTGATTATAAATTGGAGACTTTCCAATCTGTTTACAAGAAATTAACTGGTAAACAAGTTGTCTTTGAAATTCCAAATGAAGCCTTTTAAATTGAAATTGTTGAACTATTTCATAAATAAATATATATAAATAAACTAATTAATTGATTAATTAACTAACTATTTAATGGATTGATTTGTTAATTTAGTAACCAATTTTAATAAAACCGCTTTACAAACATTAAATAAGCTCATCTTTCTATTAGTAATTATAAGTATATGTAATTAAGATTATAATTAAGATTATAATTAAGATTATAATTAAGATTATAAAGAATACCAAAAAAGCAATAATGATAAAAATGATAAAAATGATAAAAATGATCTAACTAATACAACTAATACAACTAATATAACTAATATAACTATAACTAATATAAATGATATAACTTAAAGATACAATAAAATTAAACAAAAAAAAGATATATAAAATGAATAAAATGAACAAAATTAAATAATTAAATGATTCAAACATTGAGTGAAAAGAAGAGAAAAGAAAAGAAAAGTCAAAAAAAAAAAAGAAAAGAAGAGAAAAGAAAAGAAAATACAAAAAATAATAAATGAGAATAACATTATAAAAAATAAGCTAATTGATATAGAGATTATGAAATAATTATGAAATAATTTTAAAATAATCAAGTTAAGATAAATAATGAATTAAAAAGAAAGTCAGTTGGCAATGGAAAAGAATTGTGATTAGAAAGATTTTGAACAAGATTATTTTTAGAAAATTGTTTATTTGTTTATTTGTTTTTTTTTGATTTTTGAATGTTTCGATTGTTTCGATTGTTTTAATTGTTTTGGTTATAGTGTTTTTGATTGATTAATTTCCAGAATCTTTACTGTTATTTGATATCCAAGATAAACCTTCGATTAAACCTTGACCACTTAGAGCGTTTGAAGCTACTACACACCAAATGTGATCTTTTAAATTTTCCAATTCTAATCTCCTTGTAATTTCTTGCGGTTTTAAAGCATTGGGCAAATCTTTTTTATTTGCAAAGACTAGTAATAGAGCATCTTTCATTTCTTTATCGTTGATGATTTTGTACATTTCACTTTTAGCTTCTTCGATTCGATCAATATCAGCGGAATCAATAACAAAGATTAAAGCGTTCGTTCCAGAGAAGTAATGTCTCCATAGGGGTCGAATTCGATCTTGACCACCAACATCCCAAACATTAAATTTAATATTTTTGTACGTGACAGTTTCAACGTTAAAACCAACGGTGGGTACAGTAGTTATACCTTTATTTAACTTCAATTTATACAAGATTGTCGTCTTGCCAGCAGAGTCTAGACCTAGCATTAGTATTCTCATTTCTCTGTTGCCAAACAATTTTGAGAATAGTTTTGAGAAAGAGCTTCCCATTTTTAGAGATAAAGATAATACAATAGAATAGTGAGATAAGACAAGAAGGGATATACCAAATCGAGAACAAGAACTGACAGTCTTTAGAGCAGAAACAAAAACTGAAATAGATGACTAGATGGGTTGATGTGATTTGATAATTTTAAATCTTAATGAATAAAAGCAGCAATAAGAAAGAAGGTGTGAATGTGGGAGAATTGGACTGAGAGAGTTAATTGGAAACACAGTTTGAGAGAAAGCAGCACTCTTACAAAGATATATAAGAAACAACAAGAGCTTCTGGAGGCTCCAGCAAAAACAGCTTCGAGAGGCAGCAGAACTGATACAGGTGAGGTGTTCCTGCTGAAGGAGCCGTTGGGAGCGGAGCGCTCACGCGCGAACGCTGTGGGAATGGGCCGCGCGATTGGCGGGAATTTGTCAGCTGCAGCGCGTCAAAACGCGGGCCCCTGTGTACTGTCTAGCTCTCTGTTTCCACACAAATCTGTCACACAGCTCCACCACCCAGTGGCCTGCTGCTGCGCGTGCTTCCTCTGCTGCGCGCATCTATAGAATGCTGACATAGCTTGTCGGCACCAACCCTTTTCGGCCGCGGATCTCACCCATTGTCCAGCCACTGCCGTCATCACGCTCGATAATCGCAACCCTGTCGCCCTTTCGAACGCTCAACTCGTCGTCACCACCCGCACTGTAGTCGTAGAACACGTGGCAGTACTGCCTCTGCTTACCCGTTTTTCTGGGCGCAACCTTCGGACCTTGTTTCCGTGCTGGTCCGCTGCGTTGCTCAACGCGGATGTACGAGCTGGGCACTAATCCGGTTTGCTGGTCCGGTTTGCGTACGTGCGTCCATCCCGATCCATCGTCGGCCACGAGCACCTGCAACGGCTCACCCACCGCAACCGACACCTCATCGTCGCCGTCTTTGACGTAGGGATACAACGTCTTTGCGTTTGCCTCAAAGCTGGTGCTGCTGTTGCTACCCAAATTATCCAAATTGCTAAAGCTTCTGCTGTTGTTCGTTCCATGAGCTCCTAGATTATTCAGCAAGCTAGGTCCCGAAGACTGACTGTAATTGCTCATCAAATCGCTGTTATAGTTATTTGAATTCACAGTCGCTGATGATTTTCTGCCGCCTTTTCTAAATCCATGAAATAACGTCGAGACTCTTTTGGGTTTCCCATTTTCTTTTGAGTTTATAGTCAAGTTTGTAGTTGATTTTGTCAACGAATTTATATGTGAAGTACTAGGTGATAGAGTTTCATTTGCTGCTTCATTGTTCTTTGAAATATCTTTATCCTTTGTAAAAATTCTGAATTTGCTTTTCTTTTTTGTTTCAATTGGTTCATTATATGATAAATCAGTATCTGGTGATACCGAATTTTGAATGATTTGAATTTCAACCTCATTTTTAAGTTTTTCATTGTCTAAATTAATAAATTTTTCTAAATTTTCCAAGTAATTATTATAACTTGTAGTATAATTTTGATTAAAATGATCAATTTTAGTTGATTTAATAATACTATTCTCAATGCTATTGTTGTTGTTGTTATTGTTATTACTATTATTATCAATAACTTCATTTAATAACTCATTTTTATAAAGTAGTAGCTTATTCAAGTTGGTTTTCTCAAAATTTAAATCTTCCATCAATTTATTGTAATTATTCGATGAAATCTTTAAATCCTTTTTCAATACAATCAACTCTTCTTCGTTAATTGCTAAATTCTCATCATCGTGCCAAATTGGTGAAGGTTCAAAATAAAAATCCAATTTTTCATTCCAATTCTTATTAACATTATGTTTGATAAACATAATGGAATCCAAATTAATCAGGTTTTTTTCAATATTTTCTCTATTTCCCTTTAGTTGCTCGATTAAGAATCCCAAGCTATTCATTTCAAATTCACTTGATAATCCCCAAATATTATTTAAAATCTTGGTCTTGAATTCGTTTAAATCTTGTAATGAGTCTAAAATCTCAGGCAAGTCTTGGTAATAGTATTTATCCTTTAGCCTATTACAAACATTGATTGATATGATATACTCATTTTTTGAAATATTCATCTTGATCTTACATTTTTCAAAGTTTTTCATAACTTTTTCATTATTATTTGTTCTTTGTAATTTATTTCGTAAATTCTCCATTGCCTGACAATCAGCATAATAATTGACCTTTTTTTTCTTTAAATTGTTATAACTAACCTGCAATTTCTTACTTAAATTGCTATTAAACTTGATAATCTTATTGTTGATCAAATTCAAATTCTTCTTTAAATAGTTGATATTATTCAAAATCTCCTTATTATAACTGCTGGCAAATTTCGATTTTTCAATAGACATCAATTCAATTAAATTTAAATAATTTGTCCAAGTATTTAATGTTTGGTTCTCTAATGACCCAGGTGTAATCACCGGATTATTTCCAACTGATAAATTAGTGGATATGTTTGATTTCTTTCTGAAATATTCATCTGAAAGATTCTTCAATCTCATCGAATACTCCTTTTCAATCTCACTTCTTCTTTGGTAAAAGCTCTCAATCTCACTCAACCAGTTGATATTGGTCAAAATCCACTCTTGAATAGGATCAAAATAGTTTCTCAACTCATTTCCAAACTTCAACTCCTCCAATTTCTCTGAGTTCTGTTCATCCATTTTTGCCATCTGATATACATCGACTGTTGGTCTTTCAGTTCCTATCAACTGCTCATCAATTGCTCATCCTTCAACAGTTTCACTTATCTGTGTTGGCCTTTACCATATAGACCCCTCAGGGACAAAAAGGGGTGTGTACCAGTAACAAAAGACCTCAAAATAGAGGTTTTCAATAAAAGACAGGGTTACACATAACCAGCCCCTTTCTCCGTCCTTCTCTCGGGGGGTCTGTCGAAACGAGCGAAACGAGCTTGCTTCTTTTGCTGCCCATCGCTATCTCTGCCATTTTTTCTAGCATTTTCAGCTGCACAGCGATAACTTTGTGCTGTTCTCTGTTCCCTGAGAAGACCTTTCTTCTGAGAGTCTCGACTGCGTTTGCTCTTGAGATAAAGAGCACTGATAACGAAAATTTATCCAAATGTGGAATAAAAGTGCATTCGATTTCCACCGAGCGACAGTGTGGCCCGATAACCGTAACTACTGAGTATTGCTCATCTTATACTATGAGCTTACCTGGTTGCACCACCCAGCCGTGCCCCTGGATTCTGACAATAAAATTCCTATCCATTGGCTGTTTTTCGTTTATTTCTAAATTTTCAGTTTTTTTTCCTCTGTTGAGCATTTTCTTGTTGGCTTTTATTTATATTCGATTTAATCCACTAGTCTTCTTTAGCCTAAATCTATCTCAAAGACTTGTCTTTTTCTTGTTTTTTTTTAATTTTTTGTTGTTTTTGTTTGATTTGATCTTCTCATTACTCCCTACTGATTCAATATGTCCAAAATTTTTACTTTTGAAGAAATAGAAGCCCACAACACCAGAGATGACTTGTGGATGGTCATCGAAGGCAAAGTCTACGATTGCACTTCTTTCTTAGATGAACATCCAGGTGGTGAAGAAGTTATGATTGATTGTGGTGGAATCGATGCCACTGGTCCATTTGATGATATCGGCCATTCTGAAGATGCAAGAGAAATGTTGGAACCTTTGTTAATTGGCATTATAGATCCAACTTCTGTTGCAAAAAACTCATCTGCTGCTGCTTCTAGTTCTTCTGGACAAGCTTCTCCTGTACCTATGATCTTTGCTGTATTGGCTGCTATTAGTGCTGCTGGTTATTATTTTTTGGTTTTTAAAAAATAGATTTAAAATCAAGTCGAATTAAACTAAAATAAATTAAAATAATCAAGAGCAAAACAAAAAATTCCAATTCCAATTCCAATTCAATATTATTCGATTATTATCTTCATATTCTTTTCTAAATCTTTGTGTCGTGTTGTGTTGTGTTGTTTTTTTTCTTTTTTTTCTTTTCTTCTTTTTTTATCTTTTATTCTTTTTATTTTTTTTTTTTTACCTGGTTTTCTTTTTGTCTTTTTACTTATTTTAAACCATTTTAATATTATCCCTACTTTATTATTCCTACCATTATTATAATATTACTCATAGTTTTTATATTCAATTTCATTAAATTCAATTAGAATTATAACTAATATAAAAATTCTTTAAATTAAATCAAATTAAACTAAATTAATTTCAATTGAGTTGGTTTTATTTAAGTAGCTCTTTCCATCACCTCGATTTTACCTCATATCATCGCTTTGATTTGATCTGAATAAACAAAAATAATTCATTTACGGAATTTATTACTTAAAATTGATACTACTTTTCTCCCTCGACTACCTTGTTAGGTTTGGTTTACATTTAAAGATAACTTTAAAAGTTTTTATCCATTAGAAATATGTATATATATATATATATTTAAGAGTGTTAAAAGGAGATAAAAAGTAAGCTATAATAATTATAAATAAGAGAATTGAATTAATTTTTTTTTTTGAAAAAAAAAAAGAAAACCACCATAACTGCTAATTTTACAACCTTTTTGTAAAATATTTTTAATATAATTTAAAAAAAAAAATTTTTAGAATAAAAAAAAAATTAACATAAAAAAACCCAATAATAATATGGAATTAAAACTAAAATTTAAGATAATTTAGAATAAAATAATAAATGAATAAATAAACTATAAGTGATTATGACAATTGGACTAAAAAAAAGAAAATGTTATCAGAATTAAACAATTTTATAATTATACAATAAAATAAATTGAAATAAAAGAATTTTAAATATAATATTATATCCTTTTTCCATTTTTGTCTAAGAAATAAAAAGTTTCAAAATTAGCTATTAAATCCTCCATTCCCAATTGAATTAATTTGTAATATAAGCCAATAAAAATATATGTGTAGGTTAACAGATAAATAAAAAAATAAGAAAAGATAAAGTAAAGTGAATGAAATGAAACGAAATGAAATGGAATAAATAAATAAATAAATGAATAAACCAAGAAGTGAATAAGTAAAAACCCATTAACAGATGAAAAAAATCATATGAAAACACATGAAAAATAAAATAAAAAAACTATTTCAAATCTTTTATTGGTTTCTAATTTTTTATCATTTATCATTATCTTATTACTTTTTTGTTTTTTTGCCTCGACCTTTAATACCTCTATTTGAATTTTTGTAAATAGTTAGGAAATATTCAATTAAAAGTTTTTCATTACTTGGAACCAAATCAATATCAAAATCTTGATCGGCTAATTGTTTTGATAATCTACTAAGAGTGTCTGAATGAAATCTATTTTGATGAGCCTTTAAGTTACCTAGTTGAGTAAAAGATTTACCACAGTTATCCAATTCACATTTAAAGGGTTTGATGTTTTCATGAGTTAGTTTATGCTGAGCTAAATTACCCTTTCTTGAAAAATCTCTACCACAAACATCACAATTGAAAGGTCTTTCGCCAGTGTGTAATCTTGAATGCGTTCTCAAGTTCCCACCTTGAGTGAAGGTTTTACCACAATATTGGCATTTGAAGGGTTTAAAGCCTATATGAGATCTAACATGGACTTCTAAATGAGTTGATTGAGTAAAAGTCTTGAGACAATATTGACATTGATGAATCTTGGAACCATTTTGTCTTTTTTTTTCAATAAGAGCGTTATCTTTTGGTAATTTGTCGATTCCACCAACCAATTGATCAGGAGGAGGGATAACATCATTATCAAGAATTGAGCCATCGGGAGCTCTATTTATTGTCTTTTTGAGGCCATTTTTTCGTGCTTTGATGATTAACATTAGCTGGTCTACTTTTGTAGCGCCTAATTTAGGATGATTCCTGTTTAGAGCATCGATACTTGATTGATCGAAATCTTGAGTATTAATGTTGATGTTGTTGTTGTTATTATTATTATTATTATTTGAATCAATGATTCTTGGAGTGACAATTGCTGGCGGTTGCAATTGTATTTGATTTTGATGGTTTTGAGAGATTGGAATTGAGGAGAATAACGGGGGATGGTTTTGGTTTGAGTTTACATTTGACGCTAAAGCAGAAGAAGGGTTGTGATGATTTTGAAGATTTTGAATAGTTTGTTGATTTTGAGGCAGTTGTAGGGGAGTTGGTTGTTGAAAGGGTAAAGATTGGAGTAGATATGATGGAGGCTGTTGGTTGATGTAAGATTGTTGTTGATTTGGGTTGTTTGTGGATTGATTAATTGGGTTTATTGAATTGATTGATGCGATTGGGTTGATAGGATGTTGGAATTGATTTTGTAGGTTGTTTTGTAGGTTGTTTTGATATTGATTTTGAAGGTTAGTGTGAAGGTTATTTTGAAGGTTATTTTGAAGGTTATTTTGAAGGTTATTTTGATATTGATTTTGTAGGTTATTTTGGAAATTGAATTGAGGGTTTAAGTTATTTTGGAGTTGAAATTGAGGATTGTATTGGGAAGGAATGTTTGGCATATTTGATAAGTTTTGTTGATTTATGGATAAAAATTGTGTTGAGTTTTGGTTTGGGATTGATTGAGATAGATTTATTTGGCTGTTTAAGCTTTGGTTATTTTGATTATTTTGATGATTGCTTGGGTTATTTTGGTTATTTTGATGATGTTGATGATTTTGCTTTAAATTGGAAGCGTTTTGGTTAATTGGGCTTTGCAGAACAGCAAATCTTCTTTGGGCTTCATTTGAATCATTATTGGAAGTGTTTGTATTGTTAGAAGGATTATTGGAATGATTATTGGGATGATTATTGGGATGATTATTGGGATGATTATTGGGATGATTATTGGGATGATTATTGGGATGATTATTGGGATGATTATTGGGATGATTATTGGGATGATTATTAGAAGGATTATTAGAAGGATTACTATTTGTATTTTGAGAGTTGTATTTATTTGACAAGATTGGAGAGGTTGAGTTTGAATTTGAGTTAGAGGCAGATATTGAAGATAGATGATTTGAAGAGGAGGAGGAGGCAGAGTGAGGAATTGAATTTTGAAAAGAGGTTGTGGAGGATAATAGGTTGAGGTTGTTGATGTTGTTTGAGTTTGAGGGAGTTGGAATGATAAATTGGTTGTGTAGGTTATTATTTTGGTTAGTTGGAGTGTGTATTGTATTTTTGTTTTTATTGTTTTTGTTATTTTGAATTTGGATTGAGTTTGAAGAGGAAGAGGAGGAAGAGGAAGTTGGAATATGGTTAGGATGATTAGGATGATTTGAGGTGGGGACGTTATCGAAGGATGAGAATTTTGTGTTTAGTGGTGGGATGGGCAATATAGGTTTTTCATTGGCAATGCTGTTGGTGTTGCTGTTGGTGTTGGTTGTGTTAGTGTTGGTTGTGTTAGTGTTTGGATTGTTGTTGAATTGATCGATTAGAGAAGAAAAGTCGTTTGATTTAGTTGAGTCTCTTTTTAAGTAGAATTGATTGAAGTTGATATCTGAGATTGAAGGTAATCTTTTTTTATTAAAGTTGATGGAAGTATTATTATTGGAGGTATTGAGGGAAGGATTGTTCGGATTATTGAGATTATTTATGTTGATTGAGGTATTATTGGAGGGATAGTTTGGATTGAAATCAAAGGACTCAGGGTTGAACCAGTTTGAAAAGTCGGAGGATAATCTTGAAGAAGTGTTTGAAATTGAGTAGGAGTGCTTTAAAGCTTTGTTAGTGTTAGTGTTAGTGTTGTTGTTGTTATTGTTGTTATTATTGTTGTTGTTGATTGAATTGGCATTGATTGAATTTAGATTTGATTGATTGATTGTGGAAGGGGTGTTTGGAAAGATAAAGTTATTGAAAGAATTGAAGTCGTTGGTGTTGAACTGGTCAGAGATGGAATTGATGGAAGTTGATCTGGAGTGAATTGTGTTCAAGGGGTTGTTGTGATGGTTGAAGGAATGAGAAGCAGTGGGTTGATTTTCTGAGATTGGGTATATATTGGAGAGGGAGAAATTTCTCGAGTTTGAGCGTGAATGGTTCAAGGCATTTAGAGTTATGTTTGTGTTGATGGGATTGCTGTTATTGTTATTGGGGGTATTATTGTTATTAGAGGTATTGTGTGTGTTGGTGAGATTGATATTATTGCTATTAAGGGTATTGTTATGAAGGGTATTTTGGTTTTGAGACAAGTTTGTGGAAGGGGAGGTAGAATTGAGGGAAGGGTATCGAGGGTTTATGTCTGTGGAAGAGGATTTTTGGATTGAGGAAGAGGAGGCATTGGGATGGGAAGAGGTGTGATTTGCGCTGCAGGTGTGGTTGTTTTCATCAGCGAGGATATTGTGATTCATTGCGAGAGAGATGAGCAGAGATGAGAAGGAAAAGTGAAAAGAAAAGAAAAGAGGCAGATGGGAGAGAAGGGAAAGCAGAATATGGCGAGAATATGGATAGAAAACAGAAGAATAAAAATAGAAAAAGTGGAATAAATAGAATTACAACCAGAAGAGATAAGACAATCAACAGCAACAGAAGAGAAGAGAGAAAAAGTAACAAGCAGGATAGAAGATGGGGATATATATATCAGGAGCCTCTGAACAATGAGCAAAGCTCGAGCAAGACTCGAGCTGCGAGCGAGCAACCGGAGCTGGCCCGCTCCGCGCACCGCCCGAACAGGACGCGCCCGCAGCAGCGTGTACGTGCGTGTCTGTGCCTGCAGACGCGCACGCCTGTCGGGGGCTGGCTCTCGTGACCAGCACCAGCCCGCTGGCCCCGTGCTGGTCACGCGCGTGTCCGGCGGTACTTCTGGCGGTGCTTTTTGCGCGCCCTGCTTCCTGTGCTGCCTGTGCTTCTTCACCATGGCTGACCTCAAGCAAGACCCTCCGGCGCTTGCCCCTGAATCTGACGAAGAAGAGGACCTTGACCATGACAAAATCACCTTGCTTCCTGGCTCCTCCCAGGACGGCACTGCTGCCTCCTTTCAGATCCTCGACGAAGACCATACCTTGGGCAATCCTCTCAGATACCTCATCATGAAGAACCCTCAGGTCGAGTTCTGCGGCTACTCCATCCCCCATCCCTCTGAGCAGAAGCTCCATCTCAGAATACAGACCTTTGGCTCCATCTCTGCTGTCGACGCTCTCTACAAGGGTCTCGATGACTTGATCGATCTCTGCAACCACGTCGAGCAAAAATTTACCCAAAAGGTCTCCAACAACGATTACTCCATCGTCGAGCCCTGATTGCTTCACTCAATTTCACCTGCTTCTACATCATATACATTTCTATACTATTATCTATGATTTTATCTTTAATACTATTCCCAACATTACAATTGTTCATCACTCTATCGCTTTTTTTTTCCATCCGGATGTAGGATGTATCTACTGTGTTTTTTTTACTATTTTTTTTTCTTTTTCACTTACCCGGACCTAATCTAAAAATTTTTTTTTTTCCACAACTAGATCTATTTATCTGCTTTTTTTCATCTTACTATTTCCTTTTTTCTTTCTTCATCAATTATATTCACTTCATATAATTAATCAATTGAAATATCACAATATTTCCTTTTCTTCTCTATATTCCTACTACTCTCAGTATTCTATATTATCACATACTATAATGTCTTACAATTACGACGGTGGCTACAGGAACAGCGGTTATAAGTCCAACAACTACTCAAGCAATGACCGCTACTCAAATGGCAACAACTACAGAAACAACAACTCTAATTCCTCTTACCGCAACAACAACGGTAACTCCTCCTTTGGCAGTGACCTAACCAAACCAGACTGGGACTTGTCCACCCTTTTGAAATTTGAAAAAAACTTCTACATTGAAAATGACATTGTCAAAAATCGTTCAAACGACCAAGTCGAGCTGTTCAGAGCAACTAACCAAATGATTTGCTACGGGCATGATGTCCCCAAACCCGTTGAATCCTTTGATGAAGTAGGTTTCCCAGATTACGTCCTACAGGAAATCAAAGCTGAAGGCTTTGATAGCCCAACTCCCATCCAGTGTCAAGGTTGGCCAATGGCCTTGTCTGGTAGAGACATGATTGGTATTGCCGCCACTGGCTCAGGTAAAACCCTTTCCTACATCCTACCGGCTATCGTCCACATAAACGCTCAACCGTTATTAAACTATGGTGATGGTCCAATTGTCCTTGTTCTAGCTCCAACAAGAGAACTAGCTGTCCAAATCAAGGACGAGTGCAGCAAATTCGGTAAAACTTCTCAAATCAAAAACACTTGTGTTTACGGTGGTGCTCCAAAGGGTCCCCAAATCAGAGACCTAGCTAGAGGTGCTGAAATCGTCATTGCCACTCCCGGTAGATTGATCGATATGCTAGAACAAAGAAAGACAAACTTAAGAAGAGTCACCTACTTGGTCCTTGATGAAGCTGACAGAATGTTAGATATGGGTTTCGAACCCCAAATCAGAAAAATCGTCGACCAAATTCGTCCTGACCGTCAAACCCTCATGTGGTCTGCGACCTGGCCCTTATCTGTCCAACAGTTGGCCCACGACTACTTGAACGATTATATCCAAGTTAACATTGGTTCCTTAGAGCTAACCGCTTCTCATAACATTACTCAAATCATCAAAGTCACCACTGAGTTTGAAAAAAGAGAACTATTATTGGACCATTTGTCTGAAGCTATAAAGGACAAAGAAGCTAAAATCCTAGTATTTGCCGCTACTAAAAGAGCTTGTGATGAGCTAACAACAGTCTTAAGAAAAGATGGTTGGCCCGCTTTAGCTATTCATGGTGATAAAATTCAGTCTGAAAGAGATTGGGTTTTAAGTCAATTTAAAAATGGTTTAAGTCAAATCATGATTGCAACTGATGTTGCCGCTCGTGGTATTGGTAAGTAATTTTTTTTGTTTTTTTACAATAATAATAACAAAAAAAAAAAGAAAGTTTTTTTTGTTTTTTTAATTTTTTGACTTTACTAACTTCTTTTCATCATTTTAATATTCTTCAGTTAACAATAATAACTGAAGAATATTAAAATGATGAAAATTATAATTGGAAATTAGAAAAAGAGAAAATAATATTAATTATTCTATTTGCTTTTATTATATTCTATTTGAAATGATTCATTATATCTGTATTATACTCATTCTACCCTATGCTATATTATACTATACTATATTATTATATTATATTACAAATTGCTTTACTATAATGATGATTGATGGAATAAAATAAAAGAAAAAAAAGAAAACAAAATTAAATAAATGCGCTCAATACATCTGAATTGAATTGACTACATTTATTTATTCTCAAATGAATTGATTTCTTGAATCAATAATATAAATGGAACTAGATATGCTATTGGATCTTAATTTACTTTAATCATATCTAAGAAAATTAAAGTCGTTATTCAAAGATAATTTATTCTCTATATTTTTTCATATTTATTTTGAAATAGAAAAAAAAAATATATAGAATATATATATCTTTAATAAACGTCTTTTTCAACTCTTTCATTTCTATTATTCATTTTTTCAATTCATTGAAATTAATACTTTTATTTTTCTCTATTTTAATTGATATTTACAATTATCACTTGTTTTAAAATAAAAAAACAACAACAAAAAGTTAAAAAATTGAAAATTGAATATTCAATCAATTACTTTTATTTTTTTATTTTTTTATTTTTTATTTTTTTATTTTTTATTTTTTATTTTTATTTTTTATTATTCAATTTCTATTTTCTATTTGGTTTACCTTTATTTTCATTTGATAAACTCAAATTACTAACTAACCAATTGCCTTTTAGATGTTAAAAATATCAGCTATGTTATCAACTACGATATGCCTGGTAATATCGAAGATTATGTTCACAGAATTGGTAGAACCGGTAGAGGTGGCTCAACTGGTACTGCCATTTCCTTCTTTAGTGACTCCAACTCAAAACTAGCTGGTCCTTTGCTCAAGATTCTCGCTGAAGCTAACCAAGAAATTCCTCCAGATCTACAAAGCATGGGCTATCGTGGAGGTGGCTACGGAGGTGGTCGTGGCTTTGGTGGTCGTGGTCGTGGAGGCGGTCGTGGCCGTGGAGGCAGAGGCGGCAGAGGTGGTCGTGGTGGATTTGGTGGTAGATCCAATGGCTTCAGCAATGGCGGTGGAAGTGGTGGAGGTTATAACTCTCGTTACTAAGCTTTCTACTTGATTTTTGCTGGATGAGGAGATTCCCTTTTTTTCATTTTGGAATAAACTCATCTAAAGTAAGATGAATTTATTTTTTGTAAAATTTCCTGTTTTTTTTTATTTGCTTAAATCATCTCTTCTCTTATTCCTGCTGGTTGATTTTATTATAAAAATAACCGAGTTATACTATATCAATTGTTTTAAAATAAGTTCAAATTCAACTTGGAAATCAAACTGAATGATTGTTATTCTGCTTCCTTGAATTAGAATCTGTGTATCAATTTTTTTATTAATCTTGTTCTTTTTCCCACAATAATTACCATTTGAATTTAGATTTATACAAACTTACTACTTATCAATATATACTAATTTTATAGATTATCCCCTTTGTCTTTAACATTTAAATAATTTCTTTGCAGATTCGGATTCAAATTAAGATCGAGATTCGAAAATTCAAAAGCTAAACTCCAATCAATCTCTATCAACATTATTTACTATCGACAAATATATGTCCTTGCTTACTGAAAATGTATATGCCACCCCTTTAATAAATTATCGCCCACTGTATATTAAATTGTTAAACATTAATTTGAAAACTGCCAGCGCTTAATGATTCTTTCATTTCATCCGATAATTTCATTAATTAAAGATAACCAACTGATTATCTTAAAAAGCTCTTAAAAAGGCTGGCAAATTAGAAGTGCCTGAGATGGTGAATTTCGTAAATTAGAACAATACAAGTTTTAAAACAAGCAAAACTGTTGAGAAGCCTTTTAGAAAATACCCCATAGTAATAAATGATCAATATTGGAATAATCAATTAGAAAATCAAAAAAAAAAGTCAAAAATAAGCCAAAAAAAAAACTATAAATAACTATATATGAAAAAAATAAATTTATACACTATTTTTTAATAAGAAAAATACAATAATAATAAAAAACAAAACAAAAAAGAAGAAAATATAAGAAAAAAATATAAGAAGAAAAAAATCAAATAAATTTTGAAAAAAATATAAATAATTTCAAAAGTGATGCAATGCTATAGCAAGAAGTCTTAATAATAAAATCATTTTGCCATGAATACCAACGAAAAAGTGTGTTACAAGCGTCAAAATTTTAGTCATAAATCTTAAAAAGCATCAAAGTATTAATTAAACCCAATTTGGATAAACTATAAGATTATGAATTTGCGAGTTTATAAGATTAATTAATTAAGCCTAATTTTATTAAATGAAAGCATTTTGAGGAATATTTGATCGATTTGATTTAAAGGATTCAATAGCAGTATTATAATCCCAATTACAATTCTCACATAACATACCAGCATATTCTAGATTCAATTTAGTCTCAATAATTATTCTAATTAATAACTCCTTTTTAACTGGAGATAATTTGGATTCAATTTCAGGTGGAATTACAATTTGAGGAATATTAGCACTATTATTAGCATTAAAAGTATTATTATTTGTTGACGAATTCAGAGATAAATTAACAATAGAATGGTCTTCCTGAAAGGCATCAAAACCTGAATAAGGTCTGATTGTTAATAAATCAGATGCAATAATAATAGAACCTTGAGGATTTGGTACTATGAGCCAAGTTCTATCAAAGGATCTTTTTGATAGGGAAGTCTTAGCTGATTCCTTACTGTTATAATAGTTATTACGGCGGTGACCCTTTGGATAATGGCTCGAGGTATTTGTACTAGGTTTAGCGATTTGAATTGGTGGATCTATTTCATCAAATTCACCATGAAGAACGACGATTATTGAAGTATTGCTACAGTTCCAAGATTCGATTGAATACTTTTGTGAATTTGCTATTAGATCGTGTTTTGATTTAGGCAAATTATTAAATAATTTTAAAATTTGCTCATTACCTTTAGCCAATCTCGAGTTTTTAATATAATCCGAATTAATCACAGATAAATTTCTTGAAATAGGTAAATAATAACCCCAAGGTTTATTGTTTAAATCCTTCAAGGAAGTGGATTGACTATTAGTTGGATTACTTTGTATGAATTTGTGGGGAGCTATCGAGATAATTGATAGAGAGAATTGAGATTCACTTGTATATAACATTGATAAATCAGCTCTATTATTATCCCAAAAATTTAAAAAATTTGATATGAAATTTGAGGATAAAGATTGACATGTTGGATTTTCAAAGAAAAAATTTTTCTTTAGTAAGGGGAAAGTTAATAATTGGGATAGTTTTGATTCGTCTCTAATTTTTTGATCGTTCAAGACTAATAAACTTGGAAACATTTTTAAAAGATCATATTGATATAGGGAATTAGGATCATTTTGTTGAATTGGATTATTTGTCAAGACTAGTAAAGTTAGTTTATTTAATTTGTGTTTTAACGAATCTAAAGATTTAATGCTTTGAAGGTTGTTATTTGCTAGAGATAAGTTTTTCAAATCGGGAAAAGTTTGAGCTAATGTAGATATTGCCAATGAATTGTCTAAATTATTATTTGATAAATCTATTGATAGTATGTTGTTTTTATTATTATCATTATTATCATTATTAGTAATATTGTTAAGATTTGTGGATGGTGAAGATGAAAAGTTTTCTTCAGAACAAATTTTCATCAAGGCAGGAAAAACCTTTGAAGATGTTGAAATTGTTGTATATAGATCATTGGAGACTAGGATTTGATCCGATGACATATTTGATAAATCTAATAGTTTTTCGTTGGGATTATATCTTCTTTTGAGGAAATCCCTCAAGATCTGTATTGTATTTTTTGTTGCAGCATTGGTATTGTTGATAACATTACCGATGTTATTAGTGTTTATCCTGTTATTGTTATTGTGGTTGTTCAATATTGTGATTTTCAAGTATTGGCCGGCAAATTTGGCACCATCTAATGTCATTAACTGCTCAGCATCTCTGTTAGAACGAACATTGGCATGGATAACATTGTTACTAACAGCCTCAGCATTGATCAAGTAGATGTGAACTTTTCTGGAGACAAAACTAACCAAATTATCCACAGGAGCATTGTTCCAGTTCCTGATCTCGACCAGCACCAGGTTCAGTTGGCTATGGCCAATGCTATTGCTGTTGCTGGCATAATTGGAGTTGTTGTTGTTGTGTTGGTTCCCTCTGCCTCTGTAACTCATCGTGTATCAAACTGCGATCACCAACTCAAATAAACAGGCTCTTTCAGTGCTATCAGGTCCTGGTTTTCTTCTCTTCGGAGCTCTTCACAGCATTTGAATAAAAAACAGAACAAATTTTATCGCAGGCACGTGGTGTGGTTCCTTTTGAAAACCAGAACAACGGATAGCTGATGTAATTAAATAAATTATGTAAATACATGCTTATCTACAATTAGTTAATATATTAGTAAACAATTTTTGATTGTGTAATCACACGCCTATTACATAAGTAACCCTGGGTTTCGCCGAATTTGAATTTAAGGAAAAACTATGTTGATATTTGAAATTTTATTCGCTTGGTAATCTTATCTTTAAACTTTTGTCCAATTTTATTTCTATTTGATTTATTTTTTAAGCATTTTGTAATTATTTTTTAAGTGTTTTTTAAGTGGTTTTTATTTTTGTTGGCTATCTGTTTATTCTGTTTTGTTTCATATAAATAACAAAGAAGGGATATCGACTATTTTTTCATCTCTTCCTTTGTTTTCTTCTACCCTCTCACTCTCCACACTAAAATGGATACTCCAACCAAAGAAAGTCAAACTGACAATTCCGAAGAAAATGCTAAATCACTGAATGAGAATCTTGCTGGCGTCGAACCCACACAAAAACTGTCCCCAAAACTTTTTCTGACTGCTTCAACATCTCCCAAGGTTATTCTCCCTGCCCCTGCCACCACCATCATTTCCGCTGTTTCTGCTGTTGCTTCTGCTTCCTCTGCTTCCTTCAAAGACCCCAAAGACTCTTCTTCAACAAATCCTCCACATCCTGTTCCACAAAAGAGAAGAAGAGTAACAAGAGCTTGTGATGAGTGCCGTAAAAAGAAGGTTAAATGTGATGGCCAACAGCCTTGTGTTCATTGCACTGTCTATAACTATAATTGCACCTATGACCAACCTTCCAACAGATCAAAAAAGAACAAATTACTTCATCATTCTTCCTTCAATAACAACATAAGCTCTTCCAGCAACAATAACCACAACCCATACAACCCTAATAGTAACAATACTTCTAACACTAACAACTTGTTAACTTCCGATCATTTAAATTTACTAAACTTGAAACTAACAAAATTCAGTGATTTATTTAATTTTTTATTTTCAACAAATACTAAATCAACCACTGAAATCAACAACAGCAATAATATCACTCTTAATAACGAATTTAATATTATAAACTTTGATATAGACAAATTTAAAGCAATCTTTTTATCAAAATTACAAAATTCAAACAACAATGATTCTAACAATGATTCTAACAATGATTTTAATAATGATTCTAATAATGAAATAGATGAAAATAAAACTAATGTTAAAAAGGAGTTAGATCATCTTCAAAATTCAAATAATCTCAATAACAATAATAGTAATAATAATTCTAATACGATTAGTGTTTCTGAATTCGATTATCTTAATACTGATAACAACTACCTTGTTGATTTGAAATCTGTTTATTCAAAATATCTTAATAAATCAAATAATAACAATTCAATTTTTAGAAATCAACTTCAACTTCAACTTCAAAATCAAATTATTAACCCTCACATTAACCCTCTTATCAATCCATTAATTAACCCAATCCATAATATTAATAATAACTCAACTTCAGCTAGTAATATCAATGTTAATCTTAGCAATCTTAACAATCATTTCAATACCAACAATAACCCCCACATCCAAATAGATCAGCAACAAAAACAAATTAAAATTATGTTGCCACCTTTAGAAACAACCCTCAACTATGTTAATAAAGCTTGCGACAGTGCTTGTCTTTTTAAGTATTACAATAGAAAAAATTTACTAATAATCATTCAAGAACTATATAATGAAAATAACAATCAATTAATTAAATCAACTTTTTCCAAAATTTCAAATTCAAACCCAAATAATACTGATAATAAAGCCAAATCAAATGACAGTAATAACTCAAACTCAAAATCATACCCAAATTTCTCGTCGACAAAAAACTTTTCAAATCAATATAATAAAACAAATAAACTGGATCAAAGTGAAAATAATGAAAAATTATTAAGAAATAATAAACTATCAGCTTTAATATACAGTTTTTTAGCTGTTGGTGCCTTGTTAGAAAATGATAAAAATTACTATAATTATTATAACGCCTCTTACACTTTATTAAGAAAAAGCAATATCATAGAAACTAATGATATGACTAATTTAATTACTTTATTTACTTTAGTTATCTTTCTACAATGCACTGCAAGATTATCTACTTGTTACTCTTATATTGGTATTGTATTAAGATCTGCTTTAAGAATTGGCTTGCACCGTAAAATTCAATATTTTAGTAACCCAATTGAAGCTGAAAATAGAAAAAGATTATTTTGGTCAATTTATAAAATGGATGTCTATATTAATACAATGTTAGGCTTACCAAGTATTTCAAATAGTGATGTGGATCAAGATTTACCTGCTGAACTAGATGATGAAAATATTACCGATACTGAATATCTATTGGAAAATCAAAAGGATAATTTAAGTTTAGTTGGTGTATCAAACCATCATACTAAATTAGTTATAATCTTAAACCATGTTGTCAAAAATTTATATCCAATAACTACTCCATCAAATCATTCAACTCAACCTCTGAATAATAGTTCTCCTATAAGCCCTGCCCAATCAACTTTAAGTAACAATTCAAATAATTTTGATGATTCTTCTTCTCATTTTGGAATTATTAATTCGATCTCAGTCAAAGTCAAAAAAATGGAAAAAGAAATTCAAGATTGGTTAGATAATTTACCAATTGAATTAAATCCCTATAACGTTCCCATTCCACAAAAGTATTATAGACAAAATAGGTTACTATATCTTTCTTTTTTGCATATCCAAATTGTACTTTATAGACCTTTCATCCACTTAATTTCCCATAAATATTTATCAAATACAAATATTGATTTAAAATCTGTTGAGAATGCTAAAAACTGTATTGCTTCTGCTATCAAAGTTGTGGAATTAGCCATTGAAATGTTTGATCATAGCTTATTAAATGGTGCATATTGGTTTTCAATTTATCCAATTTTTTATTCTGTTGCTTGTTTAGTGTATTATATTCATGAAAATTCAAATAGTGTTGATCCAACAACATTACAAATTAGAAGCTATGCTGAAAAGGGTAAAAATGTTTTAATTAAACTAAGAGATAATTCTGTTGCAGCTTCAAGAACTTATCATATTTTAAACGTTATGTTTGATAAATTAAACAAAAAAACTTCCAACTATTTCAATCAAAATTTTAATAATGGAAATTTTGAATCGCCAATAAATAATATGAATGCTAATCCAACTAAAACTGTTGATAGTTTGTTTAAAACTCAGACTCAATACGATGATACCAATAATAATAGTAATAATAGCAGTAATAGCCATAGCTATAATAATAGAAATAATAATAGTGATAACATATCAATGTCAAGAATGTCATCGAGTAACAATAATAATGAGAGCATATTTAGTTTTTCAAGTGATAGTTATTACACTAGTAATATGAGTGCAACTTCGCCAGGGTCATTAAAAAATCACCCGCAACAAAAGAATAAATATCCAAGTTCTAAATCTAGAAAAAATCATACAAGTGAAAATAAGAATAGTATTAATAGAAATTATCAAGCAGGAATGATTGATCAGTTAGATATGCAAATTTTTGGTAGATATTTGCCACCATATATGATACAAAGTGCTAATAAAAGCATTAATCAAAAACACGACCAAAATATGGAGAAATCAAATTCTAGTGGAACAACAATTATTCCAACTAATATTCATCCAGTGAATAACATAAATACACCCACTCCCAAATATCCTGATAGCTTATATTCAAACCAAGATCAAAACAATATGAACTTTAGTAATTATAATTTCAATAATTTGGGCGATGCTTTTAATAGTGATATTAATAATATTAGTAATAATAATAATTTCAATAACATTAATAATAATAACAATAATAATAACAATAATAATAACAATAATAATAGCAATAATAATAGGAATCAAAATGAATTGATTGAACTGGTTGGTCTTGATTTTAGTGAAGGGAATGACAATAATTTCAACAACAGCAATATAAATGACAATGGTATTTCAGTTTTGGGAGGATATTATCTAACGGCTCAAAATAATAATATATTAAATGAGATTGATACGATATTTAATTTAAGTCCCGAACAATTGAAAGATTTGCCCAATTTGGATACACTTTGGGGAAATCGTGATCCTGATTTCAATTAATTCAACCGGTCAATAATCATTATCCAGTAATTAAGATGCTTTTTTCATATATGATGATTAGCAGAATTTTTTCTATTTATATTTTGTTTTTTATTTTCTTCTTCTCTTCGTTCGTTTCTTTTGTAAAAGTTTTGTTTTTTTGTTTTTCAAAAGCTTTCAATTATATTCTAGTGTTCTAGTGTTGATTTATTTGTTACTACGGAATGAAAACATGGATATTAAAAAAGTAAAAATATAGATTTTTGTATTATTTTAATTTTATATATATGTGAGACGTAATAATGATATTCTTAGTTTTTAAAGTGGCTACAGGAACCATTCGTAATATTAGTGATGAATAAAAAAGACGAAAGACGAAAGACGAAAGACGAAAGACGAAAGACAAAAGACAATAGACATAAAAACAGAGATACAGTAAAATAAAATAGAAGTAAAATAACTTAAAATAAAATAACATAATATAAGAAAGAGATAAATAGTACATTAATAAAAACATTGAATCAAATAGTTTCGAAGATAATGAATTTTTAGACTACAGATATAGATTTTATAATATAATGCATAGGAAACCAAGAAGTGAAGTAGTTATTTTTTTGTGTGCTTCAGAACATTATAGTTATTCTTCTTCACTGACATCGGATCGATTGTTGAGTATACCATCAATTTCTTCGTCATTTAACTTTGATTCAACACCTGAGTCATTGTGATCGTTATCACTTTCGTGCTTCTCAAAGGTCTTATCTGATGAAGCGTTGTCAGCAATCTCTTTTACCTCTCTGATTTTTCGTTTCTTGGTCTTTCTCTCGTTAGCAGGATGATCGAGTTGTTTGTCATCACTGTGGTATCTATCACCAGAACTGCCTTCGTTCTCTTCATTGAGAAAGCCTTTGCTGGAAAAGCTGTTTCCAGTGAATCTGGGAAACTTCTTGCCAGATAGTTTTTCCAAAGCATCAGTGATTTGGTCCTGTTGCTCCAACAATGATATCCAGACATCTTCGCTCAAGGAGATTCCCTTTTTGCCTGGTTTGAATTCATCGGTGTTTTTGTCGTTGTAGTACTCCCTGATATCGACCAAATTGTGAGAATTGAACTGTCTGACATTGATTCTCTTTCTTTTGCCCAAATCAAAATCAAACGATTGCCCACCAGCGCCGGGAGCTGTGCCGGCAGAAGCTGGAGCACTGAAGGAGTTGCTGCTGTTGTAGTTGGAATACGGCTTTCTCTTTGATTTGTAGTACATCTCGAAGCTCAATGGTGTCTGTGGTGCCTGTGCTGTTGAGGAAGAAAGATGGTTTCTCTCAGAAATAGAAACAAGGCCAGACGTCGCAAGGCTCCCTCTTCTGCCCCGTTTGGGACTGTGGCACCGGAAGAGCCGTCCAATCAGCTCGGGCCGTCGACGAGAAACTCGGTCTGGGGACGAGGTGATGAAGAGACGAAGAGATAAAGACAATAGTGAAGACAATAGTGAGGAGACAGTGAGGACGAGTGCTGGAGATGCTGGAGATGCCGGAGAGGGACAAGTTTGCTGGATTGAGGCCTGTGGGGCCTGTGGGACAGCCGGTTTCAGGCAATATCTGCGATTTGCCTCCTTTGATCTTGGGTGGTGCTGTGTTCAACTACCAATACAACGATGATCCACAAAGGCTTCCTGTAAAGAGCCTCATAAAATTGGCCTTTGATTTGGGTGTTACTGCCATAGACACTTCTCCTTACTATGGTCCCTCGGAAGAACTTATTGGAGGTGCCTTGAAGGATCTCTCTGCTGAGTATCCTCGATCAAACTATTATATTTGCACAAAAGTTGGCAGAATCCAACTAGATGATTTTGATTACGGTCCTGATTGGATTGAATCATCCATTAACAGATCTTTGGAGAGGCTAAATACATCTTACTTGGATTTGGTTCATTTGCACGATATTGAATTTGTTTCAACCGACAAAATCTTTCTTGCTTTAAAAAAACTAAAATCATTGAAGGATAGACAAATTATTCACAATTTTGGTATCTCTGGTTATCCAGTTGACTTTTTGAGTTATGTTTCCAAAAAATGTGCTGAGGATTTTAAAAAAGAAATAGGTTCCTTGGATTCAATCCTATCTTATTCTAATATGTGTTTGCAAAACACTATCTTGCTTAACTATTACGACAGTTTAAAGAAGATATCGCATTTGAAACAAGTATTAAATGGTTCAATTTTATCAATGTCTTTGCTAAGGTCTATGGAAACAAGATCTTTTCATCCTGCTTCAACCGAACTTAAAAAAAAGGCTGATGAGGTCGCTAATTTATGTGTTCAAAAATACAATGTCGAATTGGCAGATTTAGCAACACGATTTGCCATTAGAGAATGGTTAAAAAAGGGTCCAACGGTTTTAGGTGTTGACTCCATTTCTCAATTACAAGCTGCTGTAAGTGCTTATTGGGATTCACACAATGATGAAATTACTCAAAATGATAAAATCATCATTAAAGATTGTCAAGATTGCTTTGGAATTCATTTAAATGAAACCTGGCAATCTGGAATCAAACATCATTTTGACTAAATATATTATTATCCATTGGTTTACTTGAAAATCTCTTTGTTTGAAATTTTACTTTTTATTATAAAATCGTTAAATAGAATATATATTAATAGAAATTTGTTACTCACACTTATACAAAAAAATCAAAAAAAAATCAAAAAAAATTCATCATCACAAAATACTCTCATAACTTGGATTTAATATTACTATTTATCAATTTTATAGCAGCATTACTAATAACGCAAACATTTCTTTCAACTGACCAAGTCTCAAAAATCACAACATCACCTTTTTTCCATGCAACAATCTTCAACTGTTCACCAGGGAAAACAACATTTGTAAATCTACTTTTAATCTCCTCAAATAATCCAAATTTTTCTGTAATAGCCTTGACTGTAATACCAAAACTACACAAACCATGCAAAATTGGTTGTGGAAATTTAGCCATTTTAGCAATCTTGGGATCAATATGTAATGGATTATAATCCGATGTTAACCTATAAAGTGCTGCCTGGTCTTTATTAGTTTTGACAATTATACTATAATCGGGTTTTTCATTATCGGGTTTTTTATGTGCACCCGTTGCAAATGGTGATCTTCTTTTATAAGATTTCTCAACTTTGGCTGATGCACCTCTATTAAATGTTGTTATTTCATTATAAAATACCAACTCGTTAGTCTTTTTGTCAAATGTCTCAATACCACCAACAACAATTGCTGCATTTTTCTTATTGGTAACCAAAACTGGAAATCCTTTTGAAATTAATGAACCAGATTTCTTAATGGGCCATTTATTGATTCTAATATATTGTTCACCATGTAATAACATCATTGGATTGAAATTATTCAACAACTCGCCAATATCTAAACCTGTAATTCCATCCCCCATGAATTCATTCATAAATGGAATAACAGAAAATGATTGAATTGGATGAAATTTTGGATCATTTTCATAAACATATTGCAAGTCTTTTGCTGTGGCTCCAACACTGAGATTATACAAGATAATGTCACGATAATTGTAATTATAAACACCAATTTCTTTATTAATAACTTCTTTTTCCTCATCATCATTATCATCTTCTTCTTCTTCTTCTTCTTCTTCTTCTTCTTCTTCTTCTTCTCCTTCGTCAGAATCACCGTTAATTGCAGCCATAATACTCATTGTTGATTCGGTAGTAGAACGAATTGTAGAAGGTTTTGAGTAATCAATAATGTCATTCCAATAATCACGAATAAATTCTGGGGTTGCATCCGACTTGCAAATAGCACCTTTTGCTCTTTGAAATCTTACATTGCCAATCCATCCTGCACCGATTTCAAATAATTCTCCTGTAACAGGACATTGGGGAGAAGAAAGCAAAACAAAAATTGGAGCAACATGTTCAGGTGGGAATCTATTAATCTCGTTTTCGGTAAAAATAGTCTTTGTCATTGCAGTTTCAGCATGAGGAGCAACAATATTAACTTCAATATTATTTTTCTTACCTTCAATTGCCAAAGTTTTTGATAAACCCAAGATACCAGCTTTAGCAGAAGCGTAGTTGGCTTGACCAAAATTGCCATAAATACCAGAAGTTGAGGTGACATTAATGATTCTACCACTTCCTTGTTTTAAGAAAATTGGCCAGACTAAAGAGCATAGTTTAAAAGTTGCAATTAAATGAACATTCAAGACAATGTTCCATTGGTCGTCAGTCATTTTAAGGAAAGATTTATCACGTAGAATTCCAGCATTATTAATCAAGACATCAATTTTGCCATATTTCTTTAAAGAGTCGACAACTATTTGTTCTGAATCTTTAAAGACATCATGTTTGTCAGGATAGGCTTCACCACCAAGAGATTTGATTTCCTTTACTGTATCATAAGGATTGACTAAATCATTTACGATAACTTTTGCACCATATTTGGCTAACATTAAGGCGTAGGCTTTGCCTAAACCAGCTCCAGCGCCGGTTATTAAGACAACTAAATCCTTTAAAGAAACTTTAGTGGTGCCTTGGTTATTGTTAGAAACTTTTTGAGATTTTTGCAATAGAGATAAATAATCGGGTAGTTGAGATGGATATTCAACTTTATTGTATGGTGTATCATTGAAATTCATGATTGATTTAAAGTTATAAAGAATAGTCTCTGGGGTGAAAGACTTATCGGTTTTGAATAATTGACCAGAGGATCTTTGCCATCTGACTTGAGAGTAATAACCAGCAGCGAGCTCATAAATTCTGCCAGTATCTTGGGGAGATTTCAAAGAATCAGAAGACAAGTACAAGACCAAAGGAGCGATTTTTTCAGGAGAAATCTTTTCTAGTAAATCAGGAGGTAGCAAATCTTCAGTCATTCTTGATCTGGCTAGTGGGGCAATGACATTTGAAAAAATGTTATATTTAAAACCTTCTTTAGCTAAAGTTTGGGTGAAGCCAACTAAAGCCAATTTTGCAGCAGAGTAATTTGCTTGACCAAAATTACCATATAAACCGGCAGGAGAAGAAGTATTAACGATTCTGCCAAAATTCTGTTTCCTCATATATGGCCAAGCCGCCCTAGTTAGTTTATAAGAACCATTAAGATGAACGTCAATTAGTTTTGTGAAATCCGATTGAGATAATTTTTTAAAGGATGAATCCTTTAGTATTCCGGCATTATTGATGACTATATGAACAGTTCCAAAAGCGTCAACAGCAGTTTTAATAATATTTTCAGCGTTGGTTACGACATTGTCATAATTGGGGACAGCAATTCCACCTTTTTTTTTAATTTGATCCACAACTAAATCAGCAGCCTTTGATGAGTTACCAGCTCCAGATAAAGAGCCACCAAGATCGTTAACAACGACTTTTGCACCTCTTTTTGCGAATTCTAAAGCGTATGTTTTACCCAAACCACCGCCAGCACCGGTGATAACAACCACTTTGTTATCAAATCTGATTTGATTCGAGGACATTTCGAGGAATTGGAGTTGATAATGAAAGACAACAAACCAAAAATGATAGATTATAATAGGTAAGAAAGAGAAGTGAAAGCAATTGAACCACCGAAAACAAGTGAATTTAAATACCAATGACAGATGATAAACATATGAAATAATAAGCAATCCCTTTTAACTTTTCTTGCTTATATGCGGGGTGGTAGAAGATGGAAATCAGTGGGATGTGAGAGTTGGTGGTGAATGTGATAGAAACAACAGTAAACAGTTCTCTTTTTCCTCTTTCCTCTTTCCTCTTTCCTCTTGTTGAAGTTTGTCTCAGCAGTGATCGTGGAGCAACAAAGCAAAGAAGGCAGAAGGCAAAGATAGCAGAAGGCAAAAAATAGAAAGCAAAAAACAGAAAGCATTGTTTCTGTTTTGGAGCCATCGAAAAGTCAAAACCATAAATAAGGCCCAGATCACTACCGTAAACGTGGGTTTGATTTTCTGCAAGAAAACACTTAGACCAGGGTTATGGAGTTTACCATATATGTGGATTATACATACACATACGGTTGAGCACAAAATACAACGTGCAGTACTGTGCTGTATTCCGCTTACACAAGCGCATGCATCACCACGCCACACTGTGCCGCCACACTTCCCGGGCTTTCTCCTTTGGGCAGCGATGCCTCTGCGTTTTCCGCCGCACGACTCTCGGGCCGCCGCGCCACAGTGACCGTTCCGGTGCTCTTTTCTGATTGGCTGGCTACCTTCTTCACCTTCTTTATATCTATGCTTCCTTTGCGGTTCTGACGAGATTTCTCTGGCTCAACATGTTCCTTCGGTTTTCACTGGCTTCTGTTCTTTCAGTTCATATATATTGTTGTTATTTTCTTATTCAGCTCCTGTCTTCTGTGTCTTTCTTTCTTGACTGCTCCCTTCTCCATCAAATGGAAACACCTTTGCTTGAAATTCTATAATCGCTTGCTCACTCGACAAAATGTTCCTGTTTTTGGAAAATTTCAAAGAGAATAATCGCGATAAAATTTGGTACAAGAGAACCGTCGCAACCATAGATTATATCATAAGTCAGTGGTTTTTTATCGGTTTAGCTGTCTTTATCGCTTTGGCTCATTCTTTTCCTAATTTTGCACGAAATGGCGGTTTGATACGAGCCGAATATTCTATTGGTTATGGTGCCGTTATAGTCATATTTTTGCAATCCGGTTTATCAATGAAAACCTCTAAATTGTTGATAAATTTACTGGACTTCAGGTCCCACATAATCTTATTAATCCTACAGTTTCTAATAACACCTTCCATAGCCTTTGGTTTTGCTTCTCTAATCAAATCAACCAACAACTCTCAAATAGATAACTGGGTCTTGGTTGGCATGGTCGTCACTGCAACATGTCCAACCACTGTTGCATCCAACGTTATCATGACTCAAAAAGCTGGTGGTAATGATGTCCTATGTTTGTGTGAAGTCTTTATAGGCAATGTCTTGGGCACTTTTATATCTCCAGCTCTAGTTCAGATGTTTTTCTCCACCAACAGCACTTGGAGTTTTGCTAATCCCGCTAGTGATATCTCTGTCACAACGTTATATGGAAATGTCATGAAGCAGCTAGGTTTGTCTGTATTTATCCCCTTATTTGTTGGCCAGGTTATCCAAAATTTATTTCCTCTCCAAACATTTAGAATAATCTCAAAAATAAAACTAAACAAAATCGGTTCCTTTTGTCTTTTATTAATTATCTTCAGTTCTTTTTCTACTGCCTTTTACCAAAAGGCCTTTGACAATATTCCAACAGCTTCAATCATTTTCTTGGTTTTCTTTAATATCGGCTTGTATCTATTCAACACCCTCATTACTCTACTACTCGTTAGAAACCCATTCATTGCCTTATACTTGAAAAAGAGAAATGCCCACTTTTTAAATCTTAAAAATAACAACAACAGCATCGATAACATTGATAATACAAATCAAAAAATCCCCATACCAACATCTTATAAAATCTTATCTTCTCTCTATTATAACAAATATGATGCTATTTGCATGCTCTTTTGTGGCCCTGCTAAAACTGCTGCCTTGGGTGTCTCATTAGTTACCTCCCAATATGGTAACGACTTTATCTTCTTGGGTAAATTATTAGTGCCTTTGGTCTTATATCAAACCGAACAAATTGTAACTGCTCAAGTTTTAATTCCCTTTATGAAAAGATGGATTAATAAAGGTGATCTTATTGTTGATAATGTCAATCTTCTTTTAAATAAAAATACCGAAAACAACAACAACAACAACAACAACAATAATAATAATAATAACAATAATGATAATAACAATAACAATAACAATAACAATTACAATAACAATTACAATAACAATTACAATAACAATTACAATAACAATAGCTCAAATGACTTACCTTCTAATAATAAATATGATGAAGAGAATCAATTGAGTCGAAATACTGAAAATAATCAACCATCTCAAATTGAAAAATTAAATGATCAAAATACTATTGTTAAACATAGATTAAATGAATCTACCTCATTATCTTCATAATAACTTTTTTTTCTCCCTTTTTTTTCTCGTTTTTTCTTTTTCTCTTTCCTTTTTCTTCTCTGCTTTAATTTTAATTGAATATATAAAATGGACTATTATTCCAAATTTATCATACACACTTTTTATTTCAACTCATTATATGTAATAATTATTAATTCTTGTTTTTTTTTGTTTTTTTCCTTCTGTACTTTAGCTCCTTAATACTAACTTTGCTTTGAAAATTCAATTGAATACTTTATAAAATATACCACATCAGAGCTAAAAAAAACTTTTTTTAATTATCATCGTAAAACTATAATCTCATTTAAGATTTTTGTTTTCTGTTTAAAATTTAACTACTTGGGGTTACAAAACTTTTTATGTTATTTGTTTATTTTTGTTTTGTTTATCAGTTGTTGGTTTTTTTTCTCTTTAAATTTACTTTATCTTTTATAATTCAAAGGGATGAATTGGTAATTTTAAATTAAAAGACCAATCTCATCTCCAGACAGATCACTATCATCATTATTATTCCAGTAAATAATATGTATATAACTGTGTTTGTTTTTTCATTTTTTATTTTTTTTTTGCTTAATCACGACTAATTAGTTGCTATTATCAATTATTAATTAATATTTGATTATTATTTAATGTATCCCACTTTCCCACTGATTATTTTTGACCATGTGTTGGCTGGATGAGTATACCTGATGATGAATATATCTGAATATACCTGAATATGATGAATAAGTATATCTGAATAACTTTCAGCCAATGCAAATTTTGCACTTAAATTCTACACTTCAAAATCATCTATTGATCTTCCATATCCTTTCAATAAATAAATCATACTAAGCTATACTAGTAATCTTTAAAATTGTCGTTAAAAACAAAAAAAAACTTCCCCAAAATTCCATTAGTCTCAACATTGAGACAACTCTTTAAAAGGATTTGTCTCAATTCTTATTTGAATATTTTTGTTATCAGCAAATCAATAAAGATAAATGTTGGCGATAATGGAAAAAAAAAAGAATGAATAAGAACTGTTATTTGATAGTGAAATTATAGAATAATTTTATTTTTGTTAAATTTTGTAATAGACTGGTTAAATATGCATCGAGAATATATGAGAAGAGTAATATTAATTAATATAGTACTATTAAAATGATAAAAAAAATCTATTAATTTGTAATTTTACAAGCCAAAGATTAAAAAAAAAAGAATTGTTAAAAAAAGGAAAATTGTTAAAAAAAAGAAAATTACCCAATTTTTTTCTTATCAAGTGAAATTGATAAGAAAAATGAAACCCAGTATTAATTAAAACCTAGTATTAATTAAAACCTAGTATTATATATTATAATTTCTTTTACCCAAAAATATGACAAACGAACAAATCAATTAAAACAATAAACCATCAAAGATAAAAAAACAAAATGAAATGAAGTTAAATAAGGACAAAAACAATGTATTATTGGTAGATGAGGAATGAAATAATATGAAACAGAAACCAGTCAATTTTTTTTGAATAAATCAGAAATATGAGGTAGTAAGACATTTTGATTATTTAAACGTAAAGGGGGTAATTTACATTCTTGTTTATCATCTAAACTTGCAATTAGAGATTTCAATGGTGGTAAAGTGATGTTGTTTGAATTATTTGAACTGTAAAGACTTGTACTGGAATTTGAATTTGAAGTTGGTAATAATTTGGGAGATTGTAGGGGAGTTATCTGGGGAGTCTCAGAAGGGAATAGGAAATTCAAATTATTGGAATTGCTATTTGAATTGTTAAAAAAAATGTCGTTATCTCTATTGGGTGAGTGAGGTAGTGAGTTGAAGATAAATTTAGTCTTTGAAGTATTGAGATTATTTTCAACGACTTCATTTAAAGAAGGCAAAGTTGTTGCAGAGAAGGAATTTCTGGTCAAGCCAATTGAAGAAGAAGATTTTGAGGACTGTAGTGATGAGGCAGAACTTGAATTTACAGAGTTATTAGGGGTGTTGCTATTGTTATTTGAGTGCAAATATTGGCCAAATAAATTGGTTGAACTTGAATTTGGAGTGTTTGATAACGATTGAATAGCAGAAGAGTTATTTGAACTGACGTTTGAGACTGGAAAGTAATTTGAGTTTAAAGATTGATAAGAATGAGGGTCAGAAGGAGATTGGTGATGGTCGATTGATAAAGGTAATTGAGAAGAATTATAAGGAACTTGTTGATTTACATTGACAATGGGATAATTTAAATTTATATTTACTGGATATTGATAAATTGGATTTCCTTGGAAGTCGTAACCAATTGGAATTGGTGTCATTGAAGAGATTGGAGAGTTTGGGTCATAAAAGCTTTGATTGAAATAGCTGTAATTGCTGTTTGAACTTTTTTTTCTTCTTGTTGAAGGATTTGTATGAATTCTCATGTGTCTTGTTAACTCATCGCTTCTTGAGAACTTTTTACCACAATTTGGAAAAGAACATGAGTGAGGTTTTTCACCAGTATGAGTTCGAATATGCCTGGTTTGGTGTTCCAATCTATGAAATGCCTTTTCACACATTGGGCATTTATAAGGACGATCATTGGGGTTTTTGGATGATTTTGATTTTGATTTTGATTTTTGATTTGAATTGATTGATTTTAGATTTGGATTCAAATTTGAATTTGAAGGTAGACACATTTTTTGAAGAGAAGTATATGAGTATGGGTATGAATATAGAAAAAAAATGGATAAGGAATTGAGAGATTTATATAAATTTTTTTTATTAACTTATTAAATAAGATGATTTAAATAATAAAATAATAAAAATGAGGGCTAATTGATACCCAATAGGTAAAATATAGGTTGATTTGAGTTAATTTAATTAGAAGCTTTTTTTTTTTTTTTTTTAATTTTTTAATTTTTTAATTTTTGATAAGTATTAGTTTTTGTTGATTAGTAGAATGGAATAGTAGTGTTATAGAGAATAAGTTAAAATAAAAACCAAAGAAGACCAAAAAAGTATAAAATTATATATCAAATTTTTTTTAAAAAAGTTGTGAAAATAGCATGTTTATATTATAAAAAAATTTTATCAATGGTATAAGAGAAATTGAAATAGATTAATCGTCAGAAAAAAAGGTATAGTTATTTTTACATATTAGTTATTAAATATTAAATATTAATCTTTTTTGTTAATTTTTTATTATGTTCAATATTAAAAATAATATTCACTCACTTACATAAGTAAAAACTTAAAGATAGTTTATAAATTTAAAAATTACTATTAAAAAATGAGATATTAGACTTTTGATTTAAAAGTTTACACAGAGCTGAACAGGAAATAGAGAAACTAGAAAAATTAGAGATAAAATGCAAACCAAAAAAAAAAGTAAACTGAGAGAGAAAGGATTTGGAAAGTTCTTTTTCTTTCCTCATAATAAAATTGAATAAATTTCATGATGAATATTAAAATTTTATAAAGAATATAGAAAATTTTGGAAAAGTGGGATATTGAATGTCAACATAATGTGGATAATAGCAGTTTTACAGATTGCAAAGATGGGTACATCAAGAGATAGTTGGAATTTATTAGGCAAACGCAGTTTTTTACCCCGAAATTTTAAACAGGCTGAAAGAATCTTAAAAGGCTAAAGAAGGATTTAGAAAAGTAGTGGTGCTAGAATGGATATTGTCATTATTGTCCATCGAGCAAAGTTGGAGGAATGTAAAATTGTGATGAATATCCGATCAGGCAAATAAGCAAGAAGGATATAGGAAACACGCATCAGAAATGCTAAGAACATTGGAAATGGCATAACAAAAAACAATCAGACAGTTACATGTTTTGCGAGTGTTTTCTGCGGTGTTTTCATTGCAAAGCAGAAAAGAAAGGAGCTTCTTTCTCTTTGTTTGATTTGTCCAGTCGATAAGAGAACGAGTTACTTTTTGACCACCGGGGGAGCAAAGAGAGCTCTGGAAGCAGTGCTTCCTGGAGAAACAAACAAGAAAGGTGTTTATGGTGGCCAGCAGCAGCAACAGCCCAGCAACAGCTAATTGCTTGCCTACGGCTAGCTTACGGCTAGTGGTTCTTTCTGACCTGTTCCAACTTCCCCAAACCCCAGAAGTCTCCAGAGGCCTCCAGATCACGCGCAGAACGGGTACTTAAGACGAGTACTAAACACGGCCCCCAAAGATGGCAGTAGAAACCGCACAAAAATCGCACGAAAACCGCGAGAATACTGCCGAATTTTTGGAATGTGCGACTTATGAGAAAATAATAGAAGCAAAATTTTTTGGAAAAGCTCCAAACGGTTGTAAACGGCTTCCTTTTTCCACCTGGTTTTTTGCAGTTGTTCAGAATTTTTGCATTTTTCTCACTAATCCCTGGAAGTTTAAAACTATTTTCGCTAGCTGAAATCTAATCTCAGATCTGGATTGATACAGTTGCTGCGATTAATAGCTCTAAATCATCAAACAAGTGTGTTTTCGTTCTTGCCTTTCACCAGTTCCATTTGTTGGATGCATCTATTTGATGCCACCAAAAAAAAAGAAGGTTGCTTTCTTGCTTTCTTGCTTTCTTGCTTATTTTCTCATTCCTTTGATTAAAAGATTAGATACTGAGAAAAACATGCTTTGCAAAAAAAAAGGTTTAAAGCATAGAATTATCTCTTTGGAGGATGGTTAAATAAAAATCCCCAACATAACCCACCTAGTATTTGACCCAAAAGGCTATCATACACTATTAGCAAATGACCATCAAAAATAGCGAAACAACAAAAAGAGAGGCCAACAAAGAAGGAGAGAATGAATTCGTGATTGCGATTGACTCATAGTCGGATAACCAACTATGGTCCAAATTAATCGCAGTGTTAGATAGCACTCCTAAAAAAAAATTGGATGATTCTGCTACCACACCCCTTTTTCCTTTTTATTATTTATCTGTGTTTACAATATTATTTAGTTTATTGTTCATATAATAGGAAATTGATGATCATTACAGCAATTTATTATGGTATATGGCGATTCCAGTATATTATCCAGGCAATATCCACAACCGCTTTAATCCACTTTCTCAAAATCCGACAAACTGAAAAAAAACCTCTAACTTTTGCGTTCATTTTGGTTTATTTCCTTTGCAATTTTCCACAAAACCGTAAAACCGCTCTTTTGGAATTTGAAAAGCAGCCTAAACGGTGGGGTTGCTGCGGTCCACTTTAACCTTTTTTAAGGTTCGATTCCGCAGCTCTTGTCAGGGAGGTTTTTCCGAACTAGATTTTTCCTCCAATCACAATACTTCCCCAAGATTGCTTATCCGTCTCGTGAAGGCTCGTAAAAATTCGCTATTTTCAATTGCAGGTTTTGATATCACCCATGGGTTTTATTTCTTTTGATTCCTTCCTCTTTAGTTCAGGGCCAGTTCCTTGTTGCTGAGTGGCATTTTCCATTTATTCATTTCCTCTAACTGCATTGTTTACATTTGAATTTCAGGCGCTACTCAAATACCCAAAACTTTTTCCCATATCTACAAATCCTCATATCTCTCAGATTTCAGATATAAGCCGTTCAAAAAACAGCAAACTTAACTTCAAATTGGACAAATTGCATTATATCATCTCTTTGAATCTTGTGTTCTGACATAAGCATGAAAAAATAAAAATCAGTCCAGATTTAGCCATTATCAAAGATATATTCCAAACGAATCCAAAAAAATGAAATGCCTTAATTACTGTTTTTATTTCGTAAACACTGTATACAGTGTTTACGAAATTACTGACAAACTTCTATTGCAATACCTATCTGGCGTTTGCATACCGAGGATAACATTTAAGCAACGATTGATGTATCAATTTATTATCAATTGCCATAATCAAGATACTGTAATCCAACGATTCAAAAATTGATCCGACTAATTCCTCTCCCTCAAAAAGAAACATGTCTACGATAAAAAGAAAACCCTAATATTGTATTCTGTTATCGATATAGCAATCATTGATAAAATTATCAATAAAATTATTTATAAAATCATAGAATAATTTTATAAATGATTTTCTGAATGATTTTTTTTTTCTTTTTATTTATTACAATTATATATAATAGTTTGTAATGGTTTGCTAAAAATTTTTATTGTAATTTTTATTTTTAATGAACATGAGTTGAAATTGATCAATAAAGAATCAATTACCAATTTTTCGTTATTTAGAAATGAATACAAAAAAATAAAATAATAAAAAAATAAATAATAGGTAAAAATTAACATTCATAAAAAAAGAGACTGGAACTGTGAACAAAGAATTTATTGGAAAGTAAAGGTAAAAAAAAAGGGGAAAGGGAAACAAAAAGAGAAAGAAAAAAGAAAAAGAAAAACAGAAAAAGAAAGAGAAAGAGAAAGAGAAACGAAAGAGAAACGAAAGAAAAGAAGAAGTTTATAAAATGTTGATTTTTTTGATCTTGATTATGCAATTATTCCATTTTTTAATTCAAATTTGAATTCAAATATGTATTTATATTAATGTTAAAATTCATCGAATAAAGAAGCATACGGATCTTCACCTTGATAAATACCATAGTCTAAGTCCTCTTCAGGATACCTATCGAATTGACTTGTATCACCAATACCACTTTGGATTGGAGGTTCATATGGAGTTTCAATGTCTCTGTTTAACAATCTTTCCCAAATGACTTCACTGAACCAGGGATGGTTTTTGACATCCTGAGAACCACCTTGTAGATTGCCTAGTCTAATTGATAAGTCAGCAGTGATTAAGTTTTTCAACAAGTTTAGAACATCAGCATGAAAATCGCTGGGATAAATAACGTTGCCAGCCAAAATATTTTCATAAGTTTTCATTGGATTGGGATTACAAAAGGGGGTGAAACCAGCTAGCATTTCAAAGATCAATATACCAAAGGACCACCAGTCTACGCTTTTGTTATAGGCTTTGGTTGCAACAACTTCAGGAGCAATATAATCCGGAGTACCACATAGAGTATAAGTAACATCGGGGACTTCCTTTGCAAAACCGAAATCAGTTAATTTTATGTGGCCATTTTTGTCCAATAGGATGTTTTCTGGTTTCAAGTCTCTATAAATTATGTTGTGGTCATGCAAATATTCAAGAGCTAAACAAACCTCAGCAGCATAGAATTTAGCCACAGGGTTTGGAAATCTGCCAGATTTTCTTAATAGGGAGAATAGCTCACCACCTTCGATATAATCCATTATCATAAAGACGTTTCTGATATCTTGGAAGGTGCCCCACATTCTAATTATAAAGGGGTGTTCGACCAATTTGAGCATTCTTCTTTCATCATTGGTATGTTCTACCTGTTTCATTTTGTGGACCTGTGCTTTTTTTAACACTTTCATTGCATAGAATCTGCCATTATGAACGGATCTTACTAGATGAACTCTGCCAAAGGAGCCAGTTCCCAAGGTTCTTAGGATTTGGAAATCAGTTAAAGAGTACTTACCCTTTGTGGTAGTGATCTTTTTTGGTAGTTTGCTTTGTATGATGTTTGGGGAAGGTATTATTAGGGTATTGTTATTGTTATTGTTATTAGAAGCATTAGTGTTGTTGTTGGGGTTGTCGTTATTGTTTTGGTGGTATAAGTTTTGTAAGTTTTGATCGTACTGTACTTGAATCATTGGGTGAGGTATTGAGAGTGTTGTTTCTATTGTTAGTGTTTTTAGAATAAGATATAAGATCTAGAATGGGATCTAGATTGAGGTTGAGATAAAAACGGAAAAGAGATTGAGGTTGATGGGTCTAAATGATTTGGAAGGTTTATTTAGAAAAAAAGATTAAAATGGAGAGGAAGATTTGTGTAAGGTTGGAGATATCCAGATTGTTTTGGGTGTTACTGTAAATAGAATTCTGAGGAATCCTTAAAATTTGGAGATGTTGAATTGAATATTAATTTTTTGATTGATTGATTGATTGATTGAGTTAGTGGAGTGTGATTGCTATAAGCCGGGTTGCTATCAGTTGATGTTGTTATATCCCATCAAGCAGAGGACTAAGTAATGAGTAAAGTAGAGATAAGAGAAAGGTGGGAGATAGGAAGAGAACCAACCACAATTGAGAATTATATGATCAATTGACCAGGAATTAGGTTGCTAACAAAGTGGATGGTTGCAATTAGTAGATGAAAAATAACGGATAGTGCCTAATCCAGGTGGAGGATAAAAGCGATTTCTTGTTGCAGAGCACTATTTGCAGGCTTGAAATGGGAGCAGCCAGGAAAATGAGCAGCAGAGGCAGTATCAAAATGGTATTGCTGTTCTCGCGATGGTATCACAGTGCTATCAGAGGAAAGTTGCTTCAGTATTGCCAGAATATCGCCAGAATATCGCCAAAGTATCCAGCGTCAATAGTACCACAGCACCAGATCGATAAAAGCGAAAGGCAGAAGAAAACACCCAAAAGCTCTAAAGAAAAGCAGGAGAAAGAAAAAGAGGTGGGCACGTGTGATTATATAACATGCAGAGTAAGGATTACGCAACACAGCAACATGCGTGCGTGTGTATACACGCTGGTGTGCGTTTGACAACTTGGCTGCATGTGAAGGTTTGCTTTTGCTGCCGACGCTGGTTCTGCTGGTTCTGGCGCCGGGGTATAAATAGGGTGGCGCTTCGGGAGAGCTACTTTCTCGAGCTGCTTTCTCGAGTTTTGTTTGCCACTGCTGCTTCAAATCACCATCAATTGCTATCACACACCATGTCCACCACGCACACTCTCAGAAACAGGGGCCCAGCGTCACAGGAACAGAGCTTGAAACATAACCTCCAGGAGGAAATCTCCCTGGTGAAGAAGACAATTCTCAGGCTCTACCACTGGAACGAGATCCCAGACTGGCAGAAAGACAACTCCTATATCCTCACTGGCTACGTTCGAGAGACCCTCGACTACTTGGCCTGTTTGAAGTCGCTCACCTACATCCACAACGAAACCATCAACATCTACTCCCATCTCATTCCAGGCCTCTTGCTTATCGTGTCCAACTTCTTTCTTGTCAATTGGAACCTCTTCTTGCCCACATTCACCACGACTGTTTTCTTAGACAAGGCCATCGTCCTATTGTTTTTGATGGGCCTCTCGTCGTGTCTCGCTCTCTCGTCGTGCTTTCACTGCTTCAAATGTCACTCTCTGGAGATCTCTGCCTTCATCAACAAATTGGACTATCTCGGTATAAACATTCTCATCACCACCTCGATGCTTAGCTTGATCTATTTTGCATTGATCGATTATCCCCATCTTATCTCGGTTTTCTGGTCCATTACTCTTGTCTTGGGGGCCATCTGTTCCATTTCCAGTCTTCACAGCAGCTTTAGCTCTGTCAAATGGAGACCCTATAGGGCCACCATGTTTGTCTTGTTTGGACTTTCTGGTCTCTTTCCTGTTGTCAGCTCTTTCGTCAAGATTGGCTATGCTGAGACCTGGAATCGTGCCCAGTTGAACTACATCTTCCTTGAGGCTTTTCTCTACATCTTTGGTGCTTTTCTCTACGCTGCCCGAATTCCAGAACGTTTCTGGCCTGGCAAATTTGATCTCTATGGCCACTCCCACCAGTTGTTTCACTTTCTTGTGGTTCTTGCTGCCTGTGCTCATGGGAAGGGCTTGATCGAGTCCTACAAATACGCCCACCAGTACGTTCTCCTAGCCCACTGAATACCCACTCATAGCTCACACTCAGCTCTTCGTATATATACTCTGTAGCGGCTTTTTGCTCGTCCCGTCGTTGCTTTTCTCTCCCTTCCGAGCCGAACATTTTTCAGGACAGAACCCAAATCCAAAGAAGCAACTTCTTCACAGCTCACTTTTTCTTCTCTTTTTCTCTTCTTCTCTTCTTCTCTTCTTGTTCTGTTGTGCTTCCCATGCCATGCTCCCATCTCTTTAATCTCTTCCTTCTCATCAACGCTGTTGATTTCTTCTGTTCTTCTCTCGCCTTCCAATTGTTGATCCCACATACCCAATACTCGCATCCTAACTTCCCTTAATCGCTATTTTCAACTCTAATATCGTCCTTTCTTTTCGCCCCATTTCAGTTCTCTTCTTTTGTTATTACTCTTTCTGCCTACCACTACACTCTCTTTTCTCCCTATATATCTCCCAATGACAACCACTAAAATCGATCCATCTAATCCCCCTTTTCCTGCTTCCCCTGGAAGAGTCCAGACCTTGTCTGAAGACCAGGAAATTCTATTGAAAAAACTCTGGATTGAATTGCTCAACATTTGGGAAATTCCAATTAACGACAATAATGCCAATCTTAAAAATACCAATACTAATAACAACATCAATTTAATCTCTTCCTCAAAATCTATCTACCAAAAAAATCTACAAAAAAATATTATCAATAATCAATCTCAAAATATCTTCACAAATAACATTCCACAAAATTCAATGGCCAATAACCCTCCTCCTACCACTTCCACTACTCCTACTACTCCTACTACTCCTACTACTCCTAACAATATTACGATTACCACTAATGACAATAATGACAATAATGACAATAATGACAATAACGACAATACTAATAACAATAACCAAAAAATATTGCCCATCATAAACTCTCCTCCCTCAACAAGATCAAATACTCTCATCCTACCAAACGTCCCTTCCTCTCCTTCAGCTCCCATCACAATCCCTCCTCACTCTGCTTCAACTGCTTCTGTGGTCTCAACAATCAACGGCTCTAGTATTTCAAATAAAACAAATAATAGCCCTCACTCATTATACTCTGTAAATCAAAACTCAAATAACATCACTCCAAGGAAAAAAAAATTCAATCTCTTGAAAAAAAACCTTAAAAGAGCTAAATCAATCAAACTAATTTCACTTAAAAATAAAAAAAATAACCAAAATAACCAAAATAACGCAAGTCATCTAGATCCAAATTTAACCGAGAAATCAGATAAAAATCTTAAAAGCGTTAAAAGTGATAAAAGCTCCAAAAGCGTAAACTCAAACAAAAAGAAAAAAAACCCCAGCTTTTTATCAAAATCTTTTTCAAAATTGTCTTTAGTCTCTTCCAATGAAAATCGTCACCATCTTCTTCATAAAAGCACAACTAACAATAGCAGAAATTATAATAATAACAATAATAATAATAATAATAATAATAATAATAATAATAATAACGAAAAATCATCCTGCCCAAACTCAATTCAAAACTCCTCTCCTCAAAAAGTCTCAAATTTAAGAATATCCTATATAAATCATCAAAAAACGGTTACTCCACCATTACCAAACCACTCTCTTGTCCCCTCTAAAAAAGATCCAACTAAAAAAGATCTTAATAAAAATGAAAATGAAAATGAAATTCGAAATGGAAAAGAATCACTGCAAAACAATATTATAGAAACACCCGATCAATTGCCAGAAAATAAACAGTTAATTAGAAATCAAATTGTTAAAACAAAAACTTTTTCTTCCTTCTCAACGATAAATTCGGATGATGACTCTGACTTGGATGACTATCAAGATGCCTTATCAAAATTACCAACGAATCCAATGATCGAAGCAAAATACTCAAGACAATTAACTCAACAATCTTTACAAGATTTTTCCTCAAATGCCTTATTTAAAGATTTTTGGTCCTTTTTAAGAGTAGATTTGCCTGATAATCTAGTACTAAGATTCTTAAGAGCAAGAAAATGGGATGTCGAAAGATGTATTGCAATGTTATCTGACACAATTCACTGGAGAATAAAAGAAGCAGAGGTTGAACAGATTATGTTTGAAGGTGAATTAGGCCCATACAAAGCCGGTGAAAAGGGTTTTATGAAAAATTATGAATTATCAAAGGCGTATTTTAGAGGTCATGATAAAGCCGGCAGAATCATTGTCGTTGTTAGACCAAAACTACACCATAGCTCTGATCAGAACGAGAAAGAAATGGAAAAGTATACAATTCATGTCATTGAAACCGCAAGATTACTATTACAAGAGCCAACTGATTCCGCTAGTATTATTTTTGATTTAACCGATTTTTCAATGAGTAATATGGATTATGCACCAGTGAAATTCATGATTAAAGTCTTTGAAGCTCATTATCCTGAATGTTTAGGAGTATTATTAATCCATAAGGCACCATGGATTTTTGGAGGAATTTGGAGTATCGTTAAAAGGTGGCTTGATCCAGTTGTAGCAAGCAAGATTAATTTTACAAGAACTACTAATGATTTAAGAAAGTTTATTGATGAGAATAATATACCAAAATATTTAGGAGGTAAAGATGATTATATATTGAAGTATGAAAAACCCAAGGATAATGAGAATGATTTATTAAAAGATGAGACAATGAGAAAATTAATTCAAGCTGAGAGAAAGGAAATTATCGAGAGATTTGTCGAAGCTACTGTTAATTGGATCAAAGCACAGGACAAGGGAGAAAGTTTCAAATATCTTCAAGAAAAGATTCAAATTGGGTATGAATTAGCTAACAATTATGTTAGATTGGATCCGTATATTCGGGGAAAATTGATTTATGATAGAATTGGATATTTGAAATTAAATGAATATGAGATACCTGAATCTATATAATGAATTAAAGGGGGGGAAGATAAAGAAAAACAATGTATTTAAACTGAATTGCAATTACTTTTTTGTGATAATATTATTTTATAATCTTCAATTCTTATTATTTTTTTTTCTTTTTAATGTCATTTTATTATTTTATTACTAATTGTTCATTTTATGTTTATTTTATGTTTTTATTTGTATATTTTATTGATTTTTTTAGCTAATTTTTAAATGAATAGACTATTGTATCAAAATTTAATTAAAATGATTGAATTGTAGATTGATCATGTATTTAAGATATAAAAGATATGAAGAAGATATAAAGTATTTGGAGGAATTAGAGTACTTAAAGTGATTAGGGTATTAAGAAAAATTGGGCAAAAGAAAATGGTGTAAGAAGGTTAAAATTGAAAATGAGGAAAGTACAGGAGTTGAGATAAAACAGAATAAATTGGAGTAAATTGGAGTAAATTGGAGTAAATTGGAGTAAATTGAGTTGATTGAAAATAAGATAAAGTAGAGTAATTTTGTATTAAGAAATTAATAATTTATTAAATAGTGGAGGTGATATGATTATAATTAGTACTGGATTTTATTATCGCCAGTTGATGGAGGGCCTTGTTGAATTGGATTTGAAGTTGAAGGGTTTGAAGAAGAAGCAACAGTAGCATCGTTATAAGAAGGGGGCAATTTGTTATTATTAATATTATTAATGTTGTTGTTATTATTATTTGGAATAGGGTTGTAGTTTTGTTGTTGAGAGTTTGGAGGAGGAGGATACAAAGGTCTGTTTTGATTATTGATGTTACTATAGTTGTTTGGCTGGTTATTATTTGAATTGTAATGGAATTGATTTTGAAATTGATTTTGCAATTGTGATGAGTTGCTATTGTTGCTATTGGCAAATTGAGGTAATATTGGGTTGTTATTTTGGGTATTTGAATTTGGAATTTGTTGATACCCGCTAGTTGAATTTCTTAGAAAGGTGTTGAAATTAAAGGAAGATAAATTGTTCAAGAACTGGTTTGGGAAATAACCAGGGATTTGGTTGTTAACGTCGCCATTCTCGCCGGCATTGTTAGAGGCAGAGTTGCTATTGTTATTTGAATGAGAAATAAGATTCTCGTTTTCGACAAAGGGAAGATCAGAGGTAATATAGATGAACCAGATGGAATGGAGGACAGCGAATATGTAGAAAACAAAGCATAGCAAGATGTTGAAGAAGAAGTGCTTGTTGTTAAGCTGGTGCTGGCATCTGATGTAGATGGAGACAGGGGGGAGGAAGCAGGAAAGAAGATAGAGAGCCAAGTCTTTCTTTTGATAGCGAGGAGCCATGGAGGAATTGAGCAAAAGATACACAAGCACTGGGAAGAGATACTGGTAGAACATGCTGGAGAGAAACAAGAAGAAGGGCATTTTACTTGCATTTATTATATCTGCTTCCCAAAGCGGAAGCAAAGGCTTTGAACCACCAGCAGGGCCAAACAGGGCGGAGCGCGGTCACGTTTGCGCCGAACGCGGCACATGTGCATTTGCATTTCGGTTAGTACTCGGTGACGTTATTTGCGGTGTCGGAGACCTTCGAACGCACAATGCGGACAAGGAGCAATGCAATGTCGTCGCCCTCGACAAACACGCCGGCGTCGGAGTTCACGGCCAACAACTTGTCCCGGTAGTACCGGAACTCGTTCTGCTTCTGATTCTGCTGATTCTGCTGATTCTGCTGATTCTGATTCGGAATGGTCGCGCAGACCTCGCCCTTCAAGGTGACACTGAACTGGCTCAACTCGCTGTGGTTCAAGTCGCGCAACATCTGCATGAGCTTGTTGCTGGAGGTGCTGCCCAAGTCGCTGCTGCTGCCCACCAAGTTCTTGATGGTGATCCAATCGTGTACTAGCACAGACACCTTGGGGTTCCTGAGGATGTTCTGGTATTTGGTGGTGTGTTTCTGTGTTGCCAATAGAATGTAATTGTTAGGGTCCTCACCACCGTCGCCTCTCTCCCTGTACAAGTCCTTCGAGGTCAATAGCACATAGTTCATCAACGACACATTGGGCTCGTTTGTCTCTGGGTTGCAAGTCGCCAAATGAACAAACTTTGCTGTTCTCAATATCTCTCCTATGAAATCCGGCAATATGTAGTTGTTCATCTCCATCTCCAACTGTCATTTCTGCTGTATATGCTGGAGCTGCTTCGGCGCTTAATTACTGTTGCTTTCTCGAGCCGTCACCCGTCCAATGTCAAAATAAGAGGAAAAAACAAGACTTAAAAACAAGAGTTGAAAAAATAAGAAATAAGAAATCAGAGACAAGAATTAACAAACTGAAAATTATTTCTCTCAAAAATATTTTCTATTTCTTGTTCTATTCAAGCATCTTTTCAACTTTTTAGCCACTTCAACTCTCTTCATCTCATCTCGCTGTTTCTCTTTTATCATGTTATCTTCTCTCACACTAACTCTTCCAAATGTATAACACAACTCGACAACGCTCAAACTCAAACTCTTCTCGAAAGTCTTCTGTCGCCTCAATCGACAATTCCAACAACACCAACCCTCAAAACATCTCCAACAACATTAATCTCAACTCTAACAACAACAATGTGCTCTTCATCGATGAAAACAACACTGAAATCTTTTCCGGTGCTGCATCAGAATTTATTCCGACTTCCATTTCTTCTTTTCATTACTTGAACAATACCATTGATCTCGATAATACTGCTGCTGCCAATAATAATGATACTGATGTCAATCCTAATGATTATAATAATTATGACAATATCGATAATGATAATGATAATGATAATGATAATGATCAACCAACAAGAAATTTATTCCCAATTAACCTAAATACCCACAATAATCGCTCAAGAAGAAACTCCATTGATTCAAATTTCCAAAATTTCAAATTCTTCTCTTTAAATGATATCGAAAATGCAAAGGGCTCAATATCTTCATCTTCCTCAATTATCGAACTAAACTCTCCAATCAACAGCAATAACCATTACAGCTTCAATCTACCAACTAACATCATCTACACTAACAACAATCACTTACACTACGGCTCGACTGATGAATCCTCCCTCATTTTAAACAACAACAACACATCCACCGTTGATTCCAATAACCACCCAAACACAAATCTAAACATCAACTTAAATAATGACTCTCACAGTAACTCCAACACCAACTCAGACCATTCTCATCTTGCGTTATTAAACAATAACGATAAAAGAGAAAGAATTCCTTCCGACTTATCTCAATCAGATATCATCTTATTCAATAATAACAACTCAATCAAAAAGAAAAGAAGAAGAAACTCATTGCAATCAACAACTTCTGATTTATCATACTCTTCTGATTTCTCTTCTTCAAACCATAACTTACTACCAATCAATAACTTCAATACCTCTACCTCCAAAAATGATACAATAAAATTAAACAATTCTATCAACAATGATCTCTCAACTACATCCAACCAAAAAAACCAAAACAATGCGCAAACTGATAACAATAACATCAACACAAACTCAAAAATCCCGAATATCGACCTGCAAGCCGATCTATACGATCAACTATTTCCAAATAACCCTTCAACTTTACACTTTCAGAAGTTTTACATCACTGAAGAAGACTTACTAATCGGTATCGCTGCTTATAAAACAAATTCCTTTAGATACCAAATTTACAAATTTTTATCAATACTATCTCTAGGTTTATTCTACCTTTTCACAAGATGGTTCACTAACTTTAAAATCAACTTTATAGGTGAAAAGACTTCTCTAGCTAAAGCCGAATGGGTAGTGGTAGAATCTCAATTTGGCGACCTAAATATCATTAAAGTTAACAGAACCTGGTATAATCGAAACTTCTCCACTATTTTTAATTTACACCAAAATTCAAATCTCGATTTAAACATTCCAATTCTAATTTCCTTAGATTACAGATACTTTAAACTCATCTTCAATCCAATCGATGATTTATTCACAACAAATACAAACTGGTTCGACTCAAAAAATTGGTCCTCAATTAAAAATATTAAAAATGGTATTTACGACTACAATTATGATGATCGTCGTTTGGTATTTGGATCAAATTCTTTATCATTAATTGAAAAATCTTCTTTAAAAATCCTACTCGAAGAAACTTTGCATCCCTTTTATGTTTTTCAAGTGTTTTCAATCATTTTATGGCTATTAGATGACTATTACTATTATGCCTTTTGTATCTTCATTATCTCAATTATTTCAATTCTTGATTCCTTATACGAAACTAAAACTACAATGAAAAAATTAAAGGAAATATCTGATAATAACAACGATGTCATTGTTAGAGTTAAAAGAAACGAATTTTGGAAGGAAACTAGTGTTGATGAACTAGTTCCTGGCGATATTTATGAACTAAATTATTCAAATTCAAACGACCTAAGTATAGTTCCTTGTGACTCAATTCTACTAACTGGTGATTGCATTATTAATGAATCAATGCTAACTGGTGAATCTGTACCAATCCCAAAAATCCCAATAACTGATGATGTTCTATTAAATCATGTCTCAAACTTAAAATCTTCTTTTATAACAAAAAACCAAATTGACATTAAATTAGCAAAATCTTATCTATTCAGTGGAACTAAAATTATCAGAGTTAGAAGATCAAAATTCAAAAATGAACCAGCTCTAGCTTTGGTCACTAAAATTGGTTTTTCAACTACAAAGGGCTCTTTATTAAGATCAATGTTATTTCCAAAACCAGTGGATTTCAAATTCTATAAAGATTCCTTTAAATACATTGGATTTATGTGCGTAATTGCCTTGATTGGTTTTGCTACTTCAATTGCGAATTTCATTAAAATGGATATCGATACAAAAACTATTTGGCTAAGAGCTTTGGATATTATAACGATAGTGGTTCCCCCTGCTTTGCCTGCAACTTTGACAATCGGTACAAGTTTTGCTATCAATAGATTGAAAAACAAAAACATTTTTTGTATTAGTCCTTCTAAAGTTAATGTTGCTGGTAAAATCGATGTTTTTTGTTTTGATAAAACTGGAACTCTAACCGAAGATGGTTTGGATATTCTTGGAATTCATTCAACCTCTATAAAAAGAAAAAATAGCAACAAAAGTTCAATTTCTTTCGGTCCACTAATAAAAGATATAAATGATCTATTTCAAAACGAGAATTTAAATTATGCTAGAAAATCGCTTAATGATTATAATTCAATGAATTTTTTACTTTCCCTTTGTTGTTGCCATTCCTTAAGAAAAGTCGACAATGAACTTATTGGTGATCCATTAGATTATAAAATGTTTGAATTCACCAAATGGAATTATATCGAGGACTATTTAGTTGAACAACAAAACGAAGAACCCATTATATATTCTGCAATTGTTAAACCAACAATTGAAACATGTTTAGATATTAATGATCAAAATAATTATTTTGGAATCGTTAAATCTTATGAGTTTATTCCCTCTCTTAGAAGAATGTCAGTAATTTGTAAACCTATTTATGGGGATGATACTGAAGAAAACAACGCCTATGTTTTCACGAAGGGTGCGCCTGAAGTTATCTTGGGAATTTGCAATAGAGAATCATTACCTGAAGATTACAATTTACTATTACATAAATACACACATAATGGTTATAGAGTCATTGCTTGTGCTTATAAAAGAATTGCAGATCTTCCAACAAAACTTTTGGATAGAAAAGATAGAAGGGAAGTGGAATCAAATTTGAACTTTTTAGGATTTATTATTTTTGAAAACAAATTAAAAAGTCAAACTACACCCACCTTACATGAATTAAACCAAGTTGCTAATATTAGAACCATTATGTGTACTGGTGATAATATTCTTACTGCTATTAGTGTTGCAAAAGAATGCGAATTAGTTAGTAATAGTGATGATTTTAAAATCTATATCCCGAGAACTGTTTTTAATGAAAATTATAATAGTTCTTCTATTTTATGGGAAAACGTCGATGAACCTAAAGATATTTTAGATTCTGTTACACTCGCACCAATTCATCTGTGTTATAGCGACTATTGTTTAGCGGTTACTGGTGATGTTTTCAGATTTGTTTTAAATCTTAATTGTGCAGCTAAGGAAATTGAGGAAAACGAGAATGATCCAAATAATCAATCTAACGAATTCGAGGAAAAGTTCTCACAAGATTACATTCGAAAAATATTAATGAAAGCTAATATCTTTGCAAGAATGTCACCAGATGAAAAACATGAATTGGTTGAACAATTACAAAAACTTGATTATACAGTTGGGTTTTGTGGGGATGGTGCAAATGATTGTGGTGCGTTAAAAGCAGCTGATGTTGGGATATCCTTGTCTGAAGCAGAGGCATCAGTCGCAGCACCTTTTACATCTACAGTGTTTGAGATATCATGCGTGCTCGATTTGATGAAAGAGGGAAGAGCAGCTTTAGTTACAAGCTTTAGTTGTTTCAAGTATATGAGTCTATATTCAGCCATTCAGTTTGTGACAATTTCAATACTCTATAAAAAGGGATCTAACTTGGGAGATTTTCAATTTTTATGGATTGATTTGTTTTTAATATTGCCAATAGCGATATTTATGTCGTGGTCAAAACCATATGAAAAATTGGTTAAAAAGAGGCCAACAGCAAATTTGGTTTCGCCAAAGATTTTAATACCATTAGTTGGCAATATTGTTATAGTGATAATTTTTCAGTTTATTATATGGAAACTAGTGCAAAAAGAAGAATGGTATATTAAGCCTATTCCTGGGGGAGATGATGCAGTTGATTCATCAGATAATACAGTTTTGTTTTTATTTTCTAATTTTGAGTATATCTTAGCAGCGATCATTTTAACTCAGGGCCCTCCATATAGAGAAAGTTCATTAAATAACATGCCATTTGTTTTAAATGTTTCAATTGCAATCTTATTTTCAATTGGATTGGTTTACCTCAACGCTGATTCTAAATTGGGAGGATTGATGCAGTTAACGTATACATCAAATTTTTTTAAAATTTTTATAATTACTTTTTCTGGGATGAATTTATTGATATTTTGGATTTGTGATAAATTTTTGTTTTTAAAGTTGAGCAAAGTATATAATAAGATTCGGTTTGGGAATAATAAGAAGAGCAAGAAATTATTTAAGAATTTAAAAATACAATATAACAAAGAAAAACTGGAGGTTTAAATTTAAGATAGAGAAACATAAAGCTAGTTCATTTTTTAAGTTTTAATTTTTTTTAATTTTTAATATTTCTTAAAATCATTTGAAAAATCTTTTTTTTTCATTTTTTTTGTTTTATCTTAGAATTTTATTTTATTTTATTTATTTATATATGTTAAAGTTATTTCAATCAATATTCGCTATTTATTTATTTATTTATTTACATAATGATTGGTTCATATTACTTGATAGGGATCTTGATCGGTCTTTGCGATGGCAATATCGACTATTTTGAAAGATGAGGATAATTCATCGAATAGATTTTCTTTCATAATACTTAAATAGCCTCTTTCAGTATTTGAATGATTACAAGCAATGACATTTGAGCCTATTTCATTAAGATATAGGGCATCGTGATGGGATAGCTCACCTGTATAGTACAAGTCTATTTTTTGATCATATAACTGTTTAAAAACTGAAGAACCAGATCCTGCACAAACCGCTATGGTTGATATATCGATTGATTTAAGATCTGTAATATTATTAGGTAATCTATTTTTATTGGCTAAAGCAATTTGAAGATGATTTAAATTTAAATTTTTTTTAATGTTTGAAACGATTTGGCTCAAGTTAATTGGAGTATTTAAAGAGACTAATCTACCAAAGCCTTCAATGTTATTTGAGGGTTGATTTTTAAGTGATTGGATTGAATTTGACGAATTGATTAAATTTTTTTGAAAATTTAATGAACCGTTGACTAACCAATCATTTATGCCATTTTTAATTGAATCGACCGAAGTATGAGGAGAATAAACTGAGATATTATTTTGGATTAATTTTAGGATTGAATTGTGTTGTGGATTTGAATTTGGTTGAATTTTTTTAATTCCAGAAAAGATAAAAGGATGATAAGCTAGGATTAAATTTGATTTGTTTTGAATTGCTTCATTGACAACAGATTGGGTGAGATCAATAGTTAATAAAATTGATATTTTATTGTTTTCGTTATCGTTATCAACATTATTATTATTATTATTATTATATTGAGAAGGTGATGGAATAGAGGAATCTAGCAATAAGCCAGTGTTGTCCCAGGCGTTGTCAGCGTATTCTAAAGGATACAATTTCTGAATAGCAGAAACAGCATTTTTCAAAGTTATAGTGGAGATGGGTTTCATGGTGAGACAGGTATTAAAAAGGAGAAGCAGCAGAAGAAGCAGAAGCGGCAGAGATAAGAACCAAAGCAAATAATAAAAAATCACCCAGGCCGGAATTCCAGCCAAACCGTCGTTTATCGGAAGTATATCGAGCAGTCACCGTCACCGGTTTGTGAAGCGCATAGACACGGGGTTTCACGTGAAATTTGCTTACGAATACGCATGCTGTGATTGGTCAGCGGCGACGCAAGCAGGAGTGAGCAGATATAAGGGAATAAAAGCTTAACAAGAGGAAAAGCAGTAAAGGATTATCTTTATTGTTGGAGATAGCATGAGCAGTGTGAATTTAAATCGAACCCTATATCGTAGTTAATTGAACGAATAATTAAAAAAAGTAATAAAAAGTTATAAAAAGTTGAAAAAATTAGAAACTATTTTGTAGTATTACGGTTTTAACGACATATCCTGATTTTGTTTTTATCCAATATTTGAAATTGTTCCCTATCGTATAAATATTGATTACTTTCTTCAAGTTTTCCAAGTAATTTCTTTCAAGTGAACTTTACAATTATATTATAATAGCACACATACCCTCTAACAATCAAATAAAAATGGAAGCAAAAGCAGATATTTCATCTCATTCTCATTCTCATTCTCATTCTAGCCATACATATAAACATAATCACACGCATACACATCCCTATAGTCATAATCATAATCATAGCCATAATCATAGCCATAATAATGGTCATAGTCATACAGTCGATCGAGCTAACCAAAGTAGTCCTGGTTCTCCTAGTTCTCCCAATGGCTCAAATAGATCATTAAGCTCACACACTAAAGATGCTACCGACAGCAATATTGGGAATAAAAAAGAACATTTGACTAGCAGTTCTTTAGAAAAAATTATAAAGGAAAGATTGAATGCCTCTATAGTACATGTTCAAGATATGTCGGGAGGCTGTGGACAAGCATTTGCAGTTATAATTGTTTCTGAAATATTCAATAAAAAAAACAGAATAATGAGACATCGATTGGTTAACAGTGCCTTGAAAGAAGAAATAAGTGCTATCCACGCTTTTACTCAAAAGAACTTCACACCTGAAGAGTGGGAAATAGCTAAAAAGAAATGACCGCCATCTCTGGGTTTCTTTCGTGATGTTTTTGTTTTTTTGCAGCTGCTTTTGTTTGTCATTCTTCTCAATGATTTCGTGATGGTTTCTCCATCTCTTTCCACAATTCTTTCAACTAATCTTTATAAGTTATATATTTCAATGAACAGGTCCGGGTTTAAATAATTCTTGCCACAAAAACGCTAGTGTGGTGTGTCGCATAAATATACACATAAGTGCGTATATATACTTAGCACATGTTTAATAATATATATGCGACATTATACGTCAAGGCACATTGATCGTGCTATTGTGGTGTGCTTCTAACTGGGAGGGAATTTGTGTGCGTGTCTCAAAAAGAGCTTGTGTTGTCACGTGTAAAACAGGGGCAGCACGTGCACTGCTCGTGATCCGCTGTCAATGTTTGTGAGTGTTTTGTTTCTGTTTGACGTGCGGGACGAAAAGAGATAGAAAAGATAGAAAGAGAAGGAGAAAAAGGTATCCTCAGAGATAATCTTCGCTTCGCTGCTCAGGCTGCTTTTGGACAGAGATATAAAGGTGATAAAGGGCATCACAGCATCACACTATTAGAGTCTATTGCAAAATCAGGAGAGCAGAACAGAGCATCACAACCTTTTCCGAAATCTTGAATCAAAAATCATTCAATTTTCAAGTTTTACCAACTTTCGCAACTTTCAATAATATTTATTATTTGTTCAGGACTCGTTTATTATTTGTGGATACTTCCTAATTTTTCTTATTGCTATTAAAATTCTTGATCCCTTGAATCTTTACAATTGTTATTAACATTTTAGTCTTACCTTATTCAACCAGCACTCATTTTGTTGTACTTCTTGAGATATATTCTAATTTATCCATCTAGCTAGAATACCCAAATTATTTGACAAATAGAATAACATCAGATTAAAACTAGATCAACTACTTTTTATACCATATTTATTCCTTTTTTTTCTTTATATTTCCACCTTTTTTGTTTTTTCTTTTGCTTTCTTTTATCAGTTTCCTCTGGCTATTTATTTACTGATCTGATTTACCATAATAAACCAATTCACTATTTACAATTCACAATTTACCAATATTATTCTATATTATAATTGAAGTACATTCAATTAAATTCAACTCAATTTAATTAATGATTTTCAATAGTTAAATCTCACCAATTTTAGATTAATTACTTCCAAATATCAATCTGTATTCATTCTCCTGTCTGACATTAAATACCCAGCATTTAAAATCTAAAATCTAAAATATCTCTCTTTATTCCTAGTATCCACTTTTGACTTATTTATAAATACATTCATTCATTTATTTATTAACTGTCTTTTCCCACTCATAATGACAATACCCAATGATATTAACAACTTGATAACCCCTCCAACAAAAGAATCCTCAATCTCTGTCTGTGTAAGACTTCGTCCTTTTACTGAATCAGAATCCTCAAAATTAATAATTCAAAAAGACGACCAATTGTTTCTAGGTGATGGCGCTTTATCTTCCAATCCATCAAGAAGACAAAATTCAAGTAATTCCAATTTTGATAACAACAACAACAACAACAACAATAACAATAACAATAACATCGGTTATAATAGATACACTCCAAATGGTATAAGAAAAATTGTCGATATAGTCGACGAAAGAATGCTAATTTTTGATCCTTCAAATCAATCCAACCCTCTACAAAGAATGCAAAAGAACGCTTTTCCTTCTTCAAAATCAAGAATAAGAGAACATCGCTTTGTATTTGATCGCCTATTCGACCAAAGTTCAAACCAATTTGACGTCTTCAATTCAACTACAAAACCTCTATTGGACTCGGTTCTTGATGGGTTTAACGCCACTGTCTTTGCCTATGGTGCAACTGGTTGTGGGAAAACTCATACAATCTCTGGTAACCAAAATGATCCAGGCATTATCTTCCTTACGATGAAAGAATTGTTCAAAAGAATTGAACTCTTAAATGATACCAAAACCTTTGAAATCTCTCTCTCTTATTTGGAGATTTATAACGAATCAATCAAAGACTTGTTAGATCCTCTAAAAAACTCAAAATTACTAAATATTCGTGAAGATTCAAATAAAAAAGTCTTTGTGACTAACCTATCCATTCTTAAACCTAAAGATGTTAACCAAGTAATGGAAATGATCATCTTAGGTAACCAAAATAGAACAATGTCTCCAACTGAAGCAAACTTGACTTCTTCCAGATCTCATGCTGTTTTACAAATTAACATAGATCAAAAAAACAAAACTGCTCAGTTATCTGAAGAACATTGTTTTGCCACTTTATCAATAATAGATCTTGCAGGTAGTGAAAGAGCATCCGCTACTAAAAACAGAGGTGAAAGATTACATGAAGGTGCTAACATTAATAAATCCCTACTAGCTTTAGGTAATTGTATTAATGCTCTTTGCGATCCAAGAAAAAGAAACCATATCCCTTATAGAGACTCGAAATTAACCCGTTTATTGAAGTTTTCTCTTGGTGGTAATTGTAAAACTGTCATGATAGTGTGCATATCTCCATCATCTCAACATTATGACGAAACTTTAAACACCTTAAAATATGCTGATAGAGCCAAACAAATTAAGACAAAAATTACCAGAAATACTCAAAATTTAGATCGCCATATTAGTTCATATTTGAAAATGATCACTGAACAAAAACAAGAAATTGACGATTTACGAAAAAGAGAATTAAAAGTTGTCCAGCAACATTTAAACAATTATAAATCCAAAAAGGAAAATTGCCTTATTCAATTAATTAAATCAATTGATAACATCAAATCAATTTTAATTAACTACAATCATGAAAAATTAATCAAATCAAAATTGCTAGCTAAAAGAAAATTTTATTTAATTCAAAGAAACCAAATTCAAATGCTATTAGAATCTTTCAAGAAAATTTACAATTTTAGTAATAATCCAAAATTATCTCCAGATTTATTAGATTTGAAAAGTTCTTGTGAAGCTTTAATTAATTCAATATCTTTAAAAATTGATGAGTTGGAATCCAGATACCTTAATGAAGGTCTTTATCAAGTTCACAAAGTATTTAAGTCTAATACCAAGTTAATTTTAACAAAATTAAAAGAGCTTGATGAATGGTCTGATTACGAAACAAGTATCTTTAATGAGCAAATTAATTTATTAAAGAATAGTATGGAAAGTGAAATTCTTTATAATTCCTCCATTTTATTTGATAAAAGTGTAATGAAAAATGGGATTGAACTTTTAAAGCCTTTTGATTTTTTAACAGATTACTATTTTTTAACAATCAAAAAATTAACTGAAATTAACGCAATTGGTGACATGGATACAAATAGAGATGAAATGTTATCTTTAATTAATGAACTGCTTAATAGTTGCTATTCGGCTATTACCAAATTAAATGCTTATTCATTTGATGATATCTTGGAATTTAATTCGGTTCCAATTTCTTCACCAATTTCCTCGCCAAATTTAACCAAAAAGACATCAATGAGCAAGATTAGAAACAGTCCCCCATTAAAGTCGATTATTAATTTTAATTCACAGAACTCAAATATGGGGAATAATATTAATAATATTAATGGTATTAATAAAATTAATAGTATTAATAACTTTAATAATGTTAATCAGGATATAATTAACGGTAAAGCTACATATATTAATAGTAATGGGACTAATTTAATTTCCAATTTAAAGGGGAATTCGGGTATAGCATCGCCTAGTGTCAGCTCTAGCCAATATACATATAGCTCGACACCTAGGTTGAATCAAATTGCTAGATTTCAAGGACAATCATCACCAAGGTCAGTTTCGGTAACAAGTAATAGCAATGGAAGTATAATTACCAATTCCAATCCAAGTGCAAACAAGTATAAACACAAAGGATTTGGTGAAAAACGATTGTTATCACCATTATCTGTTACAATATCATCATCACCCAATAAATTTTTTAGAAAAAATTCATCGAAAAAAGTCAAATCACCAATAAGAAGTGGATATAATAAAGTTAAAAAAGTTCGATGGAATTTACCTAGCCTCCATAATACAAGCAGTGAGATTGATATCAATACAACATTTGAAGGCTCGTCAAATGATGAAGATGAAATAATGAAAGAACCATTTTCAGAACAATTGAATAATAAACTCAAAAAGGAACCAAAAATCAGGTCGACCTTTTTGTCCAAAGATACTATATTGGATAAAAAAGATAATAATAATAATGATAATAATAATAATAATAATAACAATAATAATAGTAATATAGTAGGTAGTATTAGTTTAAGTAGGATTAGACCAAGTATTGATGATAACCTAGATAGTAGTGATACCAAAGATTTCTCTTTGACAGAGATCTCATTGAATTCAAAACCTAGCAATAATGTATCAAATGGGACACTAACTCAAGATAGTTCAAATAAATCAGTTGCATCAAGTAATATTTCTTCACTGACATTGGCGTCCCGAACATCGTTGGATGGAGATACTAGTATGGGATCTATTATTTCGACATCGAGTACCAAATCAGCTCGTGAAAAGTTAAATGAAAAATTTAAGAATTTTGGAAAGAAATTTAAAAGAAATAGATCCAAGATTTCAGATGGAGCTAAGAAATATCTGAGTTCAGACTCTAATTTCAATGCTAGCAGTTCTCCAAATAAGCTATTTGGTGAAGATAGAAATGAAGCTGATAGCTCCAAGGCTAACATGTCGATCAGCAACGAATTTAATGCGAAAATTGATCTCAGTTCACCAGCAAGAATTGCACAAACACAACCCTCAGTGCGCTATTCCGATACCCATATGATTGAAACTGATTAAAGCAGTTTCTGTATTGTTTTTTTGTTTTATATTATTTTTGAGATACATTTTTCTACACCTCATCAGTATTCCTTGTTAATTCTTTTCGATTGTTTCAGTCGACTCTTTAATTTTGCGTTCTCAGTACTTTCTTTTTGGTGATATATTCTCATTCGTTTGTTTCGGTTTGTGATAGTCATTGTGGGGTTTATACGAAATACAATGTCTAGAACTCTCCTTTTTGTAGATGCAGCAGACGCAGCAGAAACTGACCTCGCTGCTGCAAAGCATCTGAATTATACTTATACGCGACAGAGTTGCCTTAACACCTATTGCTCTGCAGACTAGTTTAGTTATATCAGTCAAATGCAAATCTTCGCTATATAGATAAACCTCAGTAATAATAGTCTTGATGTTCGTCGAAATAACTAAATAATGCTAGAAACCTAACAGGTGCGCCAAACGCAGCCAAATAAAAAACAGATTTTCTAGGTAAGCAAATAATTAAATAAACAAAATGTAAAATAAAATGAAATGAAATGAAATGAAATGAAAATTGGTTGAATGACTGACGTGATTAAACAAATATAGAATATGTATTCTTATATTGTGTATGTTGATTAAATTAGCGTCAGCAGCATTTTGATATTTCTATTCTTTACGATTGTTTCCTGTATTGTTTTTCTTTTTCTTGTTCCGCCTCCGTTGTTTTCAACAATTTCCTTTTCAACTGTCCAAAATCTCTTGACACTTTCCAATGGAAGTATGAACGCCTTCGCAAACTATCGTTTGTGGTCTTAGCTGCTTGTTGCAATAGTCTGTCTGTTGTCTGATGAAAGGTGAAAGCGAAGGAATCGCTTTGATCGTTATATTTGGCAAGCAACTGTAAGAACTGGCAGGACTTTAGCGCCGGCGCCGCTGGTGGCTTTCGGTTGAGTCAAAACGTCGCGCTCTGCTCCGTTGCAACTTTCTGAGTGTTCTCACGACTCTCTTTCCTCAGAACCTTCACCTCCTTCACCTCCTTTACCTCTGGATAATACTGCTGTGGCCACCAGTGACCAGCTTCTTTCTATTTGTATCTGGGTTGCTGCCTCTTACTTTCTCTGCTATGAACTACAATTACTACAACCAAATCGACTCAGACGAGAACACCAACATATTTGGCGACAAGCCCATATCGGTCAGCATTTCTGCTGTCGACGATATTATAGATGATTACTTGGAGATAAACCCCTGGTCAAACGACTACGACGACTTGAAGATCATATCGACTGCAGGCAAAAATGGCACTTTCCAGAACATAGACAACAATCACCATAACAATACATACAACGAGGCCTACACCAACATCAACCACCCTTCAAAATACATTCGTGCTGACACTGACGATGACGACCGCCATAATGACACCAGAGACACCAACAAGCCTTTGCAGAAACCACCATTAACAAATACAACCAACACCAATATAACCACCACCATCAGCTCCCTTGATAGCACCACTACAACCAATAGCGTCAATGCCGAAAGTCCAAATTTCATAGATAATAACAGCATTAATAATAACAATAATAATCTCAATTTCATAGATAATAACACTTATACAGATTCAAAAAATACCCCAAATAATGAAGGTTTCCACACCATTTCTCCTGTCAACTCTCGGTCTGGTTTACATCGCATCAAGTCTATTCATAAAAGACCTTCTTCTCCACTATCAAAACGAAAGTCAATGTCTTCTCTCACCTCTCCATCCTCAAATAATCTTACTCACCATAAAAGATCCTCAACCCTCAAATCTCATCCACTTCCTCCACTACCTTTTCTTCCTCTATCCCCATCTCATTCTAATGGTAGTTCCACTCTTAAAAACAACTCTTCCACTTCATCTATCACCTCTAAATTCATCAAACAGCTTCCTTCTTTAAGTCCGGCAAAACAACAAAACAAATTCCAAATCCAAACGTCCCCCAAACTTATCTTGCCATCAGTTCAATTATCTCAAACTTCAAACTCTTCAATTCACTCTCAAGTTTTCTTATCTTCTTTTTATAAAACTAACCCAATCATTTTCTCCGTTTGCTTAGTAGACTTTAACCATTCACGAGGCCCTGAAATCGAATACTGGATTGATCAAAATGGTGTAATCGACATCAATAACCCTGATAATTCCCTTAATAATCAAAACTTGAAAAAAATATCATCAATGTGGCCGGTTTTGCCTTTTCAAGCTTTACCTGATGGTTCTCATGATTTTGAAGAAACCTTTTCCTATTTTACTTTATTGTATGACGAAAAAAATAAAAAAACTTTAAATTCAATATGTGAATCAAATGACTATACTTTCAAATCCGATAATAATAATAATAATAATAATAATAATAATAATAATAATAATAATAATAATAATAATAATAATAACAACAACAACAACAACAACAACAACAACAATATGGATAATAACCTAAACCATAATAAAGTTTTAAGATCCTTTAATGAAAATATTAACACCCTATTCGCAATTGCTTGTATAAGACAAATTGATGCTAATGACTTACTCGTAAAACACCCTGGTGTAACAAGATCAACTGTTCAAAAATCTGTTGTAATAATACTAAGAAAACCAATTTTCAATCAAATCAAGGAAAAATTAAGTATTATAACAAAGGCTCTTTTTCTACAACAGGATTTTACCGATAAAAAAATTCTAGATTCATTGTACGAAAACCTAGTGAGCCTCTACAATAATAGCAATAACAATAATAGCAATAATAATAATAACAACAACATTAACTCTGATAATGATAATACCAATGACAGCTATATAAATCTAACTTCACCACAAAAATTACTTCCACCACCAAATTCTACTTCAACCTCAATCTCAAATATAAACTCAAATTTGAATGAAAGCGACTTTTATTTCGGATTATCTTTAAGAGAATTAATCTTCAACTTTAAAAGAAACTCTCTCGTGATCTTTAAATCTCTACTATTGGAAAAAAAAATCTTATTCTTTGGTAAAAATATCGAAAAACTATGCAATCTACAATTATGCTTTCTTTCTTTAATTCCAGGTTTGTTACTAAATTTAAACGATTGTGGGTCTCCTTTTTTATATTTCAATGAATTTTTCCTTAAAAAATCAAATACCTTGAAAACTTCTGACCGTAAAAGTCTTTTGAAATTTGTTGGTCTTCCTTTACAATTATTTGAATTTGGCGGTATCTTTAATCCCTATGTTCCTTTACAACAATTAATTGATCTAACCAATAAAAATTTGAAATTTTATGTGGTTGGAAGCTCAAATTCTTTGCTACTAGATAACGCTACAAAAAAGAAATATTGCGACATACTAATTAACATTGACACATACTCTGTGGAAATTTTAAATGAAACCTTGAATTCTCCTCTACTTTTATCTTCTCTGGATAAAAAATTTATTGACCTAATCTATGTAAATGTCTCAAAATATTACAATCCAAAATCTTCAAATTCTTCTTCCACTCAGGATTCAAGTAACGTTTTTAATAATAATAGCAACAATAATAAAAAGGCTCTTCTTGAAAGCAACGATGGCATATCGGCTGGCTCAAAATTTTCTGGAAGTGAAGATTACATAAGATCAGCGTTTGAAGACTATTTAATTGGTTTAATATCATCAATCAAATATCATAACTATGTTAAATTAAATAATAAAAGACATTTCAAACATTCTGATTTGCCCAACTCATTGATACTTCCTAATATTGAAAACAATAATATTAATAATTTTAGTTTTGCTTGGATTAAAGAATGGCTAAAAACAAATAATTATGCCATATTAAATAAACTAACCGATGACGAAATATTTCTAATATTCGAACCCTTGCATGTCGTGATGTCAGAAATCTATCAGCAAGAGTTAACTAACGCCAACTTGACTAATTCTTCTATGATATCAAACTTTTTTCAAACAAAATTCACCAAAAATTTTAAAAAATCACTGCATTATAATCAACCGCTAAATGATGTTGATCATCATAAATGACTGGAAATATAATACTTAATTAAACATTAATTTTTTTTTTTTTGAATTCTTAACGTTTAATTTTGAGAATGGACATTACTAAAATGCTTTCTCTGTTGTTTTTCATTTTTTCTTCCGTTTATCTACTTTTTATTGGTTTTTTATTAAATTTTTAATTTTTCTACATATTTTTTTTTGCAATTTTATCAATTTTCTAGCAATGAATTTAGTTTGTGGTTTTGTTATTTTATTAAGGTTATAGACTAATTCAGTATTATATTATATATAATTTATTTTGCTTGTTTCAACTAAAAAACATTTCTCTGTATCATCCAAAGTTGATTCTTAGTTTTTTAATAATATTTTTCAATATCGTTATTTTTTCTTTACTTTAAATTAAATATAAAAGTGAGAACTCTATCTAAATATCAACTTCAAACGATAATATAATAATATATTTAATCATTCTAAATAACGTATGATATTAGTTCTTAAAAGATCACCCAAAATTTAGAATAGAACGTCGATTCAAACGTTATTCACATTATTTACAGTATCTTACACAAGATCCAAGTTGATAGGTACAGTCTGGTAAATGGTAGCAAACATTTTTTTGAGTACAACTTGCATCTCTGTAAAATGTATTTTGAATTTTAAGTCTTAAGCAAATACAAAGCTTCTTTACCCAATCTACAGAAAAACAGATGCAAAAGCAACTACAAGTATTATTGAATAAACTTATTAGTGAAGATTAATACAGAACCTAAAAATCTGACTATTCGATTGATTTGAAAACAACTAATAGCAGTTTTTAAATGAACTTTGTGATTCTTGATATTAAAATTTATCTAATTATATTTCTTGCTGTTTTTTCCATTACTGCAGTTTCTGATTTGAAACAGTTAAGTTGTGTACAGTATTTAATAATTGACAATTTATAACAACATCGGAAGGCTAGTTGCTCTATTAATTTGAAAACAGAAATATTAAAAGACTTTTCAGTAAGCAAATTTTTTTGAGCGTATTGATGTTGCGAGCCAGCCGGATCTGTAGACTGGGTCTCTACCGATCCCTCGGAATTAGTTGCCGGTCTGCTCGCGTGACGCTTCGGGGTCTAGCCCAGTCCCATATATAAGAAGCTGGGGATCTCTTCTACGTTCTTCCTTTCCATATACTTCACCTTAATATATTATCATGGATTCGCTACAACGTTTGGTTTTGATGTTAGTTTTGGGCAGATGTTGATTTTGATGTTGAGACTGATGTATGTGTTGATTATGTGTTTTTTGGGTTGGTTATGAAATTCATTTTTTAAGTTTTTCATTTAATTTAACAAACTTTGATTTTAATCATGAATCAAAGAATCCAATTTAATGTATTTTATATCTTTGAAAATGTTTTGATTCATTTGATCATTTAAAGATAATTTTTTCTTTATTTTGTCAATATCTGTATTATCAGTTGGTTTTTGTTTTTGTGATTGAATAATCTTTTTTTGAATTGAAGCAGGGTTAGAATCATTTGAATCATTACAAACATTATTATTATTATTATTATTATTATTATTATTATTATTATTATTATTATTATTATTATTATTATTATGAATATTATTGTAATAATCAATTTGTTTTTGTCTTTTAATTGAATGAGAAGTTGTGTTCTTACTTCTCATATTGAATTTTCCGGAATATATTACAAGTAAAACAAAAATGATTCCGGTAAAATGCATAAGCATTCTTAACATTGATTTTGATAGCAAATGAAAACAATAGGATATAACCAGCCTAAGAAAAGAACTTATAGAAGATATAAATATGCAAATTTAAAAGCATTGTAAATGTAATTTATTTTCAGTTTTAGTTGAAATAGTCTGAGGTTTTGCAAAAATTCAAAATTAAGGAGTGTAATGAAATTTTTATAGTCTTGATAGATTTAATATTTAAGATGAAGCTTATACCATTTGAGAGCAAAGACAAGTTTAAGAAAAATGTTTTTTTAATATTTGGCTATTTGTATTGTTATTATTAATATTAATATTATTAATATTATTGTTATTTCATTCAACTAGAGTTTTGAAAAATTTGGTTATAAAACTTTCCTGACCACAACAAACATAACTCAGATGGAAAATTATTGGAAAACCGTTGGAAAACCATTGGAAAACCGTTGGAAAATACATTGGAAAACGTTTTGATGAATTGTATAAGTTTTGAATTAATTTTTCTATTTCTAATAAATCTAGTGAAAGGTTCCACCTATATAGACTGATGGTAGTGGAATTGGTACGATTTATACATAAATTGTAGAAAAAAAACAAGAAAAAGGAAACATAATATTGCAATTATAACCAAATTCATAGGATACCGAAAACACTAATGATCTCAATTAAATTGTCCCCAATTAGCATTTATTTTGAAACTTTAACAAAACAAAATAAATTATGGGTTATGGGATCCATTTTTATTTTAGCTTGTTTATAGTTAATTTTGAAATTGTTTAGCTTATACTACTTTGTTTAATTTTGATTTGGAAATATTAATTTTTTCTTTTGAATTTAATCAGGCAAATTTTATTTCAGATTAAAACACTGTTATAGATCTTACTATGAAATCATGCTAAATGGACACAATGAAAAATTAATGAGGTTCAAAACAGAAAAGTGATTGCAAAATGTCACAGCATTGTTTTATGTTGTGTACCAAAACTCAGGTCTTACAAATGGGGCTCTCTGGCTTTGGAGCAAAACAATTAAGTTTCATTAATTATTATGTGAGTGAGTTCTTTCGAAACTTGATTGAAATATCTGGTACTTCTTCTTTGGGCCGTTTAAGAATCTTATGTAAGAATTCAGTAATTCTTTGTAACAACAACCTTGTTTGAATCCGGGAATTTCTATTTTCGGGTGCTACTGCATTTAGAAGTAACATAGAGCTGCCTCTTTGAGATAGATCCAGCCGTTTTGAAAATCCGGTGTGATATCCGCGAAATCCAACGGATAACTGCGGAACAGCAAAAAAAGGAAAGGAAGAGGAAAGGAAGAGGAAAGAGAAGGAGAAGAACCAGAAGGAGAAGAAGTAGAAGCAGAGGTAGAAGCAGCAGAAGTAGCAAAAGCAGACGAAGCAGACGAAGCAGACTTTTCAGTGGCCTATCTTAATCTTGCTAGCACCCAGCCCCAACTGCCTAACGTATCCAGCTTGTTCCAACCTGCTCCAGCAGCTGTTCACAAGTTGTGAGTATTTCTCACAATACTTCCAGAATTTTATTTCTTTCATTTCATTGTCCCAAACCTAATTCCAAACAGATCTCCTGTTATTCCACAACTCAAACAACTTCCATATTCCTAAACTTCTTTTTTTTTTATATATTCAAATAAAATTTTGCCTATTTTATTCACTCTTTTATTTACTACGTTTTTTGGTTTCTGGTGTCTACTGTCCACTGATTATTATCCTTATTCTCAGATATTTATATCGAATTATCATGAGAGGTATGTAATATCATCAGCATTAATACTGCTGCTATCAATAACACCATATCCATTCCACACCCATTACATATCGTCTGTCTCACTCATCCTCTTCCTTTTTCTTTCTCATCGCCTATACTAACAACGCATTCTCTTCTCCTAAGATTACAAACTAGTTGTCCTAGGTGCTGGTGGTGTAGGCAAATCCTCCATCACTGTTCAATTTGTCCAAGGTGTCTACATAGAGTCCTATGATCCAACTATTGAAGATTCCTACAGGAAGCAAATCGAGGTCGATGGCAGACCTTGCGACTTGGAGATTCTTGATACTGCTGGTGTTGCCCAATTTACTGCAATGCGAGAATTGTACATAAAATCTGGCAAAGGCTTCCTCTTGGTTTACTCTGTTACTGACGAAAACTCGTTGAAGGAATTGCTAGCAATCAGAGAACAGGTCCTCAGAATCAAAGACAACAAAAATGTCCCCATGGTCTTAATCGGCAACAAATGCGATCTTATAAACGATAGAACTCTCTCTCCTCAAGATGGTATAAACGTCAGCCAAAAATGGGGCAAAGTACCCTTTTATGAAACGTCAGCAAGGTTGAAGACTAACGTTGAAGAAGCCTTTATAGATGTTGTTCGACAAATCATGAAAAAGGAATCAACCACCTCAAATCTAAACAACTCTTCTTCCCAATTAATCAACAATAACGCAAACACAAACAACCAACAATCCTCAATTCTGCCAAATCTCAATGCTAATAACAAAAATAATCTTAATAAATCGTTATCCGTCAATAACAACTCAAACCCTCAAAACTTATCAAAAGAGAGATCAAATTTCAACTTAAACAACAACTCAAACAGATCTTCCTCTCAAAGCAATAATAACAATAATACAGTTAAAAAGAAACAGTCAAATGCTGTTTTAAATTCCAAAAAGAAAAAGAAAAAGAAGAAATCTTGTATTATTTTATAATTAATTTTTTCTTTCTTTTTTTTTCGCTTCACTTTTCATTCTTTATTCTAGTTTTATTCATTATACTAGTTATATTTATTTAATTGACAATTTTGAAATCAACCAATCAACCTTTTTTTCCACCTCTCTAAATCACCAATTTTCAATTTTTCCCTTTGTATTTTGTTCTTTTTAATTATTTTCTTTTGCTGTTTTGGATCTACAATTTTTCTTTATCTATTTTACTAATAATTTATCACCATTTTAATCACTATTATTCTTATTATTATTATTATTATTATTACTATGATTATTACTATGATTATTACTATGATTATTACTATTATTATCACTATTGTTTTCAATTTAATCTATATTTATATTTTAAATTTATATTTATATTTATCTCTATTTCGACTTATTTTATTTTATTTTAATTTATATTTAATTTTCAAATCTCAGTTGTTTTTAATCTCAAAATTATTTTCTCAACTTTCAACTTTATTTTAATATATAATCTTCACTTTACCTCTTCAAATTTCAATTATAATAAATATTTCATTTTCTACCTCCCTTGCTTTAAATTGAACAAATAATCGTTATACAACTCGTCTCCGATTAGCTCAACTTGATTTAAATTCATCACCTCCAATTTGTTTTCTCCATCCTCTTCATCAAAATTTAACGTCTCAATTATAATCTCATCTTTCAATCTCTTCTTATCCTTAATCACCAAAATCACCTTTTGATAAAATGTCTCAAAATTCTCTGTAGTAAAAAAATCTCGTTCGTTTTCCTCATTACTCAAAAACTTGATTAAATCGTTTAAATATATTATATTATAAACATAATAAATCTGATGGAACCTGAAAAATTCCCTGATTTTAATCAATTGTTTAATTATTATACTCAAACTTTTATACTCAAGTAATTTAATAACATCTTCCAATACTTTATAACTTAGATTAAAATTCCGATTTAAAGGATAAATTAACGATCTCTTAATTAAGGTTATAATCAACTGTTCTACTATTATCAGTTTGAATTCAATTTTTTTTTCACTATTATGATCAATATTAGTCTCTTTAATTTCTTTTATTAGTACTTTTTCTGTTTCACTCGTTTGATGAGTTAGTTCATCGTCCGGTAAATATATCTTTTGATCTAAACAAGAAAATTGGGGTATTAATTTCCCAATTAACCATGGTGTTTCAATATTTGAAGAATCATCACCAAGATTTTCTCTTAAATTATAATTGTATCCATATAAAAGGGAAAAAATCAAATAAAAAATCAGAGATAAATTCTGGTTATTTGGTATTAACTTATTGTGTTTTTTGGGTAAATTTACCAATTTTTCGTGTTCTTCTTTAGATAGTTGAATATTTTCAATGTTATTCGTGTCAATATTCACAAAGGGATTAGTCCAGTGTAATATGCTAGCAAAATTATTGTAATCGTGCACATCAGTTATATCGTTGATTAATTTTTTTTTCTCTAGTAAATAGTAATTGATGTAATATTCTGAATTGAAAGAGTAGTTTTCTTTTATTTTTCTTTCAGTGATTCTTTCGTTTTCAGTTAATTGTTCAGGGTTTGATAGTTCATTAATATCGTTACCATTTGATAAAGAGTTGAGAATGTAGTGATTATAGGAGTTGTTAAAACCGTAGTAATATTTTTTATTCAATGAGGATTTCAAAGTATTAAGGTTGTTTGAGTCGGTATTAAGAAATTGGGGTAGTTGCCAATTGAATTCTTTACCAGTTTTTTTTTCAAAATCGTTAATGTAGTTTTTGATATCGTTTGTTGATTTTAAATCATGGGGAGTAATTTCTTGAATCAAAGGATGATTTTTTTCGTCGTTTGCAATTTTGTGGTGGTGATTGGATTGTGATAGTAATAAATTTGGAAGATGTAGGTTGTTGAAATGTTGATTTTTAAGTTTTTTTTTAATTTTGAATTTCAACTTTTGGTCAGAAGAGTCGTAGTAAAAGTGATTTTGCAAGGAGTCTGGTTGGGAGTCATTGAGGTCTAAATCTGAGTTGTTGATTAATAGTTCATTTGGACTGAAGGTTAGTCTGAGATAATACGGATCCAAGTAGAAAATGAAGATGTTGTCGGTTATTGAGATTTCCAAGTCGCGTGAGTTAAATTTTAGAGAGGGCAATTTGACGTTGATGTAGAGAAAGGTGTCGTCTTGGTTAAGATCAAAAGCTGGAGTTATCATTGTGGATAAATGAGGAATTAGTTGATAGATTTTGATAAAATTTAAAGCATTATCTAAAAAGAAAAAAAAAAAGAGTAGAGGCCGGGTAAATTGAAATTTCGAATCAAGGTTGTGATTAAAGTTTTGTATTTGATGGAAAAGGAATTAAAGAAAAACATTCTAGAATTGTAACTATGTAAGGTGTAGATAAACTATAGATAAAGTGTAGGTTTAGAAAGATGTAGATGGATCATTTGGAAGAAAAGAACTTTGCAAAGGCTTGCTTTTCTCTTTGTGTACGCAACCTTTTGTTTGCTTTAGCAGTAGTAATTGCGGCTAGGACAGCAGGGTCGTTTGGAGATAATTGCAAAGCATTATTGAGATCAGTTAAAGCTTGATCTTCATTGTGAGAGTTGATATGGGCTAAAGCTCTACGGTAAAGAGCCTTTGATTTGAAGGATTGAGAGAGGTTTTCGGATTCTAAGCAAAGAGTAGCGTTTTTAATTGCAGCCGGGTTTTTGTTTAGTTTTAGAGCAACCAAGGCTAGGTTTGAGTAGATTGAGGCCTTCAAGTTGTTCAAGTAGTTGATGTTATCGGTTGACAAGTCGTCTGGAAAGTAGTCGTTAAGATACTCAGAAGCCTTTGAGTATTTCTCAAAAGCATTTTGAAAGTCTTTTGCTTTGAAAAGAGCGGTGCCGATTGATTTGATGTTTTCCACAGCATCAAAGACAGATTTGGGGTTGTCAATGTCAATGTTATCGTTGTCGAAGATGGAATCTTCGTAAATATCGCCAAATTGATCTGGGGAGTTGACGTTTTTGTTGTTTTCATTATCGTCATTGTCCTTGTCATTGTAGGGAGGTAGAATCTGGTTTGAGTCAAGAACCTTGCAGGGTTTCAAGGGAGCGTCATTTGAATCAGTTTTTAAGTTTTCCATTTTCTTCAACAATTTTTTGCCGTAGAGTAGTTTGCCAAAAATGACATGTTTGTTGTCGAGATGAGGGGTCTTTACTGTTGTTATGAAAAATTGGGAGCCGTTAGTATTGGGGCCTGAGTTGGCCATTGCCAAATAAAAGGGCTTATCAAAGGATAGCTTGAAATTTTCATCGTCGAACTTTTCGCCGTAGATAGATTCACCACCTGTGCCATTGCCCTGGGTGAAATCACCACCCTGAATCATAAAGTCTTTGATGATTCTGTGGAAGGTGCAGCCTTTAAACCATAGGGGTTTGCCAGCTTTGCCAATGCCAGTTTCTCCAGTGCATAGAGCACGAAAGTTTTCAGCGGTTTTAGGAACAATGTCATCGAACAACTCAAAGGTCAATCGGCCAGAGGGCTTGCTATCGATTGAAATGTTGAAATAGACTCTTGGACGGATATGGGATTCAGTTTCAGCCATGTTGGAAGGCAGTTGGTGGGAGAAGGTGAAGTTGAAGGAAAGGAAGCAAGCAGTGATTATATATTTGCATGTTGGAGCTGGAGAAAAAAATGGAAAGCCAAAGAAAAAAAGACAAAACAAGCAAAAAGCTAGGAAAAAACAAAGAACAACCGTTGGTGTGGAATAGGGCCATGTATGTGGTACACACGTCATCTGGCATAGTCAGATGACAGACCCACTTGGAAGGAATGGGTTTTTTGTTCTTTTCTGTCTGGAATTTCTGAATCGTGTTACGTAAGCGAATCCCTTCTTTTACTGTTTCAAGTGGATGGGCCAGAATCTGGCATTTGTGGAAAGGATGGCTGCAAATCACGGAATGAAATTCCAGGCCACCAGCTAGGATGGAAGAGATAAAAATAGCAAGGGAGACAAGCAAAGGTGCCCTTGTTAAGCCGCAGCACACGCACAAGTGCCTATTTTTGGTAGTGAGATCCAGTTAAGAGGGCTGGGTCTGGTAGAGCAGCGAAACGAGCTGCTACGTCCACGGCCGCCGCGCAGCAACAGACTCCGACGAGGGCCTAGACCCAGACCGGAAGCCGGAAAAGCCCTTGCCCGCGTTTTTCGCGCAGCAGCGGTCGTTGTGTCACGTGTCAAATGCGCGCACGAGCGGGCGCCGCGGAGTTGGGACTTTTCAAAAAGAAAGTAAACAAGTCGCAGCTGTTTTCCTCCCGTTTTCTTCTCCTGGTGATGGTGGTAAATACATAAATACTGTTCAATCTCTTCCACAGTCTCTTGTTCAGTTGCCTTATCTTCCTCCTTTGCCTCCAACCCAACTTCCCACCACTTTTCGGTTTCCTTTTCCCTTGCCTCCCTCCCTCTCTTCTTTCTTTCTTTCATTCTTTGTCCTTTCTTTCGTTTTTCCCTTTTTTTCACCCACTTTTTGTTTTCCCTTTTTCAGCTTCTCTTTGATACCACTTCCCACAGTCACTGTTATACTGTCGCTGCTGGACGATAATTACAACCTCTGCATCCTAATTGCTTGAATTACTAATACGGGTTCTAACTATTTTTCACAATGTCGTACAATAACAACAGTCAGCCTCCTCCTCAAAACCCTCAGGGCAATTATTACTACGACCAAAATCAGCAAGGCCAACAAGGCCAGCCAGGCCAACCACCCCAGCCAAACCAGCAATACGATCAGAACTATCAACAAAATCCCAACCAACAGCAATACTACGATCCCAACTACTCCGACCAGTATGTGAACGATCCCAACAACCCCAATCCCCAAAACTATCCTCCAAATGACCAGTACCAACAGCCTCCAATCGACCCTAATAACCCCAACCAACAACAGCCTTACCCACCAAATCCAAATGACCCTTATCCAAACGAACAGTACGATCCCTACTACGATCAAAACCAGTACTACGACCCCAACAACCCCAACCAAAACATCCCCCAACAACCCTATCCTCCTGGCGCTAATCCTCCTCAACCTGGCATGTACCAGGATCAAAACCAATACTACGACTACGACCAAAGAAACGATCCTCAAACCGGCGAGGCCTTTTCCGACTTCAGCTACGGCGGCGCTCCTCAATCCGGAACTCCAGGCTACGACTACAGTACGACGTATACCCCTTCGCAAATGTCCTACAACGATCCTAGATCTGGTGCTTCTACTCCCTATGGCTCTGGAACTTACATGCAAGGTGAAGAAGGTGGCTACATCCCAGGTCTCCCTAACGACCCTTATCCTGCCTGGTCCGCTGATAACCAAGCTCCCGTCAAATTGGAAGACATTGAAGATGTCTTTATTGACTTGTCAAACAAATTCGGTTTCCAAAGAGACTCTATGAGAAACATGTTCGACCACTTTATGACCCTCTTGGACTCAAGAGCCTCAAGAATGTCTCCCTCCTTCGCTTTACTATCTTTGCACGCCGATTTCATTGGTGGTGAAACTGCAAACTACAAAAAATGGTACTTTGCTGCTCATCTCGATTTAGATGATCAAGTGGGCTTTGCCAACATGAACATTGGTAAACTTTCCAAAAAGGCTAAAAAGGCCTCCAAAAAGGCTAAAAAGGCTGCCTTGAATGCAAACCAAGAAAACGTCGAGGAAACCCTACACGACTTGGAAGGTGATAACTCCCTAGAAGCCGCTAACTACAGATGGAAACACGAAATGAACAAACTAACCCCAATCGAAAAAGTCAGAGACATTGCCCTCTATCTATTGTGTTGGGGTGAAGCAAACCAGGTCAGATTCACTCCCGAATGTCTCTGTTTCATCTACAAATGTGCTCATGACTACTTGAAATCCCCTGCTTGCCAAAACAAAACTGAACCAATTCCTGAAGGCGATTTCCTCAATAGAGTTATCACCCCAATCTACAAGTTCCTTAGAGATCAAATCTACGAGGTTCTTGATGGTAGATATGTCAAAAGAGAAAGAGACCACAACAAAATCATTGGTTATGACGACGTCAACCAACTCTTCTGGTATCCTGAAGGTATTGGTAGAATCATCTTTGAAGATGGCTCAAGACTAGTCGATCTTCCCCAAGAAGAAAGATACCTAAGACTAGGTGATGTTGACTGGAAAAACGTCTTTTTTAAAACTTATAAGGAAATTAGAACCTGGTTGCATTTGGTTACAAATTTCAATCGTATCTGGATCATTCATGGCTCCATCTACTGGATGTACTGTGCCTTTAACTCTCCAACCCTATACACAAAGAACTACGTCCAACTAGTCAACAACCAACCGGTTCCAACCTTCAGATGGGCCAGTTGTGCTCTTGGTGGTACTGTTGCAACTCTAGTCCAACTTTTTGCTACTGTTTGTGAATGGATGTTCGTTCCAAGAAACTGGGGTGGTGCTCAACATTTATCCCGTCGTTTCTTTTTACTTCTTTTAGTTCTCATTGTTAACCTTGGTCCTGTGGTTTTTATTATCTTTTACAATAAATTAGATGTCTATTCTAAACTTGCCCATATTATTTCTATCGTTTCCTTCTTTATCGCTGTTGCCACAATCGTTTGGTTTGCAGTTATGCCTCTTGGCGGTCTATTCACTTCTTACATGAACAAAAAATCAAGAAAATTTGTTGCTTCTCAAACTTTCACTGCTAACTTTTACCAACTATCCGGCATGAACATGTGGATGTCCTACATATTATGGACCTTAGTCTTTTTAGCAAAATACCTTGAATCCTACTTCTTTTTGATTTTGTCTCTCAGAGATCCCATTAGAAACTTGTCAACAATGCACATGAGATGTGCTGGTGAAAAATACTTTGGTAACTCCCTATGTAAATACCAATCTCAAGTTGTTCTCGGTCTTATGTATTTTACTGATTTCATCTTATTTTTTTTGGATACATATATGTGGTACATCATCTTATCTTGTGTTTTCTCCGTCGGTCTATCCTTTTACTTGGGTATCTCTATCTTAACTCCCTGGAGAAACATCTTTATTCGTCTACCAAAGAGAATTTACTCAAAAGTTTTAGCTACTGCCGCTATGGATATCAAATATAAACCCAAAGTTCTCATTTCTCAAGTTTGGAATGCCATTGTTATTTCCATGTACAGAGAACATTTACTAGCCATTGAACATGTTCAAAAATTATTATATCATCAGGTTCCTTCCGAAATTGAAGGCAAAAGAACTTTAAGAGCTCCAACTTTTTTTGTTTCTCAAGATGATAATAACTTTGCCACTGAATTTTATCCAAAGGGTTCCGAAGCCGAAAGAAGAATTACCTTCTTTGCTCAATCTCTAGCCACCCCAATTCCAGAACCATTGCCCGTTGAAAATATGCCCACTTTTACTGTTTTTACCCCTCATTATTCCGAAAAGATCTTGTTATCCTTAAGAGAAATCATCAGAGAAGATGATCAATTTTCAAGAGTCACCTTGTTGGAATATTTAAAACAACTACATCCAGTAGAATGGGAGTGTTTTGTCAAAGATACTAAAATCTTGGCTGAGGAAACTGCCGCTTTTGAAAACAGTAATGATCCTGAAAAGGAAGAAGATAATGCTATGAAATCTCAAATCGATGACTTACCTTTCTACTGTATTGGTTTCAAAAGTGCTTCTCCAGAATATACTGTTAGAACTAGAATCTGGGCCTCTTTAAGATCACAAACTTTATATCGTACTGTTTCAGGTATGATGAATTATGCTAGAGCTATTAAATTACTCTATAGAGTTGAAAACCCAGAAATTGTTCAATTGTTTGGTGGCAACACTGAAGGTCTTGAAAGAGAATTGGAAAGAATGGCAAGAAGAAAGTTCAAATTTGTTATTAGTATGCAAAGATTGTCAAAATTCAAACCCGATGAAGCTGAGAATGCAGAGTTTTTGTTACGTGCTTATCCAGATTTACAAATTGCTTACTTGGATGAAGAACCACCACTTGAAGAAGGTGCTGATCCAAGAATTTATTCAGCTATTATTGATGGTCACTGTGAACTAATGGAAAATGGTAAACGTCGTCCAAAATTTAGAATTCAATTGTCTGGTAATCCTATTATTGGTGACGGTAAATCTGATAATCAAAATCATGCTGTTATTTTCCACCGTGGTGAATATATTCAATTAATCGATGCTAATCAAGATAATTATCTCGAAGAATGTCTCAAAATTAGATCCCTTCTTGCTGAATTCGAAGAACTCACTGTTGAACAAACTAACCCATATGCTCCTGACTTGAAATATGAAGATAAACATGTACATCCTGTGGCTATTGTTGGTGCAAGAGAATATATTTTCTCTGAAAATACTGGTATTCTTGGTGATATTGCAGCTGGTAAAGAACAAACCTTTGGTACTCTTTTCCACAGAATCTTGGCTCAACTTGGTGGTAAATTACACTATGGTCATCCAGATTTCCTTAATGGTACTTTTATGTGTACAAGAGGTGGTGTTTCCAAAGCTCAAAAAGGTTTACATCTTAATGAAGATATTTACGCTGGTATGAATGCCATGTTGCGTGGTGGAAGAATTAAGCATTGTGATTATTTCCAATGTGGTAAAGGTAGAGATATGGGTTTTGGTTCTATTCTTAATTTCACAACTAAGATTGGTGCTGGTATGGGTGAACAGATGTTATCGAGAGAATATTACTATCTTGGTACTCAATTGCCATTAGATCGTTTCTTAATTTTCTATTATGCTCATCCCGGTTTCCATGTTAATAATTTGTTTATTCAATTGTCCTTGCAACTTTTCATGGTTACTTTAGTCAATTTGAACTCATTAGCTCATGAGGCTATTATCTGTGTTTATGATAGAAATACACCAGTCACCGATCCTCAAATTCCTCGTGGTTGTTATAATTTATCACCAGCAATTGATTGGGTTAGACGTTTTACTCTTTCTATTTTCATTGCGTTTTTTATTTCTTTCATTCCATTGTTTGTCCAAGAATTAATTGAAAAGGGTGTTGCTAAATGTGTTGCCAGATTGGCTCGTCATTTCTGTTCTTTATCACCACTTTTTGAGGTGTTTGTTGCTCAAATTTATGCTTCATCTATTTCTTCCGATTTATCAGTTGGTGGTGCTCGTTATATTGCCACTGGTCGTGGTTTTGCTACATCCCGTATTCCATTTTCAGTGTTGTATTCACGTTTTGCACAATCTGCTATTTATATGGGAGCTAGATTATTATTCATGTTAATATACTCAACCTCTTCTCACTGGCAACCAGCTTTGTTATGGTTTTGGTTATCAATCAGTTCTTTAATTTTCCCACCTGTTATTTTCAATCCACATCAATTCTCATACCAAGATTTCTTTATTGATTATCGTGATTTTATCAGATGGTTATCTAGAGGTAATGGAAAATGGCATAAGAATTCTTGGGTTGGATATGTTAAAATGTCTAGATCCAGAATTACTGGTTTCAAACGTAAAGTTCTTGGTGAACCTTCTGAAAAAGCTGCTGGTGATGCTGCTAGAGCTCACCGTAGTAACATTTTCATTGCAGATTTATTTCCTACTATTATAGTTGCCGCTTTCCTCTTTGTTGCTTTTACTTTTGTTAATGCCCAAACAGGTGTTCGTGGTGGTAGAGCTGATCCAGTTAATTCATCTTTGCGTATTGCAATTGTCTCTTTTGCTCCAGTTGGTATTAACATGGGTGTCTTAGCCGTTTGTCTGGCTTTGGCATGTTGCGCAGGTCCTCTTTTGGGTGTATGTTGCAAAAAAACTGGTGCTGTTCTTGCTGGTGTTGCTCATGGCTTTTCGGTTATTATCTACTTGATCTTCTTTGTTGCTATGTGGGTTTTGGAAGGTTTTAATTTCCCTAAAATGGTTCTTGGTATGTCTACCATGATTTACGTTCAAAGATCATTATTCAAATTTATGACTCTTTGTTTTTTGACCAGAGAATTCAAACATGACCATGCTAATGCTGCTTTCTGGACTGGTAAATGGTATGGTGCTGGTATGGGTTACATGTCATTTACCCAACCTGCTCGTGAATTCTGTGCAAAGATTATTGAACAATCAGAGTTTGCTGCCGATTTCTATTTGGGTCACTTTATTCTTTTGGTTCAATTACCAGTTATTTTGATCCCATTTGCTGATAGATGGCATTCTATGTTGTTATTCTGGTTGAAACCAAGTCGTCAAATCAGACCACCAATTTACTCATTGAAGCAAGCTAAATTAAGAAAGAGAATGGTCAGAAAGTATTCAGTACTTTACTTCCTTGTTTTGATTCTTTTTGTTGTTGCTATTGCTGCTCCTGCAGTTGCTAGTAGCGCATTGGATTCTACTTACCAATCTATCACTGATACTCTTAAAGATGGATTTATGGATGGTTTGTTGCAACCAAGAAATGTCAGTAACAATGATACTGGTAAATCTGCTCCAAGATCATTCTACTCTACCACACCATCACTCTCCACTTGGTCTACTATATTGTGATCACCATTAATATTAAAAATTTTAGATATTTGTAACTTGTGTAATTTTTTTAAAAGTGTTTTTTTAATTGATTGATATTTTATTAAGTTTTTATTGTTTTTTTTGATTATAATATTATATCTATTTAAGTCTGCCTAAGGGTTTTTTTCTTTTTTATATTATTTATATTTATATCTATATATATCTATATATATTTATCTTTATCTTTATCTTTATCTTTATCTTTATCTTTATCTTTTATTAGTCATTTATTCAATTCATTATTCATATTTACTCTTTAGTATTGTTTCTACTAAACATTTAACGGAGATTTAAAATTCCCTTTAAACCTATTCTATCAATAAATTACAGAAGATGGTTTCCTGCTACACTAAAGTGTCGTAAAAAGTATTTGTATTTTTTATTTGCCAATGGAAGGAGGGACAGTGATAATATATGAATTAAAAAGTCATTATAGGCTATAGTATAAGGATTCTAAAACGTTAAAGGTGGGAGAAAAGAAAGTATGATAGAATAAAATAAGATAAGATAGAATAAGATAGAATAAGATAAAATGAAACAAAAAATCGACCAAGCTCAATTGTGCAACACTTCTTGCAATTTCTGCAATGGCTGGAAAAAACTCAGTGATTCGTCCTTAACTGCTTCAAAATTCTGGAAGATTTGGATTCTATCGAAATAAATGTTATTGAGATCTTTCTCCTGAATCTCTCTGCTGTTCTCAACCAGCTCGTCTAACTCCTCCAAGTTGGGGTGGAAATCAAGCTGATCAATGCAACCATATTGATTCAACGTAAAGTTATTGTGAAGCAAAACCATCTCGACGTTGGAAGAGGTGCTTTCCATTAAAGCCTTTCCCTGGGTTTCATTCGAATTAAAATACTTCAAGCTGAACACCTTCAAATCGTTGAAATGAACCTGGTCTGTGTGCCTTATCTCGCTCTGGATGATATAATCTGGATAGCTGAGCAACCCAATATGGTGCTTGTTAAACTCAACTATCTGATTTTCCTTGATACTGAGCTTTCTGGATTTAAATGCTTCGCTTCTTGATTTCTTTAAGTATTGGGGAAAGGGGTCTTTGAGTTCAATGCAGTGCTTGAAAAACTTCATTCTGTTCTTGAAAAAGGATTCGACTCTTAGACAGTAAGCAGCATGTAGCTTGAGCTCAGTTAGATCAACATCTTTTGTTGATTTTAGCTGGTTATTGCTTTCCAGCTTTATAAGTCGTTGGATATTAACAGCGTAACTGATTTTAGCGGGAACACTGATCTCTAGTCTTTCAAGCTTGATACTCTGATTATAGCTGCTATCACAACTCTTCAAGCTATTCAGGCCCCTATCACTGCTGTCATTACTGTTTTTATTATTGCTTTTGTCCAGGTCATCAGAAGAATCAGCATCTTTCTCCTGCAGTTTGACATCAATGATATTTAGGAGACCATCATAAATATGAGGACTATAATCAAACATCGAAGTTGGACCAGTGAATGTGTTGAAAAAAAGGTAGGCAATCTCTGGAAAAATATTTTCCAAAACAGCTGCAACCAAAAACCAATAGTTAAAATAAACCTTCGAAATAAAACTTAAGTCCATGAAAACAGAACTATTTTGAGAAATATTGAATATTTCAGGGGGTAGTATATAAAACCAATCAATCAAAATTTCAAAGTAGAAATTCGTTTTAAAATCAGATATATAATTTGTATTTTTAATTTTCTGGTAATTGTAAATTAATGAAATCTTTTTCAAATAATCTACTAACTGGTTCAAACTAAAATAATAGTTTAAACTAAAATCACTTATATTCAATATTTTCTGAAATTTCTTTAATTGAACAATAATTTCACTTAAAACTTTATAGTTGTAATTTGGAATATAAACAGACTTTATTGAATTGTAAATCTTTAATGAAAAGCTATTGACAATTGAATCGTTCGAGTTAACAAAATCATGCACAATACCAATTAAACCTAAACTATGCATTAGGAATATATCAGTATCATAACGTAGAAATGAATTAAAAAGTAAAATAATTGAAGAGTTCAAGGGAATAGATAGTTTTCTTTCATCCAAAGCATTAATCAAATTATTTTGAATTCGGGTATAAAACCCAAATGTTGATAAGGTCTTGTAATTCTCAATTGAAGATATGGAATTGAATTTTTTAAATTGAATTGAAAGATAATTACAAGCCCAATCGATTAAGACAAAAAAAATGACTTTATCGCTAAAAGAAGAATCTAATATAAGATCCAACCAAAACTGATCACTATTAGTTTTCATAATTCTTTTTTTAAATTCCTGAGAATTGTAATCAATTATTTTGAATGACTTTTTGGTTGATTTCTTGCGAAGATTTCTTATTTTAATCAATTTTTTTCGAAGTTTTTTACTTGATCTCTGATTTTTATTATGAGAACTAATATTAATAGAATTAGTCTCAAAAGGAGTATTTGAATCAAGCGATCGAGATGGTTTTATTGAGAGATGTAAATCAGACAGACTTGTTTCAATTTTTTCTTGATTAGATACATCTTTCATGACAATATCAGGTAAATTATCTATTTTATTTAAACAATTTTCTTTATTATCATTACGGATCATTGCAATATTTGAATTATCAGCTACTGTAACAGATCCAAAATTTTGAAATTGATTCATGGGGTCATTAGAATTGGAGACATTTAAAAAAGTATTATCTTTGGGAAATTCTTCAACTAATGTGTCATTTGACATACTATTTTTCAAATCAAGGGGCAAATTCATCGGTATATTCATTGGCATATTTATTGACATATTAATTGGAATATTGATTGGGATATTAATGGGGGTATTAATTGGATCAATGTTTTTACTGTTCATTTGGTAATCTGCAAAATTGCTGATTGAATCAATTTGATTGACTTGATCAACATAATTTATCTGGTCCATCTGATTTATCTGGTTTAATTGATTCATTTGATTCATTTGAATACTTTGCTGAAATTTATTTACTGGTGTAGGTATTCGATCCATTTGACCCATTTGATTTATTTGAATAGGTTTGTTAATTTCTATAGTTTCATTGTTTTGGATACTTTGGCTGATTTGATTAACTTGGTTTATTTGATTAAACTGGTTAATATCAAGTATTGGACTGAATCCATTGATTTGATAAAACCGATTGGCTTGATTCTGGTTTATCAGATTGACTGGGCTCATTTGATTGATAAAAGCGTTTTCAATAGGCTGGTTAATTTGAGTGTTAATTGGAGTATTAAATAGTTTTATGGGGGTTAAAGCACTTGATACATTGTTGTTCATGTTGATATTTGAGTTGAAGGGGTTTTTTATCTTTATTGAAGATTTCGAGTCAGTATTTGTGTGAAATATAGCTTCTTCAGCAATAGAATGATCGTTGATTTCAAGAGATTTGTTTTTTGGAGTAATATCCTTTTGCAGACTAATTTTACTATGGATTATAATTCTTTTGATCTCGTTTGCATCTTTGGTACTTTGATTTGGGCCCAAAATCGGTTTTAAGGATTTCAATTTATTTTGGTTTTGACGAAAAGTTTCTAATTCAATTGGAGTCATTGTTAAATAGCTACAGATTTTTTTATTTTTGTTTCTATAGGTTTTGCAATTTGTGCATTCTGGAACTCTTTCATCGCATTTAATTTTACGTTGTTTGCAATTTGTACAGCCCAATTTAGAATTTGAGTGTTTTCTTCTTGATTGAAAGGTCGTTTTTCTTCTCATTCCCAATAGGCTTGCATTGTCGACGTTGTTTATATTACTTATATCATTTATGTTGTTGATTGAATGAGAATGAGAATGAGAGTGGGAATGAGGACGAGGATGAATGTTGATGTTATTTGTGATCGGTCTCGTATCTGATGGTGCTATTGGGGATATTGATATATTGGATATGGAAGATAAGGTTGATATATTAGTTGGAGATATGCTTATGCTGTGCCTATTGTTTATTGTTATTGGAGATACATTTGTTTGAATAGATGGGTGATTTCTTTGAAATGGGGATGGTTTGATTTGAGCATTATTGATTTGAGCATTATCCATTTCATTATCGGTATCAGTATCGTTATGGATATTATTATTATTATCGTTTTCATTATCATTATCATTGTCATTGCCATTGCCATTGCCATTGTCATTTTCATTGTCAGTATCAGTGTTATTCTGATTATTTTGCATAAATTTGTTTGAATTGAGATTGTTTTGATTGAAATTTAATTTAAAAGGAGATGAAATTTTGGCACTGTTGAAGTTGATTTGGTCCATGATTAGATGGATGATGAATTGAGTAAAGAATATGAAATTTTGAGCTTCCCTTTTTTTGAAAATAGAAAATACAGTGTGCTAAATAATTAAATAGATAGGTAAATAAGGTAATAGCTGGATAAATGAGGAGTTAAATAAATAGTTATTAAATAACTAATATTTATTAGCCAGTCTTAATCTGACTTGATCCCTATTTAATTTATTATTTTTTTTTTTTAATTTCTAATTTTTGTGCTTTTATTTATTGATAATAGAGATAATGATAATGATATTATTAGATAGTTTGTTTTTTTCCAGGGTATTTGAGTGATAATTTGGATTAAATTAATTGAGAATGAATATCGATTAAGAAAAATAACTGAAATTTTGAGGAAAATGAATAAATGTATGAAATAATGTATAAAAATGGAAAGAATAATGAGAGAATAGAATTAAAAGAAAAGACAAAAACAAAGCAAAGCAAAGTAAAACAAAAAATGAATGGAATATATAAAAATATAAACAAAATAGGTTGAATTAAAATGGAATTAAAATGAAAAGAATAAAAAAAGAATAAAGCGAATAAAAAGATAGTAAATAGTATAATATAATAAAAGCTAAATAGATTGAAATTAAATGAAGTAAGTTTAAATAGATAAATTTAAAAAGAATCTAAAGCAAAATTGAGTAGAATTAAATTAAAAACTTTTCTGGTCTTTTATTTGACTTTCCAATACTTTTGGTACATTTGAGTTGTTTAAATAAACTTTTTGCTCTTTGAGTTTGACATTCAGAAAGCTGGAAAATAAAAGAGAAAATAAGACAATAAAAAGTATGAAAAAATGTGGAAAAATTGGACAATAAAAAGAATCAAGAGAGCAAAATCAAAAAGTATAATTGGAGCTACAATGTTAACAAGAACAATAGTGACCAGTCAATTCTGAGAAAAAAAGAGTCGAAAAACAGAAAGCTAGAAGAATAGGCAAAGTGCACTGACAATAAATTGACAATAAACAGACAATAAACAGACAATAAATTGATAATACGTTCAGAAAACAAATTGGATATGCCTAGAGTAAAATAAAATGAAGAAAAAATTCGTTAAACAGAAAACCAGACTATAAGTTGGAAATCTTAAATTTTAAAACCCGAAGTTTCAATTAAATTAAGTGTGTTTTGCTAGAATTTATTGGTGGTTTGAAGACACCATTCAAAGTAGATTCAGATTTGGAGTTGTGACTTGAAATTTTTTCCTTTGATTAAAACAAAAAGAAGAGATTTTCTTTGGATTTACTTGAGATTTGTTCGAGATTTTCCTTAAATTTCCATTGAATTTGTGTTAGACTATCTTTGGATTACCACAAAACAAAAGATAGGTTTGTTTTTATTCAAAGTTAGAGCAGAACAAGAGAGCATTCATGTTGAAAGCAAATATTCAGTAAAACATTGCACCAGGAGTCTGATTAGATTGAGATTGGATTCAAAACCAGCCAGAGAAAGAGAGTACCCCAACCACAGTCAACGCAGCACAGTTTGCCCATTCCAACACAGCATCTTCTCCAGCAGCAGCAGCACAACAGCAATTGCCTTCTCGAGCTTCTGGTTCTTTGCAATTTGTTATCACTCCTCTGATTCTTCGCAAAAGCTGTTTCAAAACACTTTTTGTTATCTTCATCTTTTCTCATTTTGCTCAGCTCTGCGGTTTTTCACCAAATGAGAGAGCGCGCTTAAAGTTTCGATGCTGAGTCCTTCTGCATCTGGCAGCAGACAGCACCTTCACCAGTGGGACGACTTGTGGTATGTTTTGCATGGCGAGCTTACAACTCAAAGCACAGCCCTGTTTGAAACAGAACAACAGCAGCTCTGTACAGCTAAAACCACTCATGTCACAGTTTTCTCACGCTTCACTACAGAACAAAGTACACACATGTAAATATACGGTGTGCCCTGCATTCTGCATTGTACACATGCGTCTGCATTTCATGTATTATTGTTTCTCCTGAGCCGGAGCAGTGGTTCTCGTGCTGTGATTAGCTGGGTTTGGTCTGTGTTTGAGGAAGTTGAAGAAACTGGAGGAGTTGAAGTTGGAAGAGCTGAAGAAGCTGAAGCTGAAGGAGTTGGAGAAGTTGGTGGTTTTGCTGCCAACTTGGGGAATACTGCTACTGCAGAAATGCAACAAGGCTGTTTGGGTTTTGGCGTTGTTTTGAAATTGTAGGTGTGTATTTCTCTGTCCTTCAATGTTCTTTATTATTTGGTTAATATCATAACTCAAATTCATGTTGATTATCATACCATTTTTCAACATATAATGCTTTTTCCTTAGACATTTTTGACTTAAGACTGGTCTGTTCTTGAGTAGTTTGGTAATTTGAAATCTGCAGCTGGTTTTTGTTGGCCTTTCGTTTTTGAATTAGCTAGATAGTCTACTGCTCACTACAAACCAATTCATTCAAGTACTGCTACTTTTAGTAATTTTGAAATCGTGTTCATCTAAATAAATGAAGGAGAACCAGAACAATCAAATCCACCTATACATTACAATAATTTAGGTATACAAGGCAGACATCACTCCAATTTTTTTTCTTAATTGTATTGGTTCAATAATATTAATTTGCACTGTTTATATTTCATCATTACAAGAATGGTCCAATAGTATCGCTTTTGTTAATATTCTAATATTCTGATTCATTATCCTATGCTCTTCATCCAAAGTCAAGTTTATTTTGTTTTCTATTTTTTTTTATCAGACAAAAACTTTAGAAGCATTAAGTTTTAGCTTAATAATATTCCGTATTAGAATTAAAATGTTAATGTTACTCAAAAGTTAATCACGCCAGATTTGTCAATTTCATTAGATTCAATCCTATTAATTCAATAAATTTATTTTCTATTCTTCTACAAGTGCACTTGACTGGCTTGGTTCTTTATAGTTATCTTGAACCAACACTATCCTTCTAATCCAGACAATTAAATCTAACCATATCTCAAGAAAATCTCAAGAAAACATGCCTTTAATCAATTATTTTTTAATCCAAATACAATTCCACACTTGTTCAAAAACATTGCTCTTCTTCAACCTACTCTTGCTACACCATAATGTGAATTTGTCTAAGCTGTCATTTCATTTCCACTTTCATTTGCTATTCCAATTTTAATTTTATTTTCGTCCACTTCTCCCCCTCACTGTTTCATTGGCTGATATCAACAATATATTCATTTCACTTAATACACCCACTAGCAATGAGATTTTCAGGTTTGTTCAAAGTCCTGGAAGCCACATCCACTAGAATCTGCTAGCGTCAACCTACACACAAACGCGCATATATGCACACACTCAGAACGTGCGTCCGCGTCCGGGTTTGCGCTCCTCACTGTTCGTCTCATCCGCTGTTCGTCTTATCTGCTGTTTGTCTAGCTCCCGCCGCGTGCTTCCGTCCCCGACCACACCACCATTTGGTCTGCAGAAACTGCGCTCTATTGACTGTCTAATATATAATCCATAATCCTTAATCCATAATCCTTAATCCTTAATCCTTAATCCGTAATGTATAATTGTCATTTGTTGTTTGTTATATCTGCTGTTTTGGCATAGATTGTTCATGCTCCTAAACTGGTTAAAACCATACTGAAAATACTAAACAACCCTTCTCCCAAGATTAACCCGGAGCTAAATATAATCATTGAAATCTTTTTATTTTGTATTTCCTCTGTATCATTATTACTATCACTATCGTTATCATTATCATTATAAACTCTTTGCATCCAAATATACACAACTAACCCCCCAATGAATCTAGCAATAGTAAAATTGGGTGTATTGTAAATACCAATTCCCACTGCAATTCCACTAGGTATATAAATAATATACTTTTCTATTTTTCGTAAATTTTTCTTGATAACTTTGTAGTAATATTGATCAGAATCTTTAGTTTGTTTATAAAAGTCACAGTTAAAAATAATGTTTTTGATCAACGAAATAACACCAAATACCAACCCAAATATCATACAAAAAATCCTTGAATATGGGGGCAATCCTTTTCCAGTAACTAATCTGGAACAATCAATCCAAATAACTGCTGTAGGAATCCTAAATAAGTCATTCGGTATATCATAAACATGATTATACACCTTATACATAACCGAGGATAAAAAAATCGACCATATAGTTCCAATAACTTGTGCGATAAACTGTGCCTTTGGTGATGCTCCAATCAAATGACCAGTCTTAAGATCCTGCATCAAGTCTCCTGCTTGCTGAGCTCCTGCTTCTGCTATTCCTCCTGCCACCAAGTTAATTAAAACTGTTCCCTTTCGATCTTTTGGAATAATTATTGCAAATATTATTTGTGATAGTTTCCCAATTCCTGAAACAGGATTTAAATCTGTTTCTCCAAGTGCCCGAACTCCAAGAATCGATAAAAAAAGAGCTAATATAACTGCAATCAATATCGAATATACTGGAATAATACCATTAGGAAATACCAACCTAATTGAAATTAAACAAAGTAAACATGATCCAATCAATCCAATTATTGTAGTTTTATTTGATACAAGATATTTTTCACTAACTTCATTTTCATTTTCATTTTCATTATTATTATCATCATCATTTAATACAGTTCTTTGTAATAATGATTCACTCTCAAAACCATCATTACCATCATCATTTCCATGATTATAATTGGAACGCTTAATTGAAATTTTTTTATAGAATTTAAAACACATCTTGGATGAAATAACCAAAAATCCAATAACACTATCACTTATCATTACACTCAAACTGATCCATAATATCCATCCTTGTCCACCAGTTTTCCAATCATTTATTTCTCCTGGTGCCCATCCCATTTCTTTACTTAATGGTGCTAAAATTCCCCATCCTAATATCGATCCAAATAGCATGTATGAAACGGTTGGTAACCCCATTATAATACCTTGCCCAATATATGCAGGCGATGGTTGAATATTCCATAAATAATTCTTTGAAAGATATCTTCCAAAAACAGGTAAATTTCTTAGAATGGGAAAAAAATGTGCAATAATTGTATAAAACGATGATACACAAAATGTTATCAATAAATTCTTGAAATTTTTATTATAAGTTTCAGTTTTTTTCAACTCTAACAATGATTCATTATCAATTAAATTGCTATAATTTGAACTATTTTCATGATTTTCGCTATTGATTAGATTTCCTTTTAGATTTACATTCTTAGAATTTCCCTTATCAAGTGAGTCATCTAAACTAGTTAAAACATTTGAACTATTTAACATAACGTTTTCATTACCATCATTATTGTTATTGTTATTGTTATTATTACTAATACCATTAGCTGAAGTTCTATTCTTAGCATCATTGTATTGAACAACCTCATCACTTTCTTCATACAACTCAGTGTTATGTAAAACAGAGATTAAAGTCGCAGTAGCAGATCCTGATGGAAATGGCAATTTTTCTTTTATTATAACCTGTTTTCTTAAAGGAATCGCAAAAAAAATTCCAAAAAATGCTAAACCAGTTGACCAGTAAATCAACTGCAACGTTGAAAATTGCAATTTGAAGTCATAACCACTTTCTTCAATCGTTAAAAATTTCTCAATACTTGGAATTATACCAACTAGCCCATATGCTAAGGGTCCAGTACCAACAGCAACTGCAACACTTTGTACAAAGACGTTTTCTGCATCTGTGAATGGATATGATAGATTTTTGGAAAAGACTTTGAATATTGAGAAACCTAGCAAAGCAGCAGGCAAAGACATCATTGAAACCCAGCCAGTTTGTAGCCCAAACTGAAAATTGGACATTAAAACTATTGACCCAATAAATAAGCCCACAATAGTTGATCTAAAGGTGAACTGTTTCAATGAGGGCTTTTCGTTCCATGGTATGATTTCTTCTTCAATCATTTTTCCACAACTAACTAAATTTGGTGTCTCTATATTCCTTTTTTTTATGTTTTTTTTTTGAAATTAACTATTGTCTCTTTCTCTTTTTTTCCTTTCAAAATTTGGTCAAGCAATCACTGGAGATCTATGAACTAATAGGCATTTGCAGCAGCTGACTCAAGAAAATACTCATAAAACCACAACTGAAAATGCAAAAGAAATCAGTAAAACCCAAAGAAGAGGACTTCAAGCCAATAACAACAATCTTATAAAAACTTTCACAAACCTCCCATCAACAATAAAGATATCAAGATCAAAAAAGTGTTGAGAGCAAGATTAGTAATGAAATGTCACTTTAAGCGGAGTTGAGCAGCTCAGGATTATATTTCTGTTTTGAGTTAGAAAAGTTTTGAAGCTCCTCAAGAGACTGGTTTTATGAAGTGCTCTGTTGATTGTGTTGCTTGCGAACAATGGATAGCTCGATGCTTAAACAGCTTGTTGCTCAGAGAATCATACAGGACTTGTCCTCCACCAGCGACACTTACGACTCGGTATCAGACTATCTTCTCCTGAAGATAAAGAGCGATTTTTTGGAGTGCACCCACCACCAGGTGAATGACAACTACATTTCAGACATAAACGAGTTTAATTTCAGTGATTTAAATCTAGATGACGAAGAGGTATCAGGGCTATTGTTTCTTGTTGTTGAAAATGCCATGGATGAACTAATGAATAAGTTTGATAGAATTGTTGGCGATTTTCCAGATTACATTTCTCAAATTAATTTAGAATATGAACAAAATTAAAAACTTAAACCCGATTCTGTATGAAACTAATAGTTATCTTTGCAGAGAAATTAAGGGATGTGGTTTTAGACATAGAAAGTTAATTATTTTAAAAAGAAACCATTTTTATTATGTATTATTGACTTATAAAAAGCCAAGCAGGAATAAATAAAGAAAAGAAAAAAAAAGCCAAAAAATAAAAGAACAAAAAAAAAGAACAAAGATAGAAAACTAAAGAGAAAAAAAATAACTGAATCAAAAAGGTATTCTTTTTGCTTATAATATTTTTCAGAAAAAAGTTTTAATTCATTATTTATTTGAGTTGAACTGGTTTAGATGAATTTTCTAAACTTTCCACTTCCATTTGTTTAACTTGTAAGTTAGCTTTTTGGAATATCTCTTCCTTTTCGGCTTCAGAAAGATTTTGTTTTTTACCTTTGATGTAATACATTGGGTTTAATTTAGCCAAAGTCAAGTTTTTGCAAAAAGGTAAATGACCTTTTTTTTCTTCAAATAACATTAATAAGAGAATGCAGATTAATACCAACCAATAAACGTTATATGAAATAACAGAACCGTAAGTAGCAGTATTTTGCCATCCAAATAAAGCATTAAAGATATCCCAACCATTGTCGATTAATGGGTTGCAACAGTTAACGTGCCAAACAACCTTTGTAATATCATATGAACCAGGACCTGAGCCAGATTCGGCTGCATCACCACCAGTCTTTCTGTTAAAAACATTGGCTTCTAAGAACCAAACACCTCTTGAAAATAAGCCAGCAGCAATTAAATATAAAATGGCAGTTGAAATAACTAGGAAAATTTGTAAAGAAGAAGTTTTACCACTATAATACAAAACAACACCAACGGCAATACCAGCAATCAAACCAATAATAACTGGAAGTGGAAAGGCTTTAGCAGGATAATCTAAACCAACACCACCAACAAAAACAACAGCTTCTAAACCTTCACGAAGAGTTGTGATAAAAGGAAGAATAAACATGGCATATTTTTTCAAGTTATAATTGATGTTGAAAAAAGTCTTTTTGCTTTTTGGTTTTGCAACTAAAGCTTGAGCCAACTTGAGTCTCCATTTTTCTTGCATTTTGTTAATTCTGAGCATTGGAATACCCATGATTGAAATAACAACGGTTGCAATAAGACAAAAGATACCTTCCCATAAATCTTCAGAATTACTCCAAATATCTTTATCAAGGGAATAAAAGGCACCAATGAAAGCACCACCTAAAACCAAACAAATGAAAACACCTAAGACAGCACCAAACCAAACTTGACGAACAAGCTTTTTATACACTTTTGGATCATCAGTTGCTTTTCCTAGACCTTGTTTTAAGAAAGCTAGTAAAACTGAAATAACAATAACAGCTTCTAAGGCTTCTCTGAAGACAATAAAAAAGACCTCTACAGCAGTATAGAATTAAAAGAAAGTGTTAGTATTTATTGTTGGCAAAACCAAGCCAGGGATTGGTCTTGAAGCATACCAAGAAATCTTATTTGCTTGTTTCCTCATTTGATGCTGGGCTTTTCTAGACGATATTTCTTTTTATTGAGACCGGATTAATTTATAAGCAGGGCCCTCAGAGACAAAGAAAGTAATAGGAAGGATTGATAAAGGGATAGACTGGGCATATAAATCTATTCTATTACTGTTACTGCTTTATTATGGTGCAGATTTTCAAAGGCCGGCGGTTGAGTCTTTGATATGAGCAAATTAAAAGGATAATTAGAAGAGCAAATAAGTCGATAATAGGTATTAATAGGGACAAATAAACAGATGAATTTACTTACCAACTGCAAATACGTTATTTGCCATTTTTTAATAGTAAAAAATATAGTAAACAGATAGATGATGATAAAATTCTTTGTTTTTAAAACGAATACCCATACAAAACCAGAAAAAAAATTGGATTGTGGTAGTCTATATATATGAAGATTTCATGAGTATTTTACATGAATTTCTGAGGGAAATTGTTTTGTTCTTTTGTTTGAAGCAATGAATTTACATGTAAAAATACAATCAAATTCTGTTTAGTTTTATTTAGTTAGATTTTGAGTTAAATTTTTAGCTTAATATCATGACATTAATTCCTTCATACAAATCAAATCTGCCAGTTGGATCTGGTTGGATTGCAACTTTACTGAAAAGCATCTCAAAAGTCAGCAAAGATGGATCAATTTCTGTTAGGGGTTTTATTAAAAATTGTAAATTGTAATTGCAAAATGGCAGAAAAACGATTGTTATCAAAAGGATCAGCCAATAACAAAACTCTTAAACACGACGCACTCACAAGCTTTTTTCTTGCTCCCTGTGGAAAACACACCTTTTTGTGCACGCACCCGGATCCACACAGCAAAAGCCCCTGTGAAAACAGCACACTCCGGCAGTCGAGTGACTTTGCTTGTCTTAACTCTGCAGAAAAAGCTTGTTTGCTGCAGCCAGAAAACTTCCAGATTTTTAAGCGAATGCTGCGTTGCGCTGATTGGTCTGCGGGCTCTCAGCGTAAACCACCACAGAGGATATCATGTTTTGTAAATAATATTCAATTGCAGGTTTTCCAGAAAAACGCTCTTTTGCAATTTTCTGGAGGAAACTCGTTCTTGATTCTTCGATATGTCTCTGTTTTGCCCTTCGATCTCAGAACACTCTATTCTGAAAGTACGGCTTCACAACTGCACAATTTCTTTCAACTTTGAAACCTTTGTTCAAACTGCAAAACAATAATGCGAGCTGAAAAACTAAATAATAAGTTTTCAGATATTTTCTCAGCTTAATTTTCTCTTTCAAAAGCAATATCTATTCTATTGGAGGTTGCTCTGATGCTAACATTTCGTGTCTTTTTAAGACTTTTTGTCTTTTTAATAAGAGACTTTTTATTGTTTCATATCCAAAAAGATTATTTGCTTTCGTTTCTTATTAGATAATCAATAGTCTTGCACAAATTTAATTGTCAAACAAGCTTAGTGGACTGAAGGCTTTTACAGAAAAATTTGTCAGCTCATTGCATATGTCTAATGAGACTTTTTAGGGGAAAGCAAATAATTTACAAATGAACAGTATTTTTTGTAATTTACGTTATGAAATTTCCATAAATTAAAACAACGGTTACCAATAAAGGACTTCAAAAATCTGTTCAAGTTTAAAACCAGAAAACAACCATATACGATTGGAGTGAAACAATATACCTAGTCTTGAAAATCTGTAAATTGCACCATGCTTTTGTAAATTTATCCGTATTTTTGTGATTATATCAAATACAAATTATGGATATTTATTAGTTTTAGCTCTCAGACATCATAGCATTCTTTGCAAATTTTCTTTATTCCTCCATCTCCTTTTATGTATCTTAAAAATCGTGCTCTCAAAGTTTCCTATTTGATTCACTTCAATATAAAACTCGCCAGTTGATATTAACCAAAATATTGATTAAGAGAAATATAAGTATCAAAAGTCTATCAGAACTAAAAAGATGAAAAAAATAATTTGAAAGATCTCATATTGCTTTGAAACTAAATTTCTTTATAAAATTAACAAAATACCAAAAAATATTTATCTTTCCCAGTTTATTAATTCCATTTATCTTTGGCCTTTTCATTTAAATTTTTTATCATTTGATATTGATATTGATTTTGATTATACACATAGTGGAAACTCAAAAAATCTGTTTATATAATCAAAAATCTTAATCTTTTTATTTTTTTATTTTTTTATTTCTATTATACATTATTTGAGTCCAAAATTATTATCATTATTATTATTACTGTCAATAAACGAGTAAATATCATTAAATTTCAACTTATAACAAATCTTCTAATATTAGTTTAACAATATTACTTCAAAATCAAACGACATTTGCTCAATAACTAGCCAAATTCAGTTTGATATTCTTTATAAAATTCCACCTATTACTCTTTTATTCTGGCTAACAGCACCACATCCATAAACACAACTTCAAATTCAATAACTTGTCATTCTTATTATAAACTCTGTCCAGAATTGTTAATAAACACAATCTTTTAATAGTTCCTGCTTTAAAGATGAAAGCATCAAACCTTATTTGATGTATTACCCGTTTTTAATTTTTCAGGCTTGAGAACAATTTTTTTTTTAGTTTTTTTAGTTTTTTTAATTTTTTTTCCAATAAAAGTATTATTTTCAGATAAACCCAATTATATTCAATCATAATGAATAGAAAAGATTTAATGCTAGACGGCCCCTTGTTTGATTCAGAAGAGGAGATTGATAATCAGTCTTTGCA